CTTGTAGATTTCTTTCAATAAAAGCCAGAGAATGCGAGAACAAAAACATACCCTTTGCAACCTGACGACATCCGTCACTGATAGGTAACTGAAAATATGGTAGAGTATATCTTCTGGCAGTGTCTCAAATGAGATGACCGCTTGAATCATCTCGAAAGAAGAGGATGTCAGCTCTTTGCCGCTCGGTCGGAAGGCCTTGCGCATTGAGGAAATGGAGATGTGCATGATGTTCACATGAAACAACGTCGCAAGCCCAACTTGTGGAAACAAGGCTTCTCATGCGGCGAGCGTGCGGAAGCGTCAATACGCAGTAAGCACCGCATGGAGAGCACGATGTTCTAGACGTCCAGCTTCCGGATCAAAGTTGTGCTAGAAATGGCCTTGGATGAAATCGTGGCAGCCTAATCCTGCGGCTGTGACATCAGTTCCGAGCTATGATTCCAAAAGTTGCTTCTTTCCCAAAAACTTGAAGCACCACCATGGCCCACGAGCGTGGAACAGTTTGCTGAGTTTCAGCAAATGGATCTGCTGGAGTGGGCAGTATCACAAAGTTCCCCTGAAACGTGTGTGGGAAAATAATCTCTAGAGGTGAGGCCCGAGGCTTTATGTTCATGTACCATTCGGACCTACAACGTTGCAGCATACGAAGAGTTCGATCTATGAAGCCATCTATATACGTGGATCATATGGTATACACCGTCATCTCTGATTTTTAGAAGAAATCGGGGCTCTGTCCGACACAGCTATTTAGAGATAGATAGTTTCACAAGCACTGGCACAAGGGTCAAGGGATTGATATACGAGCCCAACGACCTGACCACGATTCTCCCGGTGGCGGCGGGTTGATAACGTAGAGATAGTCTCTTGATTAAGACCAGGAATGTTCTAGGTCTCTGTGAATGTTGCACAATGAAACCACGATCGCGATGCCTTCGTGGCCGTTCACTCCTGGGAGGGGAAAGGGAAGTCGGAGCATGGGATCGTACATCACCTATGCGTTGCATAGTTCATTAATCAATTATTCATGACCACCGCAAATCCTTTCTACCGGTATCATTGTCTTCGTGAAACATCCAAGTACGTGAGATGACGGGACCTCGACTGCCTCGGTTACATCGTGAGCCGGAGGAAGAAGTCGATGACAACATGCAAAAGGATCGATGCGCCAGGGGTACGAGATTATGGATCACGTCGGGACCTGTGGAAGTACCTCCTATGGTGAACTGAGAATTCGGTTTATTTCAGCATATGAAGTCGCTCTTGCAGCTCGGTTGTGTCCAACGCCACTTAAATCGCGGGATAATAATTGATGGCAAGTAATCCTAGACCAAGGGTTACCTCTCGAACTCGAGTTTGACGTTTGGACGGAGTACCACGAAGCTGGAATAATTTTCTAAATTACTGTCAGCCGTAAATCATGCGCAGTACAGCCAGAACTAACAGATTCACCGTAAAGGCTAGCCACTATTGCGACATGTGCAACACGTTCACCGTTAATCGGTGTGCGCATCAACGCACCCGGGCCAGAATTGGAAATTTCCACCTCGCGGAATTGTAGGGAACCTGTTGGATCATCATCAGCACAGGATCTTCACACCTTCGAAAAGGCCTATTTCATCTTCTTTTCATCGCAATTGGTAGAACATCTAGATCATGACAATATACTTGGCAGAAACGAAGCCCGGCAACTAACCCGTGATAAGCAAACGTGCACAGACACCACCATACGGCGGCGGCCATTGACGTTGACGATGACGAGCGAACGACCTTCGGAAAACCATGTGGTGAAATATCTAAATTGATTTCAAATCAGATAGACACCGTATACTTGCACACATGACCATGGACTGTGTTCCTATTGCCTAAGCCCTCGGTAGAAGCTGATTGGCAATTTAGCACCGCTCTGCGCCCTTGCAGCAACGCCCGCCCTGGAGTTTGCTAAGCAAGCCAGAAAGCGAATTGCGGATCCGTGGTGTCGGGATATGCTGGAGATCGCACCGGTAATCCAAGGATCCGATTAATTCTCTCTTGGTCGGTTTTAATCATTGGAGCCAGCTAATAAAAAGGGGTAAACCTTTGCCTGGGTACTTCATTCTTGCAAGAGCCTGGGTAACTCTATCCAAGGAAGAAGTTATTGGGTTTCATTCTAGCCTAGTCCTTATATCCTTTTTTCGCGTAACTATGACTTAACCCAAAGAACTTCAGTAATGGACTTGGAGTCAGCTCACCTGTACCGATACCCGACAGCTACTTCTTAAAGGTTCCTCCAGCATGCAACACGAGTTGTACCTTGGGAACAAGAACGACCAACTCGGCGAGCGAACCGTTTTCCCCTGTTGCCTGAAGAGTTGGTAAGTTATTGTTATTCCTGAAGCACAGCCGCCCAGCGCAGCCCTAGTAGCGGTCGATACGTCATTCTATTTGGGCAGTGCGTGCGGTAGTCGGGGGAAAAATGGTATAAGAAATCGAGTCCGTACGGACATGTGCGCCAAACTTTTTCAGGGGGGTAGCGATAAATGACCCCGCGATTTTGACAGTTTTTCTAAAATGTTCAAATCCCTCGAGTTTGACAGAGTTTGACGGGTTGACAATTGCAATAAACAATTGGGATATTGGAAACTCTCATAACTATCCAATTGTATGTCGCCGCAATATTGTCTTGCTAATATGTTATGACAGGTTATGACGTGCATGAGTTTCCGATGATGCGGGCTGGCTGACCTTCATCGCAGTCGTCGCACAGCATGAGTGCGGGGAAGGGCGAGCAAGCCGCACAAACTTGAAAAAAATCATATTAGCTTGGATTGGCCAATAGCAGAATGAACTGTGGAAGATGGCCCGAGAATTTCCAAAGACTTACTACGATGAAATTTCAGACACATGCAGCAGCGAAAAACCTGCACCATTCATTCAAGCTGGCCACCAGCCCGGCGTGCCTGCATCCACCTAAAAGTTACGCCCACATTAATTACCGTGAAAGACCGTAAATCTGGAACCTCCTGGCTCCTCCAGGCCACGGGTAAAAATAGTGGGAGAGTTCGCGTTACTACCACACTGACTCGGACTGTAATATGTATCCCTGAGGTAGGGGTGAGTGGAAGGGTAGCGGAGTTGTTAATCAACTTATCAGATTTGATGATTAGTCTTCTATGACTTTTGGGTGCAAGTTCATCGATCGCGTCCTCCTGGGCAAAACTTCTTTTCAATAACTAGTCGGAGCATAAGTTCTTTGGCAATAATGCATTAAACTGCTTACTGGAAATGAGCTACGGTCCGTATGACGACCCGAACGTCGCTACATAGGCACAAAAGTAATTAGTCGAGTTTCAATTGGAGGTCATGCAAACACACTCCATTTTGGACGTGGCACGGAAGACCCGATATTCACCCGGGACGAAACTCAAAAACAAACAAAATCGTATGTTTTGCGTTGTCGACGGGGCTGGTAAGAATAGTGGTGTTGTTACAGTGAAATTATAGTTGACGATTCATATAAATCAATATAATCATTGTACTCTCCATGCAGTTCGTCAACTATAAAAAAATCCTACCCAGTCGCTGTTTCCCTCGGCGCTTGTGCAATTATGGCACAGATCGTAGCCTCAACAGTTAGTCCTATCGACGCTCCGCTCCCTCGCCCCAAATCTGTGGCATTAATATTTGCTCCTCGTTATACCCGAACCCTGAGTTGCCGCAAACGTGAACATTCCATTTAAATTTCAGGTCAAGAGCACCGAGAGCCGACCAATATGTATTGATAATTCGTTCGCCTGGCGGGCCTTTCGAGAAATTCCTTATTCTTTTCAACGGCGGAGACTCACGCTGTCAAAGCAAAGGGACATGCGCTTGGGAATTGGGGAAAGGAAGGGCAAAAAAAAAACCTGCTGGCCTCGACCCTGCATGACGACCGGAGCCCATGGACAAGGTCGAATATTGTTTCAGTTTGCTAGATGTTCTTAATTAACGCGGTGGCACTTGCTTTGGCAGATCTTGACGAGGGACTGGCTGGCTTTTTTCGATTATGGATGCGAGCGGGCCGGGTTTGGGCCGGGACGTGGGCATCGCGGCCGATGGGTGGTCAACCAAACCCATCATGTGATGTCCGAATTCTCCGAGCGCGGGAAATACGGGTCTCTGTGCGCGCAGCACACTGAGGAATCAGCCTCGCATCGCAGGCGCTCTCATGGAGGTAAAGTCCACGACCCTGACTAGAAGTGTCTCCAAGAACACGTGAAGCACTCGAAGCGTCCATCTGAGACTGAAATCCCTGCATTCCCGACGAGAAGAAGGCATAGAAGTCCGAAGCAAACGAAGTAACTCGTTGTGCTTCGCTGGCAGAAATTTTTCAATTGGGGATTTTGGGCCATTAGGGCGGTGTTCCCGCGACACCATTGCTCAAAAGGATTGGCGGCCGGTCACACGACCTTAGTTTCGAAGGGTTAATGGGGTGACAATGACTTGAACTTGCTGTCTCAGCGCTTGCCACAGCCGAGCATATTCGGAGGACTTTAATGTTGCCACGTAGGTTGTACGTATCGTAGTCGAAGTCTGAGTCAGAAAAACGGCGGCCGGGCTATAGTAAGTTCAGCGCCTCCTCCTTGAACGAACGCATACGGCACAAATTCAATTCAATTGAATAGAGGATAACGTTGACCTACTTTTTCATGACGCTTGTATAGGTACGCTTTACTTATGTAGGTCACAAAAAGGGCGTGCATTCTTGTGCTTCTGGCTTGCCTCATGTTCGCCTGTTTTGTGCCACCTGGGCAGCCAGGAGCCAATATGATTGAATAGGAATATAACTCCTGTGGCTCGGCGCAAAAGGGGATGAGTGGATTTCCCAGTGGGCGTGCCTCACGAAGCAGCATGTTAATGAAGGGGCGTGGTCCAGCGTGGACCTCAAGAACGTTATCAATTTTTACCTCTCCAGGCCAAGTGCTTGTGGTTGCTAGCGCGGTTGAGTCAACCTTAACTTATTGTCGGACATGAATATTTGAATGGCGCCACCAATGCACAACAAAAAAAATTCATGTTCCTGCGTCTGAAATTCGAAAAAAAAGGTTCTAAGTAGGTATACTAACTAACAATGGCGTTATACAAGTACACTTTCCCCTTTCTTCTTCCGTTGCATATTCGGCGATCATTCGTATTGGGTATCTATCATCGAGACGACATACAGAGCGCGAGTATGGCTGGCAGGGTATGGTTTACGGGGCGATATGTATATGCGCAATATAGACATAGTCGACAGAGTTGGATGCGAGGCCGGAAATGTAGGATACAGGATATATGTCGGAATATAGATACCGTTTTGCCCGCGTCTTTGTCGTCGCCGTTTTTGCGACGAGGTGAATAATTAAATAAGGTCGTGAAATCGAGCAGCTCAAGATCGGGGGATGGTGCGAATTGTAAAACTGAATAAATACCAAGATCCAAACGAGCGTGATGTCGAGGCATGAAAACACGTGTCGCTCAGGATGACGGGGGCTCTGCTGCTGCGGGTACAGGCGATGAGGTCATCATTTGAGGTGACGAAATCTGCATGTGCGTGACCTGCGGCGACTTTTCAGCGGGCGCTTCAGACGTAGGACCCTGCAGGGGCGCAAGTGACTGCGGTGGCATTTGTGGCGAAGCAAACTGCACCCGGCGTGGTTGCTCGCAGAGCCCAGGCATCGACCCCCGACGCAGCATCTCCTGTCCCTGGTATGAGACTGGGGGCTGTGGGAAGTAACTTGGAACAGTTGCTGCCTTCCTTGGCGCCTGTTGCTGAAGAGACGCTATGTCCGACAACGGGGCGTTAGGGAGCCGAATTGGACCCTGTGGGCCGGCATCGATGGGCGGGCTCTGAGAGCTGCGAGGAATAGGGAACGTTGCGATGGAAGGCGATGAATAGCTCGAAGGGGGGCCGGAGATAGAGCCAGGGGTAGGAGGCTGTGATGAATACACAGAGACTGTAAAATTGTTAGCACGTGCTTGACAACGCGTTTAAAGAGTGAAAACTTACCATTATCATCCCAGTCGCTGACAGCGCCACCACTTGATGCGGTACTCGAAACGGAGCTACGCCTTGCAAGACCGAACTCTCGCGGCTCCTTCTTGATCTGAGGGGAGCCAGCTACAGGAGCGGGTTTTTGAAGTTTTTTCTCGCCAGGTTTACGCGTCTTTCCACCTGCCCTGAGCTCATCAAAGCGGAGGGGTCGGGGACGCAAGTGGGTACGCTCATAAAGACCACATTTATTGCAGACAATCTTTCCAGGATTGAGAGTGGAGCGACGCCATGAAGGCGGCTCTGTGGTATGACAATTGAAGCAACGGCGCCTGAGGTACTGAGTCTCTTTGCTAGCAGCATCATCTGTGTGTTGGATGGGGACTGAACCACCAGCTCCCGAAGGGAGGAAACCAGGGTGGTGATGCCCGTGAAGGGGATGTGCAGCGAAGCCCAGCTGTGAAGGAACTATGAGGGGTGTGTCCTCGAGTTTAATGGACTGGGGATCGTGGGGGTGACGGGAATCAGATGGATCTGGGGAGAGTGAAAGCGGCTCATTGTACATGGAGGGGTATTGATCATAAAATTGGGGGTGGTGAGGTATATGATGGGGGTGAATGTCATGTCTGACGTAAGGGAAGGTGGCGCGACGGAAAGTAGGATGATCGGACTGGCGCAAGTGCATTTGCTGTTGCTGTTGCTGCTGTTGTTGCTGCTGGTGTTGCCATTCATTGTAGTGCGCGTGATCGTCAATGTAGACTTCATTCTGGTATTGTTCTGGGTGTTCTGGCTCGTACAACTCGCGGAGAAGTGAAGCTTGTGGTGGAGGGTAGTTGTAGTTTGATTGAGATACCCAAGAGTCGTTTTGGATCATTGATCCTGCGTCTGATGGAAGATATGAGTCTTCCTGGAATATGGTTGGGACGGTGGGGATCGGATGTTTGAAGTTGTGAGGAACGAGGAGGTCAACGGACTGAGGAGATGGAGTACGTGGTGTTGATGAAGATTCGGAGTAGGCGGGGGAGGAGTCGGGGTATGGAGATGCGTATGTTGCGAAATCCATGATGGTTGAAAGAAATGTTTACAATCGAAGAGACGAGGAATCGGTAAAATGCAAGGACCCTGCGGGTAAATTATAAGAAGAAGGTCCATGCAGTGTTCAAATTTGGACTAGAGCAACCTTCTCTCCCAGATTTTGGTTACTCTTTCTTTCTAGCCCGTTCCACTATCTCGGTTCAACGCGGAACATCCCGTTCAAAACAAGATTCAGATTCTTCCGGTACCCAGTCAGATCTCCGATGTGCTTATCGCACGACAAACATAACAAAACAAGGTGACATAAGCGCTTCCTCCATATTACGTCCATTTAATTCTCACGCACAGCTAGACTATGCTTGAATTGAGGTAACATCTCAAGTGTCTGGCTTGTTGTGATTGGTCACTGCAATCCTGTATTTTGTATCACTTTTACTAAATTGAGACTTTTGGTCTCACGCTTCCCCTCACCCCTCGCCAGCGCCAGTTTCGCAAGTCAAACCCCGTCCCTCGCATCCCTGAACACTCCGTTCAAACAATATTCTACCGAGTCAAATTTTTCTACTTTGAGACCGACGCCATCACCGCAACATCCTACTAGTCTACTGCCGCTGCCGCTGCCGCTTCCCGCGCCCATTTGCGAGTGGCCGCCTGCGCAGCTCTATTCTTATTATTACTTCCCACTCAGAGCTTCCTGTCTAAATTTGGAACTCCCTTTCCTCCTCCTACACTTGCTGTATCTCCCCACCTGCTGTGTCGTGTTAACCCTCCCGCTTCCGATGCAAGCAGTCAAAACTGTAAATGAAATACCCGCGGTCTAAATTTTGTGTTAGCGCGGGTCCTGTCCTCAACCCTCCCTTCGACAGCAACGCCAACTGTTTTTCCGCATCCTCAACGTCCGCGGGCCGAGCGTTACTGCAGATGAAACCCCGGTATCTCACTCGACTACCGACCTGCCCCTGTTGCGATCACCCGCATTCGCCATATGTATAATGCACGCCGAAACTCATTCAAAGGAAGATCAAGGTTCGAGGTCTAATTGGATATATGGACTGCTATTGCATGAACCAGTTTCGTCACGCGTCATAGCCCGCTCGCACGTTTCCTCAATTCAGCATCTTCACAACGCCCTCTCCATTTCCTGTGCTAGCGCTACACCGGAAAGGACAATCGAACATTGTGCCACATGCACCGCCGATGCTGTGTTCACTGTTTTGGCCTTGCGGCTCGACCGAATTACAACATTCATTGTCACAGCATCACCCTCGAATTTGTTCATGTGACCATCTTGCCATGGGCTATGCCTGCAATGCAGTATTGTTGTTTTGGCGTGGGTCGAATTCAACTTTGTCGGTTGGGGCATTTTTGACCCCAACCTCAGTCTCTCACGTAACCGCGCTAGAATTTCAAGTTCCCAATGAAACACTCTATTCATCTTACTGGTATCCCTAACCTTTAGCAACGAGATGTCGAACCATATGCTCCGTCGTCAATGGGTCGCCTTGTCGATCCTGTGAAGCAGTTGTGGACACAGCAGGTGGATCGTCCCCCACATCAAGACGGCATTCTTTCAATAGCCAGCACGCGAATCCCCACTATCATTCGCTCGTATGATCAATGATGCACAGCACAGGTTGAAGAAGGTTTCCTCGACTTTGAAACATGGGTTTTAGAGCGGCATAACGACATTAATATTGTTCTATAATCACATCGCCCGCCCCAGATGCAACTCTATGAATTTCATCTTACCATCAAACCCAGTGAGCGCAAACGGAGATGAACGACGATAAGGACTGACATTGCCCTTGAATTCTTTCTGCAGTATCAGGTGGTGTCTCGCTCGAGGGTCCAAGTGACGTATTTTTGTCCGCAGGTTTTGAAACTTTGGTTTAGCGCTTATCTTTGTCACGTTGCACATTGAATTGGTTCCGCTGTCATCAAAAAAGCTATGTATGGAGTGGGTTCACACATACGGACTCGTAAGCGGGGACGGGGACTGTGGACCTTGTCGCATTGCGCAAAGGTCCCATAAAGTTAATGCTGTGCATTCTCGCGCCACCCTACAATAGGTGCCAACTAGCTAGCAACATAAGGTAGCGGCTACAATTATGATTCATTCACATTCTATGATTAAATGAACGGCCAGCACTAGTCTCCCCCGAGCCCCTGAACATAGTACCGCTAAGAGTAGATGAATGAAGGTGATCGTTTATTACGACGTCTACGGGCATGGCTAGCACAAACCCTCGACGAACCTTCTTTGAGCACTCCCCGTGCTCCCCGTGACATTTTCCTAGGCCGCTCACTTCTATCTACGTCTATCCGGTGTCACGTCTAGCTCCCATTTTCTCCACTCCACGTTCCACGAAGCTTAGTATTGGCTGACTGAGTTGACTCGGTATATTCCGCAGACGATGGGCTAATGTGCCTTTTCCTATATGTTGTCGATTGGGGGGAGCGCTCGAGTTTTGACACTTTTATGGATAGACGAGGTATCATGTGAGTCCAGCCGAATGGTAGCTCCCTCTCTTTGAGGTGCGATGGCAGCGGATGGACAGCTGGCTAACTCCACAGCCCAACCTCCTATCGCTAGCTATTGGAAGAGGGAGGGGGGGAGAGCGCCAGGGCATCATGAGGTCGCCGCGGCACTCAGGCTGGTGTGACCTTACCACCCCTTTCTATTCATAACCTTGACACAACCCAACCGTCATGTTGACGTAGCGGATGCACTCCGGCATTCAAAATTCTTATCAACACCAGCACTTTTGCTAGCGTGCTTGCCCAAAAGGCTTCTTCCTAGGATTTCAATTACGCGGTTCCGCTCATATTGTAAACATAGTACTCCATCGAAGTTAGCCCATCGGTGTCTTCGGCAGCCCGCGACGCACGCACGCACGCTGGCTTCTTCCTTGCACCGGTAAACCCCGTATCATTCACATCTTTCACCCGCGAACCACAAGTTTTCTAGGCAGGTTCGCCTCTTTCTAGCTCTATTTCCTTTCAAACGAAGATTCCTACGGCGAACTTTGAAATCACCGGAGGCACGCACTGTGCGGGCAATCTGTACGTATTGGCAACAGGGCGCAGGGATGCCGTGAGTCCACTTGTGCACGGTCTTAAGTGGAGGTGATTTCGTTTATTTTCTGCCTTGCGACTGAAACTGGACTTTCGGGACTGTGCGGATGCAAATGGTTGAACTCAGCTCGCCCGTCTAATACAGGTTTGTCTCTTTTCAAAATGCGCGTGGTGGTGGTGGACTTTGGACGAAGTCGTTCCTAACGCCACTGCTCGGACCGTCTACCCCGGACCCTGGACAGCCATTCTAAACGCCACGAAGACTTCTTTCCGACTATTGTCTATCCCCCCCCAGCTGTCCCCTGTGGTGCAGCTTTGACGTGCTACGTACACGAGATCACCGCCGGGGACGGTCGTGTCAGCAAGAAAGTTACGTTGGGGAAGGGTCGGACAGTCGGACATGCCGCCATGCCGTAATCAGGCCACCCATTGGACAATGGACATTTCCACTCGAAACAAAGAAGGTAGAGAGGATATGGCAAGTCGCGTGTACATTAACCCTCTTCTGTATTAAGCCAACCAAGTAATTTAGCGTGCGTGCGTGCGTTACTCGAGCCCCATCGTCCTCAACCAGCTGTCGGTTCTTCGACCCTACGTCTTTTTTTTGTTTTCATTAACAAGAAAAGAAACGATTGATTATCGCTCCATTCTTGGCATGTTTCTGCCCGAGGTTTCCGTTACCGGAGGTTCGGAGTTTTACAGGACAAAAGTACCTTTACAGAGAATGGATGCCAGCGAGTGTTAGTCAATAACTTCATTTCAATTCTCACAGTTACCGTATCACCGAACTAGTGTCAATGAATTGTTGTGATTCCATGGAGCGGGAGACAGATAGACATGGAAGAGACTTGGGCAATATCACGGCATCGTGAATTGTACCTATCTAACTCACGGCCCTTTGCAGCATCGGGTCATCGCAACCAGGGTGTGCTCTATAATTATGGTCCCGTTATGGCATGCAAATTGTATTGTAACTATTGCGGCAGGAGCTCTAATTGGTGACATTCTGTGGGTCAAGAGTGGGCGGAGAGACTGAGGGTTTTGTCTGGTGCACGTTCCCGGTAACATCAATTTGCTAGTATACGAGAATGAGTTTCAGCGCTTGGACTTCCATTCCTTAAAGTATGTATGTAAGAGCTCCTCCTCAAGCTCCGGTCTTCCATTGTAAACCAATGGCAGCTCTCTTGGCTGAAAGACACAAAGAAGGAATACTCGAGTCTATTCTTCCTGGCAGAACAAGGAGACTAGATCAAAGAAGGCAAGGTACAGCAAGTCAACCCAGCTGAGCCAGTATGTAGCACGCGGAGGCCGAGAAAGAAGGCTGACAGTGACATTGCAGAAACAAGAGATGCAGCTCCCTTCTTCCTGTCAATTCGAAAAGAACGGAGCTTGCATGGAGGGAAGAGTCACCAAGAACGGCAAGTCGAAAATATTTTTGCGCCACAATTTGGATTGTCGGTGCCTGCAAGGCAAAGCGCCACTGCAATCATGACACGTTGTCGAGATGAGGCGTGGCTCGTTGAACGGACAACAAAGTCATCCCATGACATACATGCCAGGTTACCTGTATCCCCTATGGTCAGTTATTAGCTATTTGAGTAAAGTTGGAAACAAACTTTGAATCGCGAACGGGAATTGTATGGGTGGTTACGAGTCGCATGTTGCTGCACTCGCACATCCGTGTTGAGAGGAACACTACGCCACATTGACATGATTTCAACGGGATGCCATTCTAGACGTCGTCGATCGAGGGAAACCATGAACTTCATCTGAAAAAGAATACATTTATTGTGCCCTTGCATAACGGGTACGCCGGCGGCACCGTATACTTGGTATTCCAAGAAGCTTGGTCTGGAACTCCACTTGGCGAGACTTGGGAGAAACAGATGTTAAAACGCGGGAAATTCATATGGGCTGGCATCGCTTATCGATACAGGAGAATTCCCACTGAGCAGTCGAGCGCCTGGCGTGTGTACACGCGAATCGTGTACTCCTGGACACACGTTTTCCCCCCATATAACGTAACCAAGACAGCTCCAAAGATACAGTGGCTATCGCAGGTACCAGTATGCTGCAAAAGTGGAAAAGACCAAGCAACCAACGACCAAGTAAGAAAAAACAAGCGAACGTACGGATTGGGTTCCAATGGGGATCACGGCGAGGGGAAAATAACTCGATTATGGACGAATGCTCACACAGTAGACGCCCTGCTTCAGGATTAGTGATTTGATTTACATTGTATTTTTTTCGGACAGCCCGTGTCGCGAGCCTACTCTTGATCTACGTGATCGAATCTAGGACCCTATCCTGTACTCCACTGCCACCGAACGTTGCCAGAGACAGCCGCATAGTAAGGGAAAGCCAGATATCATGATCAGGAGGAGTGCAGCATAGGAACCCCCGGTCTAGTCGCCAAAGAAAGGGTGCTCTTCCCGTAAAGGTAGCGGCTGTAGGGTGGCCGATTCTGGGAAACAGAGGACATGTCATCGATCATCGATCACCTATAGACCCGTGCAATACAGCAAGAGTGTAATGCAAGTCTTCCTATAAGCCACTCATCAATGCAACAGGAGCGATGGAAACGCTGTTGCAGATAGCCCAGTTGTCCGCTGTCCCAAAGCATATGGCAACTCCGTTCTACCAGCACCTGCCCGACACCTCATCTTCCATCACGATGATTTTAAGTTCCCCTGAAACTCCTTTGCCCAAGGCCACAGCCAAGGCGATACGAAGGGGAATGTGAGGGTAGAATAGGGCCTATTTCTTCCGGCCTTTCCGGCCAGGACCAGACGCGGGAGGACCCATCTTTCTAATGCACTCATCACAGAACCAACTCTCAGGGAGTGGTTGCTTGAGGTTGACACAAGGGAGGTGAAACTGCGAACGTGTCAGATAATCGCTGCCAAATATGAAGCATAGGCTTACCCATTGATAAGGGCAATCTGGGTTGTCACACGCGATCATTTCTCCGTAACTCAGCTTCTGGCAGAAGCAGTACAGTTCCTTATCTTCACCATCTTCGCCCTCTTCACCTTCACCTTCTTCTGCTTCTTCTGCACCTTGAGTTTCCTCTCCATAGTCATAATCGAAGTCCTCAGCCTCGGATGAAGCTCCTCGTCTTCTCCGGCGGCCCCGAGTAGAAGGGGCATAGGCAGATGGCGCGGGTGATGGCAACTTAATAGAGCCTTGCGCCGTCATTAATCTCCGTTCTTGAATCTGACGTTTAGCACCAAAATTAATGGCATAAGCCTGCAAACTCACTTTTGAATGCATTGTCCTCCCCAGTAACAGAAGCACGGCCCCCGACAGCAGACATGCTTCCTGAGCCACTTGCCAGAGGGATGGCGGTACCGCCAGCGAACGCATTTCGTAGGCTTTCATTGATTTGAGCGACCGGATTGCGTCCTCCAAGTACATAGCCGGCAGTACCACTACCAAGCCCTGATACAGAGACTGGAGTCGAAGTCGCAGCGCCAGCGAAAACAGCTGCTGGATCCGTTTCCCCTTGTAGAACGAGGACACGGCCCAGGTCATATTCTAACCGGGCCCGCTTCCTGGACAGTAGATCGACGATACGAGAGGCTATGGCAATTTTCTCGTCTGAAAGCGCCGAGAGTTTCTCTTGAGCGTCCTTCAGTTTCTCAGTTGGTGGTGTTGTTATTTTATCTTTCTCTTTCGAGGTGAGGTCCGCGCCGTCTGATCGTAGGGAATGTCGCATATATTTGTGAGCCTCTTTGGCTAGATCATTTTGGATCTCTGAAATTATAAATGAATATGAATATGCATATCTCGCCCGAGTCTGTGGTATTATAGTCACATACCTTGAGAGTCGGTCTCTTTCGAGCGAAGCTCTTGCAGAAGAAATTGTACTTCGCTAGGTAAGTTATCAAGGGCTAATTAATTGAGCCTCCTTAGCTTGCTGAATCCTATGGAGTGTGAAGTAGGCTCACTCATTATGAATTCCGACGCTATCGTGACAGCTTCCTCCAAATTTTGGACGCTCGCATTGTTCATGGTCTTTACGTTCAGTATCGTCAATTACCAGTCGTTGGTTCGAGCTCAGGGTGTGCTGAGCTCGAGCTAGAGGTTGACAAACAACGACGTGTATTTCAAACTCCGCGAATCTCGGTTATGTAATCATGATGAAAGTAAGTTGTTAATGATGAAAATCGTTTATCTTTTGACGGTCAAGGCGTCAGTCAAGGGAACTCTCGACATTCAAATAAATCAACGTCAACGTTCACAGCAGCTTTCAGGATCGCAACTTCTGTAAGTAATAAGGTCACGAAATAATGGAGGCACGGCGCTAACTAATGTACCAAACTGGTCACTCTAGTGGAAGTTTACCACGCAGACTTTGACTGACAAGTTACACCCAGGATCCTGTACCATGGGATCAAACTAGTCTCCCCTGTCCAGATTGAACATGTGATAATTGTGGCGAAGTCCTTTCACCAGAACTTCACTAAAATTAACACATGTTCAACTGTGCCATTGACTTTCCCCTCGTCGTGGGTCCAAACGCTTTCACATGATGAAACACTCAGGATAGCCAGCACCGCAATTTCAAAGACCGTGTGACGACACCGACGATGTTATTAAAAGAATAATGCTTACAGCAACTCTGTTAGCTGTGCGATGTCGAAGGTAAGCCGATGTCATTATTCCCTTCTAATGTTTCGACGCTTCCAAAGGCTCAGACGCTCACTGACCTCATCTGTCTTACAGAGGGTTCAAACAGGCACAACCGCAATGCACCCGCTTCGGCGACAGCGCGGAAAGTGCGGCTGCGCATATCTATGAAATACAAACCATTCAGCCACGGACTGAATGTTCCGCTGCCGGGTTCCTGCGACGCCACCACGGCGGATACAGTGAAGTGTTGAAGTTAACAATCCAGTAAAAATAAACACACCATCAGTTCCCGAATAGTCTGCGAGTTACCGATAAGTGTTCTAATCATATCTGCAGATGGGATGCGTCGTAGTGACGCGCCTTAGGACTGCGTTCCTGCTTTGAGAATTTGCACTCTCTGGCCATCCCGGGTAGTGAAGTTACTACGGTGGCGGGATGCTGTACACTGCGATGAAACTGACGACAATGCTGTGTTCAATGTGAAGAAAAGTTGATAATGTCCCTCGATATGATCACATATCTGATGGGTTCTCCACGAGCAGGCTCCGCACTTAGTCCCAGATAATTCACCACTGGTCTACATCGGTCGACTGCGATGTCACCGTGGTGAATTCCCTGCTAAATCCGTCCGTGCTATTGAATTTTGCAAGTCGCCGTCAAATTAGAGTTTGTCGGGGATGTCTAAGCTGGGGTTCGCCCCTCATCTATGTTAGTCTTCTAATAATTGCCATGCCTTGTTTTTTTGTACTAAGCATGGTGGCCCTGTACGAAATTCTGTACTGCCTCCAGCACTCCGTCCAATAGTTGGGCGTATGTAGACTGATCTGTCGGCTTGTCTCGGATTAATGGTCATGAGTCTAGTCTAGGTGGACCCACTAGCACCATGGCAAGCCGCCAAGTGTGATATAGTTGTGAAATCTGCTGGAAAAGTAGCCAAACTTGTTGTGGCCGCTTCGTTTCGCGTTTCAGATGAGGACGACGACACAATACTCTCCAAGTAAGATCGAAGTTCCGCATCGATGTCAAATGAGCCCGTCTGCGTTTGACCACGAGTTACGCGCAACTCAATTTGTCACACATCTAGATCCGGGCCCCTATGCACATGCACATGCTCTGACAAGGCCCCTTGCAGACAAATGACCTGTTTCCAAGTGGCATGTGTATCATGTACAACTAACCTACCGGTGACTAGGAGACAACTTGTCTTGTGAAAGAAAATTGGAAATGTCATGGCACTAACTAGAGCTCCTTGACATATCCCGGGCCGCTCATAGGTTGTCCTGGGACATAACCCTATACGAGGGAAGTGTAGCGTACCTAGCGGTGCGGCGACCCCGAACGGCGCTCTCTCATAGTGATCGGCATTGTGCGGAGCCTGCTGGATGGCGAGAACCCGGCGGGAGCGAAGACGAGGGAAGTACCCAAATTAGCCGCTGCCAGGGAAAGTCGCGGAAAAATTGCGTTCAGCTGCAGATAGAGTATTAAAAATTCAGACCGCGACTTTTGTTTACCCCAAAATACCCCTGTGGTACCTGTCAATGTTCATTCACCTCAATTCCCGACAATAATGGAGTTTCGCGGGGACGTAACCTTTGGGATGAAAAACGCCGTGTCCATGAGAGACTATCTCGGATACGCGTACCTGCAAGAAAACCTCCATGCGAAAAATGGGTACCCTTTTCAGTTAAGTTAGTTGGCGATGACGGCAAGCGTCTGCGCAATTATCTGGGCACCTACATGTAGGCAACACCCGCCGCCGGGTTTCTTGCGATTGATAAGCCTCTCCACGTCGCTGACTACGACAAGTCCGCGCTTAAAGACAGCCGCCATGCTACTAGCTCCCTGCCCCAGGACAACAAGCGAACTGTAAGCACCTGTGAGCCTTAATTGAGCGCCATTAAGCTTAAGAGACTCAGAGACTGGTAATTACCATGACTGTTGGCGGCGACTTCGGCCGGCGGTGTAAGAAGAATTCTTGGCGGAGAACTCGCAGGGTTGCAAAGAAGCCCAACATAAACACCCTCATAACGTTTCACCAAGCCCGCGACAATTGGGCGTATTTGTGAATGTTTAGGCTGTGAAAGTTGACAGTTGATCCATAATTGGCACTCAATTCCGCGGAATCCTTAGAATCTAGATCCTTGCATCTTGCCATGTCCTGCTGATCGACTGAATGGACTGGTGCTGCAAAATGTGTACCCGTGCGCCGTTTAAATGGCCTAGGTCACACGCACACAAGACGCATGAACCTACTTGACAGTGCCTAGAGGTTAATGCTCTTATCGATCCAGTTTGTAATTCTTACCCCTATGGGAAGTAATTGTCGGTGTTCCATAACACTGGACAACGAGAATGCAGTCGCGACCCTCTGTCGTCACTAGCGGTGCTGTTATCTGTCCATAAGCCCGTCAATACGTTGTATGGCAAATCAAAATGAAGACAAAGACTTCTGCGGACTCCGTGCCGGTTCGGGATCTGCGTAATAAGTTAATTGTCATCACCTGAGCTTTTAATGCGGCGGTAGGTTGTTCGGGGGCGTCCCTACGGGCTGAGCTGTGGAGCTTGGAAGTCAAGAATTTAGTAGCTTGGCAGCTGCTCCACTGCCAAAGCATCCAGGGAAAATGACCATATGGCGCGGGGGATCGATAAAGAATATGAAGCTCCAAGTTGACAATAACAATCTGATGACACAAGCAGAGGCGGTAGAGCCCTGTGGGTGCGCTGCAGAAGCCCGTACGCATTCGTGAAATGGTGTTTCGTGTCCTTGACATGTGCACCCTAGTGGCCCAAGGTATCAACTTGAATATACGGGTTATACATGCAACATGGTTCGCGTGATAACAAAATTCAGGCATTGCCGATGTTCGATGATTCGTGCCAGACAGTGTGACTGTGGACATTCAAGAATTAGTGAGTAGTTAAGCCACGCCGGTACTTACTTGAGTTCAAGTTGTCTGGAATAAAGTAGTAGTAGAAAGTTACGGTACTGTATGATGGCATCATGGGGAAAGTTGACTAGCGGTGCACAGCCACCGCATCCTCCAAACGTGCGTGCACACTGCAAGGCGTTGCAAACCACCTCATTGCTCAATCAGCGCCAGTGCTTTGCTCTCGAGTCCTAAGCGTTATCATGTCGTTCGAGCATGCTCCTGTCACTAAAGGTCTAATGAGGCTGCTTCACTCTATTAACCAGTTCACTTACCCTTGCGTATGCTGCAGGTCTCATGATGGGTAGCGCATTGACATCCATCATTGGTGGCATTTTCGACGTCAAGCACTACTTACACCTTCAGGTTCGAGTCTTGAACTGTAAAGCAGATTCTCAGCTTAGCTAGCTATATTATTGCAGCTCGTGCCTCACGTGTCACGCAACCATCAGGTATCCGAGTACAAGTCCATTCATGCTTCAAAAAACTGAATCTGAACTAGACATACTTCTTCTTTACAGTACTGGCGCCTCCTACTTCATCAGACTGCCTTTTCGAATTCAAGCGATCTCCTCGTTGCCGAAATTTTGCTATATGGCGTCGGTGTGCATGTGGAACGTCAATTTGGAAGTGTTAAATTCGCGGTGTGTAGCAACGTATCCGTTCTGATTTTGTCGTACTAACCCGTAGCAAAGTCATTTACCGTGGCCTCCGTTCTGCTCGCGACGATATTAGAGTTTCTTACTCTCATATTATTCCACAATATGGGAATCAACCAGATCCCATCTGGTCCATCCGCGCTAATCTTCAGCATTCTTTATCAATGGTATAGGCTGATTCCCCCAGCGTACCATTTTCGAATATTCGGAATTGCTGGGAGCAATAAAGCATTCATGTACATACTTGCTTCTCAGGTAATGCTAGGAATTCGGTCCACGTTCTACTACTGATATCGAATATCCAGCTCGCTTTAGGGCACCTTCCAGGTTCATTTGCCCCAGCGGTTGTCGGACTGCTCACTGGTTTCATATATCGCTCAGAACTTGTCAATATTAAAAGTTGGCGATTGTCGCCGTCTATAATTCGCTTTAGTACGCGCTTCCTGCTTCCATTGATAGGCTCTACTCGTGCACCACGACGGTCTACCCGTGCTCGTCCCGAAACAACCCATCCGACGCCGAACCCTGAAATCGGAAATGAAGAAGTAATCACCACTGCGCGTCCTTCGGCAGGCACAGAAGAAACTGGAGGCTCCGTCGTGCGGGAATGGGTTAACGAGCTCACAGGGAGGAACGAGCAAGGCACGCCAGGGGTCCGTGTCCCGAGTGATGCTGAGATTACTCAGTTGACAACCATGTTCCCAAATGTGCAACGAGCTGTTATCGTCGGGGCATTGCAGAGGAGGTTAGCTTTCCTATTATTTCATGAGATAGTGTTGGGCTCTGACATGTAACCTGTAGTCCAAACATCGAGAGTGCAGTTGAATTGCTCTTGACGTCCTGATGATAATGCTGCTTTCATTTTGGACATCCTTATACATCCCTTTGCAGAAGTTTTCCCATCGGAACGGTGTCTCACGTATTCTGGGAATACACATATCTTTTTGCATACTAAGATACATAGCTCGGTAGGAAAGGGACACCTTCAGGCCGCGGACTCAGGTTCATCCCCTTCATACCCCTCACCATCCTCGTCCTCGGTAGTGAAAGCAGTCATAGGCACAGCGTAAAGACGGATCACCGACTAAAACATATGGATGAGCAATGAAGCGAATGGAGCCCTATGGTATGACATTACCTTATTGGGATCCTTGATAAGGACGTACTTGCCCTCAGGCATTTTCATACACAAATCGGTGATCGTTCTGACGATACCCCAGCCATTGGCAAGAGAGACATTCAGCTGAGCGGCAAAGTCTGTTGGACGCATGGAAGCCGTGCTTAGAATGACGTGTCTCGTGTTGTCTTTAGGGTTTCCACGCGAGATATAACTGTGAACGCAGGTCAAAAAAATAAGCCGCCAGGAATTGTTAAACCCAAAGAGAGCAAAGAGCTTGAAAGTTCAAACAGGAAACAGAGCTTACCCTATTTTCATTAGCTCAGCTCCCGCCAGTACACTCTGCACAGTCCACTTGGCGAGCTTGCAACTATTATTTTTCATTTCTGTAGCAACTACAGCGCCACGCTGCGAATCCAATTTAGACCGCCAGTCAGGAGCACCGCCTGCTCCCTGTGCACGGGGGTCAAATTCGTTCAACGCGCGAATGGTGACCAATCCGTGGCCCTCTTGTGGATTTCCTGGTCCGGGAACATAAGCATCCACTTCAGTGCGGATGCAGATCTTCACATCTTCGTCCTCCGTGATACCAAGGTCGAAAACACGGTAGCGGTATCCACAAGACGCCAAAGGCTCAGTCTCTTCTGGCCCATAGAATGGGTTAGGGTGGGCAAAATCCGCCGTGATATTTTCCTGAACAGATTGGAATCCAAAGTTTTGATTGATGTAAGTCGCCTCCAACGAAAGTGACGTGGCCGCATTAATGGATGGCAGCTCTGGAACCGCTGTCTTCTCGGCCGGGTTGTTTGGGTTTGGGGGTGCAGGGTCTTGCGGAGGGTCCGAAGCGTTCTCGTTGACCGTAACAGTGTCAAATGGACCACCGTCACGTTTATCGAAGTACAGGTTATTACCCTCACGGAGGATGACAATATCCCAAGGGTTGACTGATCGAGGCGCGCACATGAGGACCGACAGGATAGCATCCGTCGTGTAGACATTAGCAACATTTTTCGAGACCAACTATATGCGAGATTATGCATCATAAGGTGCAAAGACAACAGAACATACCTGCTGGATGACGGGGTCATCAGAAGTTGTAGTGTTGTACTTGATGCGGTCCACGAGTTGTAACGGGCGTTCGGTCTTCGTTGTAATTCGATCGTATGATTTATCATACGCGAAAACGCGGCCGTAAGTGTCACTAGTAGTCATCTTCAATACGGTATGGTGGCTGAAGAACCATGAACACTCACATGTCTTCTGGCTCGTCAACTTCAAGCTTGAGCTTGGCAAGCCGATGGAATTCGATCTCCTCCAACATGGTCCATTGTGGACTGATTGCAACAGACGATTCGCGAGTGCGGTTTGTCTGACCCATAAAACATAAGCTGAGCCAGCAGTGAATAGGACACGCGGTAAACCTTTTCCCAATCTCTCCATCCTTTCCGACCCCCACGTTGTGCACCCCCTCGGTTATTGAAACCACCACGGCCACCTCGTTGGGCAACCCCCCGATTATTAAAGGACATGCCACCACGACCAGTAGCCCTTCCGCGGGTAAACCCGCCCCTGCGAGGAGGAGCAGCTTTATTATCCACCAGAGAGAAGCTGGATTCGTCTTCCACGTGGAAGTAAGCAAAAGCACTGGCAGTCCCACTGCCAAATGCCTGAGCACCGTCTCTTCTTGAGCGACCTGGACCGCGGGCATCCCTCGTCGAGGGAAGTCCTACAGCAGTCTGGCGAGTATCGCCTGTGGTATCATTCCAATCAGCGAAACGGCCAAGTTTATCAGATTTTGAGTATGGCGCATATGGGATGTCCTTGAACTTGAACTGTTCAGGAATGTTAGAAGACGACGGGCCCCATCCTCCATCAGGATTGTCATGAATTGGCGGTAAAGTGAAGGAAGCCATTGTGGTCTGCGTTGATGGCAAACAAGATGAGCTACTGAAATTTTGAGTTCAGGAGGGCGTGGGAATCTTGCCTTCATCTCTACAGTCATGAAGTGGGTATGAATCTATGATCGTTCCTCTACAAGTCTATTCCATCTAATTATTGAATTCTGATAGCGTCGTTCGCGAAATAAATAAGATCAACGAACGTGAACTCGAACTCGGGATTTCAGGTTCATGGCATGATGAGTACAAGGGTGAGTCGCGGCTCACTGTGTTGCTCTGAGGCGCGCATGACTCGCAATATACTAGATTCTGCGTATGTATTCATCGGCGGTCTGAACTTTGACCTGACTGAAGGTGATGTGATCACAATATTTTCCCAGTGCGTCAATTACTTTGGGCCATTTGAATGTCGTTGAACCGCTTGGAAAGGTATGGGGAAGTCATGGATGTCAATCTCCCTCGGGACAAAACCACTGGGAAGACCAGGGGATTTGCCTTCCTCATGTATGAAGATCAAAGGTCCACGGTATTGGCCGTCGATAATCTCAATGGTGCCAACGTGCTGGGCAAGACGCTGCGTGTGGACCATGTAAAGAACTATAAACAGCCAAAGGTGAAAGGCGAAGATGGAGAATGGGAGGAACCCGAAGAACAGAGTTTGAATGCCAGGCCAGAGATGGTCATGGGTGAGTAGCCCCCCTCTATGTTGTGGATAGACTTCAACGCGTGTTGCCGTCACAGATGGAGGTCAAGCATCGGATTCAGATGCGTCTTCGGTTATTTCCATCGATCCTGAAGACCCAATGCGGGACTACATCTTGGCACAAAGGAAAGAAGAAAAAGCCCTAAAGAAATCCAAAAAATCCAAAAAATCGAAGAAATCCAAAACATCCAAGAAGCGGCGTGGTGACGATGGCAGGAGATGACAAGAATGAGTAATCAGAAGTGTTTGTTTGTTTTCTCAATGACCATATCTCAACAACGCTAGACTCTGCATATAATGTATGGCATGCGAGACTTCGGGTGTTTAGAACACGGAAGGTATCTTTTTCGGCAGTGTGTCAAATCTTACGAAGACGACCGCGGCAAGAACCGAATGGATTGGTCGAGTGACACTCAAGTTCTGACCGAGAGAAAATTGCATGGCTCCGCGGTGTGTTAGTGTTCTACAGGCTCTTGCTCTTTAAATCTGGCCTGTAAGCGACTGACACCTGTCTTGCTGTCAGGTGAGGGCGCTGATACCCGTAACAGAGCGAGAAGAACCACGGCTAACCGCATGCTCTGTCGGTCTTTTGCGCGTGATCGCTTAAAGGACTTAATTCGGGTTTCGGTTGCAGAAGATTTCTTCGCAAACCTGTACCTGGGGAGTTTTAGGCGCACCACATTCATGACCTGAGAATAGCCAGTTGGTGAGAGAATATGACCGAAGAGAAATTTGATTAGAGAATACGCACGAAGAAACAGGGATATGTTTGGAACTGGTGAACCATCTTGGGACGTCTTATGAAGGCGATAGTATTTATTCTTGTGATATGCGTGGATTATCAACTGGACGTCCTGTCATTGAGGCATCCACGAAACGTGAGAGAGGTGATGCCAGTGCTCGCTAAATTCCCTGGCACCTGAAACAAGGGAGTGTCAATTTGGGATTGGGAGGTTTGGAGATTGTCCCTGGTGAGACCTTGAAGCAAAAATATGTGTAGACTCTCCGTGTCCGAGGGCACCTTAGACCTCCGTGGATGACCTTGAAAGGATTTATTACAGACCAGGGAGTCATAGATGGTGCGTTGTGCTGAGGCAGAGTGTGACCGGCTCGAGGCCACTGCTTCATTCATCATTAAACCATATAGCCTTGATGCCAAACAGGAGAATAGCTACACGGTGCGGCATCGTGACAGAGATACTCTTTCAGAGTAGATAGACAGCTGCTCCTATCACAGTCAAGTTAGTTCCATGTCAGCGACACGATTAACGCAAAATTCATGGTTTACTTTGCTTGATAAAAGGGCTCGCAGGCATCAACAAACTAACCCAAGGTTTGCGCCATGACCGTTCAAGTTGGCATCCAAAGTATTGATTGTGGTGAGGTGATAATTCCCGACAGTGGAAACTTCCTTTCGCAAGTCAGAATATATGTCGCTCCAGATAGGAGTTCCTGTCTACTACCGTGGCCCGCCGTCCCAAGGATTCAGTGCGGGAGCGTGTGATTGTAAAACGAAGCTGGATATCACCGGTGTCACCATCCATGGTCCTCACCCGAAACCCGTTGGTTGGTATGCACACACCCTGGGACATCATTTTTAGGCTGGTGCGCGAGGGAGACATACATGTTGCGCGACTCGGAGTCCGCGACTTGATCGCCCTCGTGAACCGGGCCTGAGGCCTCCAAACCGGAACAAGAGCGCGATGCTCATTGCAACGCCGCCCTATATATAGTCTAATAGAGTGTCCAATGAGTGCATAACAAGGGGCCAAGGGCAAAGTTTGTGATCATCAGGATTCAGCATAGACACTCACAGGAAACTAAGCCCCGCTCCAGATTTTCGAAGTGTTCCAGGTGTTTCATGAAACAGCTCTAAGTCCAAAACACTGATGGCATCAGTGACGATTGGACTCTGAATGACATCTCCACGAGGCCACGGCCATCAGGAAGTTCCACTAATCTATCATTGATTAATTGACTTTTCATTGCACACGTGACTTCGGATATGCCACCAACCATCGTCCTCAGTGACTTTAGCACTTCACGCTCAGTTCATGTCCAGGAGGACAAACCAATCGCGCATTTTGTGAGCAGATCAAGTCGTCTTGGACACCAGTGAGGATGTCCAAATATTTTTCATGCCCTAAACAAAGTCTATTGTCTTTACAGCCACTTTAATTGTATTGTTCAACGTTCAACTCCGAAGGTTCTTTTGCAGGAGAGATTCATGAAAGAGGGTTAAAAACTTCGCTCTTCACTCGCAACAGAAGCTCTCAAGTCCACAATATTTAATCGACTCCCCCGCTTGTAACAACAATTTTCTCTGGCTGGCGGAATGATGGCTATTACACGCTCTGCCAACCCAAATTCGCTATCGACGCCATCTAGAGCCAAACCTCGCTCTAGTGTTGGAATGACAACAGATCTTTCGACCCCAGGTGCGTCTCCGCGCCGCACTCCCCACTGCAAGACATGCCACCGACCCAGGCAGGGACATCCCCGCTCCGGCTGTCCTTATGTTGAGCCCACTGCGTCAGATCAGACTAGTGGTGCCACGGAAGATATTGCGGACGAACTGTCATCCTTGCACATCGTAAATCCAAATGACGAGCGTTCTCCCCTTCCCACTGAAACGCCCACCCAATCCAAGAACCTCAAACGCCGACTCTCTGTCCGGTTCGCTCTTCTTCCAGCGGGAAGTCTCGCTTCACTCTCCACTACATCTTCGGAAATCGTAGAGAGGCTTCTCCAACCAGGAATGATGAGTAATGCGTCCGATGACGATGGTGATGGTAGTGATGGTCAGGGAGCAATAATGCAATGGAAACGGACTTTGACTAGTCCCGAATCTCCTCCGGAAGACACTCCAGAACTCAGCTCCAAAGCGGACAAAGAGCCATACGCAACCAATCACGCTAGTTCGGGCACCAGACTGTCACGTCGTATGCCATGCACGCTGCGGACCCCGACTCCGAGCCTAGCTTCCACAATACCACTTTCTAACCAGCCCACAAGTGACTTTGTGGACATGAACAACACCGTCTTCCTTGATTCAGATGCCGAAAGGAAGCCAAATCATCTGGCGCGAACGATGAGCGCCGACGAGAGGTCATTATTCCTCGATAATCTCGCGCAATCATCAGGAGCTGCACCTGCCATGTTATTCTCTGTCCCCCTGATCGATCTCAGGGCCGTACAATATGATGCAGAGAAACTGGGTTTCAGCGTCCGAGTTTTGCCGAATGGGAGCTCACGAGAGCACCGATGGGTCATACTGGCTAAGGAGGGAGATGCAGCGGAATTCCTCGAAAAGCGTCTCACAGAGGAAGAGGAGAAAGGGCGGAAAGCAAAGGGGAATTTTGGTGTTGCCGCTGGCGGAGCACTAGTGGGCGCTGTAGCGACCTTCACGGGACTGGCGTTTTCCTGAAATGACTTTCCTTGCCCAATACAATACACTGACATTCGGTTCAATGATAAAGTACTTGTACGCGTATCTGTATGCTAGCAGTGTCGTTGGTTTTGGCTTGCACTGCTTAAGAGTGCTAGTCTCCTTTCCTGCATTGGGAGTCTGGGACAGCCACTGCCAAACAAACTCAGCTGCGCCCTTTGCAATCGTGTATCTGCTGGGCGCTGATTTCGTAACAGAAATGTCGACGTCGCCAGGAGGCACTATTGAGAGTTTTGAGACGTATACTCAGGGAGCTGAGCAAGATGAACAGGGTTCTGGGGACCTTCCAACTTATAACGACGTTGCCTCCCAAAGCGGCCCAAATTCACGGTACGCAGACAGGAGAACGTGCCGATCAACACAATCTGACATATTCACTGATGGTAGCTTTGGCCGCTGGAGAGGATGGATAGAAAAGAGGTGAGCGCGCTAGCGCTGATTAATATGCTTGCTTTTGATCGGAATGCAGAGCTGCGGAGCGTTATGCAGACGTCACTGTCGAGGAAATCGAGCGCAGGCGAGCTAGAGGGTGGAGTGAGAACGAGTCATCACAACTTGGTGTATGTGTGCACTGCCTCGCGATGTTATTGTCGACTCATGGACCGCACAGGTGGAAAATGAAGCCAACTCTATCCCGGAACATACGAGTCGTAGTTCAACCCCCAGGCCACCGCGCTTAAGAATAAATCCAGATCTTCCTGCTCCTGCACCTCCCACTGAGGTACTCCCTGATGAAAGTACAACTCCTGAACCATCGCTGGAGCCTTCTCTGCACATACCAGAGGAACATCTGTCCCCAACCCATCTTTCAATCTATCATTTTGGTTCCCGTTTTTTACCACACTCAACTGCTCCTATCAGATGTATTCTTCCTCTCCAACATGACCGTCTCCTGCTCATAGGCACCGATGTTGGGCTGTCAGTCCTTAACATGTTCCCTGCAAAGTGGGCTGATGAAACAAGTCCTGATGGGGTGACTGGTATCATTCAAAAAGGACCCGCGGACGCACAGGCCAGAGTAATGTGGACAGGAGAGGCGTTAGTAAATGCTTATTCATATTACCCTCACCGACTATTAACGTCTGGTATATTGCAGTGTTTACCAGTTGTCGATTTTGGAGTACGAAGATGCCGGCGAGAGGGCCCCGCAAGGGGTTGTGCTTGCTTTGGTAGGCCCTGAGCTCGAGGATTCTCCATCTTCTGGCTCGCATCAAGAATCCCCGCGCTCCCTCAGAATGTATAAACTTGCAAGCCTGACTAGCCTGGCAAAGTGGGCCATCGCGCAACAAGTGAGATTCTTATTTAGTCCTCCCTCGCGTTATCCAAATATTTACTTCGCTGGCCAGGGCGCGCAGCCGATTGATTTGCGCAAGTTAGCAGACTGGCATCCCCAAGAGACACCAGTGAAGAGGCACAGACCAGCAAGTAGCATTACGAAGGGCTTACGAAATCTCATCACCGAGCCCCCCTCTCGTATGCGACGGACGAGTTTCCTTCCAACATCGAATACAAAGCGCCCGTCGACACCAACAAGGAAAGATTCATCTTGGGATGTCGTCGACGATTTACCATTGCGCTGGGCTACTGATTTTACGTCACTCTCGTCAGCTGGTTCCAGAATGTCGAATTCCAGTGTGACTTCTTATGCCCTCTGGCACGAAGGCCACACGGGCTCCACCCGCCGTGCATTGCTTGCTGTGGCGACTAAGACTAACATATTTTTATACGAGACTCCGAGAGGGGAGAGGGCTTTTCATTTTGTGAAGGTGTGTATCGATCTTCTGATGCTTAGTTTGACTACAAGAATCTTTGCAGGAATTTTACACGCCATCGCAGCCACGCTCTCTTATCTTTGTCCAGCAATCCGTGCAAGACATCTTTCGATCACCATCTATCGGGTCTCTTCGAACGGCTGGCCATAACCGTGGAGCTTCCGCAGACGCATCCACTTCGTTCGCCATGTACAACTCCCGAACATCCCCAGTTGCACCTGCGAACATTTCATATGAAGCCCAAATAGCAATTTTTGTGGTGTTCGATAAAAGAGCTGGAATCATACGAATAGCTGATTCAGCGGTCACGGAAGTAGACATGTTCGAGAGCGGAGGGAGCATCATCAACCTTTCCCCCACGGGCGGGAGTGGATCCAGCGTGACACTGAACGCTGGAGGATCTCTTCCAAGTCGTCGGTCTCGTGCTTCTATCGATTTCGCGGCTGGAAAAGAACACAAGGGCGCTTGGGTTCTACCTTCAAAAGCTGACATTCCACCTATACATATTCCCCACCTTGGTGCTTCCTACAGCAGCGTTTTCATCCTCACTCGCGGCAAAATTACGCACGTCGTTGCTGCCCCCCTTCCCGCATCTATTCACACTACGCCTCCTTTGTACACTGTAACCTGGGAGTTTCCGCCTACAAGCGTGACCGCACGAGCACACTTGCCGGCGCCGAGTAATTCACAAGAACCTTCTCCCGAACCTTCATTACAACTGATTGGGATGGGTGATGAAGGCGTTGATGTTCACGAAGTGCCCCTATCATATCTTTCGGGCAGTTACAAGGGTAAAGGCAAGGCACTGCCTGAGCCTCCCTATGCGCAGAACCCACTTGGCGAGACTGGTTTCCTCACGGTTGGAGGACGTTGGCATCGTTACATTGGCCCACCTCAGATGGAGAGAATGAATTCTGCCATGTCTGCCAGCTCATTTGAGAGCACTGGGACCGAGGAAATCTTATCGCGTGTGAAGGCAGAGGAGGGCGTGTATGGGTGGTGGCGGAAGGAATGGCAGGACTGGCGAATCTTTTGGTTGGGAGGTGACACCAACACCGGCACTAGTCCGGTGGATAACTGAACAACGACACTGACCTTGGATGCTTCCATGGACATCTTAATTCCATCTAATCATGACTACTTAATTTATCTCGTGTCAGGCATGCATGTATCAAATCCAGTACTGTAACCTTATGTACCAGTAACACAAAACAAAGTGCGGAGCAAGAGTTCAGACACGAGTGCAGTAAATATTACACATGCAAGAGATGTTGCCTACTGTAAGAATCCCGAGGTGGTACGTCATAGATGCAAAGCAGGACAAGGTAAGAGGAGAGCGTAAAAAGGTGCATATGCACATTATATCATTTCATGGCTTCCGAGATTTCGCTTGCGAGGAAGGTCCTCCTCCAGTTTCGTCCATTGAGTACCTAACTCTGTGAATTTGTGGGTGAGTATCGGGTTGCGATGACTGAGGTTTCCGCGCCCGAATAACGACGAACGACTTTCCAGGATCCTTCGGGGATGAACTACCTTCAGGCTCCACCTCACTCGGCCCACTGTCCAACCGGTCCCCTTCGCTATGTCTGCGATTCCTTCGAATGTTGTACCAATGTCTCTTCTTGGGCTGATCAGGATCACTGGTGCTCGATTCCCCGCTATTCGTCTTGGTCGCCATCGACGGATGCTCCTCCTGCGGAAGGGCATTTGCGGGCGTTGCATTCAATGCAGCCACATCTCCGATAATAACTGCTGTCTGACTCTTCGTGCGCATGTGTGGCAGCATTGCTCCAGCAGGCAGTCCAGAACTCGTAAGTGCAGGAAGGCGCGCAACATTCGCCATGGAAGCAGTTGGAGTAGGCAATTCTTCAGTGTCAAAGATCGCCTTCGTTGGAGTCCCACCAGACGCCGGCCCACTGCCTTTGCGCTCCATGCTAGGAAACGTGAAGGTCGAGCTTCCCGTAGTCTCGCCGGCAATCGCGTACGGTGAGTCATAGTGGGCACGACCGCCACCGACGCGAGAGAAACCTGAATTGGCGTTTTGGGGAGGTGTGCTGGTGGATGTGCGGTCGTATGAACTGCGGGGACCTGGTCCTGGGAACGGCTGCCACGCGCCCATGATATAACCACTTTCTGCGTCGTCATCGCTGTCTTCTCTGTATGGCTGCAGGGCATGCTCAGGTCGCAATACTGATGGTGGGGGCCCACCGGAATGATGAGAGGAGCTGGAACCTTTGCCTTTCTGTGCAAAAGACGCGTTGGGTGGTGCATAGGAAGATGAATCATGTGCAGCGAAAGAGTCTCGAGTGACGGGTGAATGTACCTCCGTAGCTTTGTAGTGCCTTCGTTCGCGACCACCTCTCCGTGGCCCGCAACATCCGAGAAGGGAAAGCACGCCAATCAATCCGCTATCGATTGGCCGTCTAGAGTGATCAAAGCCGACCTGACCAAGAATGCGCAAAACTGCTTCAATGACCTTGATAACAAGAATCAAGAACAAGGCAAGATAGACAAGGCAAAGGACGATCAGTATGCCATAGGCTACCCAACCGCCTGCGCCTGCGCCAATTGAAATCTGGACGACGAGCTCTTAGCAATGGACTGTACGGCGACAGGTGGGCTTACCGTTGGCGTCAAAATCACTAGCAGCACAGCAACCACAATGCGTGCAACGCAAAATAAGAAGCTGATGAGGCCCATGCCAGCTCCTGCACCCCACGGTAACCATACGCTCGTGACCAAAGCGCTAACAACTTCCGCCACTAAAATTATAATCGCTTGTGCTGTTCCACTGTGCTGTCCGCATCCTATAGTCACCCCGAGGACGAGGTTAGACAGGAAAAGCAAGCCTGAGAAAAGCTGCGAGTCCTGGCGGTAGTGATTGTAGAGTGGACCTAACGCAAGAAGAGTACGTGTTTCGTCGTATAATTTGGTTGTCGATGTCCGGGCTAGCCGCAGGAGCAGAAGAGAAGGCGCGATCACGGAGAAGAGAGCGAATGATAGGGCGCCAAGGGCTAATGAAGACGCTGAGCTTCCTGTTGAAAATTCGTAGCACGAGAATATGGTGACGGGTAAATGAAAAAGGACGAGAACGCGCACAAGGTTTCCTATGAGCACGCTAGAGTGAAAGGAGCTGACTTCCGGTCGAAACAGCCGTCTCCTGAGGAAGGTATAGTTGTGACCAAATCCGGTTGATGATCTGCTCTCATCTCCACTCGTGTCGAGCATATCCTTACTGCCCGCCGAAAGCCGCCGAGTTTGACCCTTGCTCGCTGCGTTTGTGAGCGCAGCAGAAGTCGGTAGGTTGCCTGACGGCCGTCGTGAAAATATCCAATCTACCACCCAAAGGAACAGACTGAGCAAGATTGTCCCAGCTATGATGGCCAAGAACAAGGCTAAGCAGATCGCAAAGAGATCTTGAGGTTGCACTCCAACACTCCACGCAAAGGATTGCATCCCAGTTGTAGTGTTCGGCGGAAGTAGGAAAATCGTGTTCGGAATCGACTGGTTAATGTAGATAACGGAAGACGGATCGGACAACTGATCGGCAAAGTCTGATGGTGGGTTATACGGTTGGACATTCAGCGGGTTCCAGTGCATGGAGTTTCCGTTCAGTGTGATGTCTACAAGGCATTAGGCATTTGCAAAGCATTGTTCCAAATCTAAACCTACTATACGTCAGCGACGCCCAGGCAGTTTGCGAAAGTAGGGGATCTGAAATACATGAGCACGTGCGGTGTAAATCAAATTCTCAATTGCTACTCACAAATGAAGGGTGGCCACTGGACAGCAACCATAGCTAGGGCTGCACACCACTGCGTGTGAAAGATGATATCACGCAACGATGGGGAGCCTGATGGGCCAGCATAAGAACCGCAAAGATACGAACAGAACATGTAAAATTACTTACAAAATCTCATCAGTGCAGGTGATGTTGAAAAGCGCTCACCGCTAATGGCGCTAGCAAGAATGAAACCGGTACTCTCAAACCGGTGCCAGATGCCTGGGCCAGGTCTGCTAAATCCTCGGCCCCAAGCAGATACGATCCGAGCAAGACCAACGATGAGCCAATAAGTTGCGGCAAGACCAACAGTCGCCCAGAATATGATGTGGGCATTACCATACGGCGAACTGAGCGGTCCTGGATGAAGTGGTGTGGTTGCGACGCTAAGGCATAATATCTCATTTCCAGACGGGTCGACAGCCCGGAGTTCCGTGTCCATAGTTGTCAAGGAATTCTTGGTATTGAATGGTATGGATGCAGAAAGTGCGAATAGCCCCGCAGGGATGGGACAATATGTGGTATTTGTGCCGACGAGAGGTTGTAGGGGAGAGGGTGGGCGTAATGAGTCACATAGAGCAGAGTTATTACTGAAGGTATTCATGGTAAGTGTCGTAGCTTCCGTGAAGAGGGTAGCTTGGATGGAAGAGCATGAGACGCGCAGTTAAATAACATGAGAAAGAATGCGTACAGAGGCTGGTGCTGTTAGCAGAAGACGCGACGATCTGCTGGGAGGCATTCCCCAAAATTGTGATATTTAGCGTCTGTCCATTGATTATTTGCGAGTACACCGTGTCAACCGAAAGCTTCTGTGATGCACTTCCCGTGAAACAGTCATAGAATGGAAGTGTCGCGGGCTGCGCGAACGTCGAAGGGAGAGATACGGAAAAAGACAGAAAAATCAAAGCCCTCCAGACCGAACAACACGACGCAGAAAAGATTGTGGTCATCGTGGAGTACGATGAGCACGGGAAGTGCTGCCTGACTCCAGTCCAGGTGCACAGACTTCCCACCATTTACCACGCCACCAACACGGAATTCATCTCCGTTTGTCGAACACAGGCTCTCGTAGCAGCGGACGACCAAGGCCGTCCGCTCATGTAACGATTAAACCGTCGTCGATTTGCAGTAGGACGCAGTGGCCGACCGACAGACCCTATCAGCATTCTACCCGATGTCAACTTGTACACGCGCTTACGCGTTCCTCAATACTATGGCGATCTGAACTTGGCGGCCTTGGCCCCATGGTCTTTCCTCAGGTCGCATAAACTGTGTATCCGGAGCATGTAATTGGATTCGAAACCGCAGCTGATCTTGCGCAGCTGGTGTTTAGCGACTGCATAACCAGCACCGGCATAGCCTCAAATAATTGGTAATTGATGCTGACTCTCCCGTCTTCACATATAAACTGATGCTATAACGATGATTGTGAATTCTCAAGTCAAAGTACCAGCGTTCCCACTGTTGAATGTGCTGGAATTCAATTCCTTCTGCAAGCTTCGGCAACAGTTCTACTCTCGTCCGTCGTCCTAACCGTCTGAATGATACTTAAGGGGAAAGAGACTAGAGCTGCAAGTAGGTTTAAGCACTCGCAATAACTACTAGTTAGGTTGCATGTCACTTTATACAATGTAGTAGCCACATATCAAAAAAATCTGCAAAAAGTCGATGTCGATAGGATAACGCATGCGACGAGCGACAACACTCGGAACTCAAAATACCAAAAAATACCACTGTTTAGAAGCAGCCACACCAGCGGCCACTTCCGTGCTCACTGGTGTTAGTTTGTTCCGTTGTGAGTGGTTGTGAATTGGGGTCCGGCGTAGGAAGAGAAGGAACGTCTTCATCACGTCTCATATCATCCTCCTTGGGGGGAGCGCCTGCTGCGGCGTGGCGCTGGAAATCAACATGAGACCTCAGGTACAGTGAGAAAAATCAACTGAGCATACCAATTCACCCCACGCGAGAGGAACATCAACCGTAGGTGGTGGAGCATGACCTATACGAACGGGCCACCATGTGAATAGGTGGTGTAGGCGGGCCTGGGAGGCGGGGGCAAGGGACAAGGTGGTAGGCGGTACTAATGTGGGTCGATACTGAACAAGATATGAGTGGATGTTATATATTATCAGAGAGCATGCTCACGTTCTCGCGGGGATTTATGTGTGAACGCGTCTGAGTCGTGGCATGCGCGGGTAGGGAGGGCAGGGGCGATGTGGCAGGAAACTGAAAGAGGATCATTGAGTCAACTGCGAAGGGGACAGGTAAAAAGGACATGCATCTAGAGGATGACGGGGCTCATCGTTCCCAACAGGAGGACCTGCATTCGTGCGAGAAGAAAGGAGTTTGCGGAGGTAACGAAGGAAGGGACGTTGTTCTGGGTATATCGTAGGCGGAGGCCTTAGTGTGTGGGGGATGGGAAATGTCGCTGGGTTACGGCGTACGGCACGACGTGTAGCATCGGACTGCAGTAATGGTATCAATAAAGTGGTATAGATATGCAAAAGTATAGGAATACATACATTAAGTAGATCAGAATGTTTCGTGGTCTGCAGGAGAACGTTAGCACACGGACAGATAGATGTATGAAGGGGAGTGCATACATTAGGCTGCACCCCTTGTACAGGGCAGATACGTGGAGGGTCATATATATATATCTTGGTGTCACCCCAGTTGGTGTAAGCCAGTTGGTGTGAGTTGGGTGAGAAGATCAGAAGGTCGGTATAATGGTCGTCAAATGAGGCGAGGAGCTGGCGGGACTTGAAGGCCCAGAGTTTAAAGGTGCGGTCCCGAGAAGCGCTAGCAAGGAGAGCACAATCGAATGAAAGTGCCAGACCAGTGACGGTGTCGGTGTGCCCTTCGAAGGGAGCTCCGACAATCTTCAGTGTCAACGCGTTGAACTCGTAGATCGTGTTGAGGTCGACTGGCTTGCGAGCATCAGCTGGCCAGAGCCTATCCAATTCCGGTTCCAATGCCGATGCCACTTCCGATACCGATGCTGCTTCCGATAACGATGTCACTTCCGATACCGATGACAATTCCCATGCCTCCTCGTACTTGTCCTTGAAGCTAAATGCGGCTACGATGGATTCGTCTTTTGTTGTCCAGAATATTGGCGTCGATGTCACTGTCCCGTAACGGCTTTCCTCCACTTTGAGATCCAATTTCTGTGTCTGGACATCCCACACCTCAAGGCACCTCCCTGTGCTTGACAAGACTGCAAGCTTCTTCGAGTCTTGCGAGAATCGAACCACGCCGAGCCACGGATGTGCGCCATTTCTACTACCTGTAGTTGTGGATCGGAATGGACCAGCCATGAGTTCGCCAGTTTTCAGACTCCATATCCACACGTCATCGCATGACCCGCCCACCAGCATCGTGTTGTCCGCAGAGACATCCAAGCTGATGATGAAACCGACGTGGCCTTCAAATGTTTTCGTGATCCTCGTCTCAACATCGCGGGCTTTGAGCTCCCCGATAAAGTTGTGATTTCTATCACGAGTGTAGCTTGAATTGACAACCCATTGACCATCCCTGGACATTGCCACCGACCATATTTTCTGCTCACACACATCTCGCGCCTCCTCAATCTCCTTACCCGCCTGCAGGTCCCATCGTCGAGTAGTCTTGTCATATGATGTACTGATCATTCCCTTGCCGTCTGGAAAGTAGGAAATGAATGAAAGCTGTCTTCTTACTCTGACTCGTTCGTGACCCTCCAAGGTCATGACCGGTTTTAGGATCAAATTTTTCTTTGCTCCAACGTGCTGCGTCGAGCTGGAGGTCATGGCCGACGTCTTCACCAGTGAGGTTGAGTTCGAATTTTGAAAGATCCCTGGTGACATCTCTAGTGTTCTATAGGCCCGACGTGGTCAATGATGCCCAACTCGTTCAAGCGCTGCAGAACTTTCCCTGCAAACGCAAATCATCAGTTCATCCGCACGGAGGTTCAGATGGGGGGAGCATGTTACCAAGAGGTGACTAGAATCGTCTGATAATGATGGACGTGTGGGCGCATCTGCCACCTCCTCATAAATAAAAGCTCTTTCCTGTGCACGGCACAGCATGTGCTTTTTTTACCCTGTCTTTCTCAAACCAGCCTCTCCCTCTCCGGCTCACCACCGTGTCATTCCCATTTTGGTGCGCCGTTGGGTCAACAACCGTTTGGAGGAGCACGAGCAAGTAGCACGAACGACAAAGCTGGGAGCATCAGCATGTTCTACCGGTTCGTTTCTGCAAGAAGCATGAAGGAGAACTTTGTGGGCCTGGAGGACTTCCAATACCCGTCGAACTTGATTTGAGACAAGCGGTATAGGAATAGCGAGGAGGTCAGCGCTGTATCAATAATTCTAAAGAAATCATATTGCTTGTATTCAATGAGAAATGCTGTTCAGGACGAATCTGTAAGGATCTTGGTGAGCACGGGAGAGCACTAGCAACCCATCGCCATCTCGCTTCATCGCGTCGTCGGTACTCTAAGGTGAGCTTGTGTCTCGCACTAGATTTTGGAAACCTATGTGCGTGAGCGCTCATTATTATTCACTCTGCAACCGCGGCAATAGCAGAGATGTCACTACTCCAGGTGACGTCCTTTGCTTGAACTCTGGCAGAGACTTGGTGAATCCAGGGTGACGCCGGGCGACAGCACACCAGATCTAGGTCCTTGAGTAACAGACGTTTTTGGTGCACGTTCACGATCCCTGCTGTCGGATACTCGAGTCAGAGGTGAGTACGAGTCAATCAGTCCCCGTGCATGTGATACTGAATATTTCATTGAGAGTCGTTGGAGGATCATCGATGCTTCTCACGAAAGAAGGTTAAGCCAACCTCGGCACGTCACCTGGAGTGGTCATATCTCTGCTATCTGAGTGTGTAAGGGCGACCGGCATGGAACCTCCCATAGAATTGCTTGTTTCATAGTCCTCAGTGTGCGCTTTGATGAGTCAGTAGTAGTATTCAATGGAGTCACATATCTATAGTCTGGTTTTCGGCGGGTCATATCACTGGAACAACTAAGCTCGATACCAGGTGTAGAATCGACATGGAACCAAACTGTACACTCTATATTGCAACAATTTAAGCATCGTTAAGGAGGCTAGAAGCATGATTTAGCAACTACGACGGACAGTAAAGGCTCAGAACTCACGTGTCTCGGCAATTCGACCAGTGTTGTCCATGGGCCATGCGACTCAAATCTAACTCTTGTCTTTTGGTTATCACCAGTACAGTCCCAGGAGCATATGCAATGAATGAGTGTTGTCGAGAAGCGGGAGGGACCCAGAAAAGCAGCCGACCATGGGGTCCTGCCATCCATCCATCATCATCCAGCAAAACAGAGTTTGAATTGTAATATGATTCAGAACTATGACGAGAGGTGCTCTCGAGTAGCTCAGCAGAGTTGCGCAGTGCATGTTCCAAGTTGGATGCGAAGCAAATGACGGGATTGTTACAAGTATTGGTTGACATGACGGTCTCGTGTGCGCAAGGTGTGGTGCGATGGCTATCCAAAGATAATGCAGAGGAATTGGTCTCAGTGTACTCCTGGAATTGCTGCCCTGCCACTGCATCCCACAGCCGGACAGTGTGATCCTCCGAACCAGACACGATGCGAGTGCCATCGGGGGAGAACGAGACTGACTTGACCCAATCAGTGTGCCCTCGCAAAGGCTCGCCCAATGGCTGCCCCGTCGCTGCATCCCACAGCCGGACAGTGCGATCCGAAGAACCAGACACGATGTGAGTGCCATCGTGGGAGAATGAGACTGACCAAACCGAATGAATGTGCCCTCGCAAGGGCTCGCCCAATGGCTGCCCCGTCGCTGCATCCCACAGCCGGACGGTACCATCCCAAGAACCAGACACGATGCGAGTGCCATCAGGGGAGAACGAGACTGACGAAACCAAACGAGTGTGCCCTCGCAAGGGCTTGCCCAATGGCTGTCCCGTCGCTGCATCCCACAGCCAGACAGTGTGATCCTCCGAACCAGACACGATGCGAGTGCCATCAGGGGAGAACGAGACTGAATAAACCGAATGAGTGTGCCCTCGCAAGGGCTCACCCAATAGCTGTCCCGTCGCTGCATCCCACAGCCGGACAGTGTGATCCCAAGAACCAGACACGATGTGAGTGCCATTGGGGGAGAACGAGACTGATGAAACTGAATCAGTGTGCCCTTGCAAGGGCTGGCCTAATGGCTGCCCCGTCGCTGCATTCCACAACCAGACAGTGTGATCCCAAGAACCAGACACGATGCGAGTGCCATCGGGGGAGAACGAGACTGATGAAACCAAACCAGTGTGGCCTCGCAAGGGCTGGCCTAATGGCTGCCCTGTCGCTGCATCCCACAGCCGGACAGTGCGATCCGAAGAACCAGACACGATGCGAGTGCCATCGGGGGAGAACGAGACTGATGAAACCAAACTAGTGTGCCCTCGCAAGGGCTCGCCCAATGGCTGCCCCGTTGCTGCATCCCACAGCCGGACAGTCTCATCCGAAGAACCAGACACGATGCGAGTGCCATCGGGGGAGAACACAACTGACGAAACCAAACTAGTGTGCCCTCGCAAGGGCTCGCCCAATGGCTGCCCTGTCGTTGCATCCCACAGCCGGACAGTGTGATCCTCCGAACCAGACACGATGCGAGTGCCATCGGGGGAGAACGAGACTGAATAAACCGAACGAGTGTGCCCTCGCAAGGGCTTGCCCAATGGCTGTCCCGTTGCTGCATCCCACAGCCGGACAGTGTGATCCCAAGAACCAGACACGATGCGAGTGCCATCAGGGGAGAACGAGACTGACAAAACCCAATAAACGTGCCCTCGCAAGGGCTCGCCCAATGGCTGTCCTGTTGCTGCATCCCACAGCCGGACAGTGTGATCCCAAGAACCAGACATGATGCGAGTGCCATCGGGGGAGAACGAGACTGATGAAACCAAACCAGTATGGCCTCGCAAGGGCTCGCCCAATGGCTGTCCCGTCACTGCATCCCACAGCCGGACAGTGCGATCCGAAGAACCAGACACGATGCGAGTGCCATCGGGGGAGAACGAGACTGACCGAACCTCTTCAGTGTGCCCTCGCAAGGGCTCACCCAATGGCTGCCCCGTCGCTGCATCCCACAGCCGGATAGTACAATCCCAAGAACCAGACACGATGCGAGTGCCATCGGGGGAGAACGAGACCGAATAAACCGAATGGGTGTGCCCTCGCAAGGGCTCGCTCAATGGCTGTCCCGTCGCTGCATCCCACAGCCGGACAGTGTGATCCTCCGAACCAGACACGATGCGAGTGCCATCGGGGGAGAACGAGACTGAACAAACCGAATCAGTGTGCCCACTGATCACAGTCTGAATAGCTGTCCAGTTCACATGACGTCCATGAATCAAACGAAGAGTGTTCGGAAACCTGCTGGCAAAGCTTGTAGCTACCGTGGATTTGCTGGGTGAAAACGGCAGCGCTGAAACATATAGATGCGGTGTGCTGTGCAAAATCATCCCGCCAAAGACTTGGACGAATCTCTGCACATCCATTGCGGCGGATAAGAGATCTCCGTATCCAGATTGGCCCTGTGTTCGCGCGTAAGCACTTCGCCTGACACCGCCAGGTAGCTGTATTCTTACCTTCAGCCAGCGGAACATGAATGCAAACACAGCAACTGCGCTGCCGAGTGCATTGAGAAGGCCGAGTACTTCAATGCAGAAGAGCAGCCGCTCGTCGTCGAAGAATGATTTGATTTCCTTTGCGAGTTCGGTGTCAAAGTTGGTCGCTCGTACGTGCGTAGCCCAAAATCGACAGGAATAGGATAATTGGGGGGGAATACGTGTTTTGATCCGTTGAGGCAGCTCGGTGTCTTCGTAATTAGGGATATATGAAGACTTTAAATCGCATATATTGAAGCGAAGGTCATGTTCCATCACTCGAAGTGACGCAAATGCAAGGTCACGTTGAACTTTCGACACCTCGACGAAAAACTCTCCGCTGGATGATTTGTCTGTAAGGAATTCCTGGAAGGATGCGTGAAGGGGTCGGATGGGGCTAGATGAGTTGGTGATTCCGCTCAGCAGGGATCCCATGTGTGCTACCACAACCTCCACATTGTAATGCTCCCTTGGGTCCGGAAAACGGTTCCGCATGGCATTCAGGGCATCCAAAGGCAGGGGTTCAGTTGAGGCAAGTATCTGTCCCATCACGGAACGAAACTTCGCCAGCGCCCGCTCATACTCGGATCTTGTGTATTTGTCCTTCCCCATGTTTTCTCCTAAAATGAAACCATATATGTCATATAATAAATTTTTCCGCTCCCCAGGATCGTGAGATACGACAGCATTGAAGCGATCCATTGGGTATAATCCAGGAGGGGTGTCCTGAATGTATTTGCATGCAAGACGCGCCCACTCGAACAGTCCATCAGCTTTCTCAGCGAGGACTGCAAACTCTTTGTGCTGAAACTCCGGCAGCCCTTTCAGCTCGTCAGACACAAAAATATTGATGTCGCTCTTCGCGACTGCCTCTGGAATGTCATCCATGGATATCCGTAGAATATGCTGAGCACCGTGAAATGCATCATCGATATCACGAAGCGGACGAGAAGTGACGAGAATCCGGAAGTTGGACGGGAGATCGGTGATTTGGGGAAGACCTTCGTCCTGAAGTTTGCCGGCAAGTATGCGGAGAAGGTCATGCCGTGTCTCCCTTCCGCCGCTCTCGTCCAGTGCTTCAATCACAATTAAGACAGGTCCCACACTTGACCCAGAGAGCTTCCCTAGTGGTTCCATAAGCAGCTTGCGCCACTGCTGATTGATATCCGTCGTATTCTTGAGAGAATTTGCATTCTTGACTGCCTTCGCCAATTCTCGTCTCATCTCCGGATCACGATCAGCCAGATCGCGAGCGACGGTGGAGAAAACCTTTTCATGACGCCTATCGGCTTCACGGTGCCGGTCGAAGCAGAAACATGAACCGAGCCCTCCCATGTCGTTGAACCAGTTAACGATAGTGTGAGCGATGGCTGATTTGCCCTTGCCTGCAGGGCCAGATAGCCACAGCACACGCTGAGCAGCATCTCCGCTGTCGTTGATCCATTCAGTGATCTGGGAAAGAATGGCTGTGCGTGTCCCTGGCAGGCATTGTTTCCTGGTATCCAATCCCGCGCCCGCTGCGTAAGCCATACTACTGAGATCCAGTGTTTCACCTGAAGGGGTATGAGTGGATGCAAGTCAGAAGTACGTCGAACACTTACCCGTACACTGGACGAGATCGGCTACGTCCCGAATAGCTTGGTCCCGAAGTTGTTGCATAAGCCCATCCAAAGCGTCGTTATACCGTGTGATAATATCATCCGTCTCCGAGACAGCATTTTTTCCGAGTCTCTTCCCTGTGATATTTGTATAAGGTCTTTAATGTGCGAAGTGCAATAGCTCGTCACTCACAAAAGCTCGTTGTCTCCGAGTAATCCCTGATGAAACGTGCGCACTCTAGAGTCTGCTGGGCGATCCGACCAACGATACTGTGCTTGGATGAAATCTGGCCAAGAGTGTCGTCTTGTGACATGAAGCGGTAAACTTCATCTAATTTCTTGAGAAGACGATGAACCGATTGATCGCGTTCGGTTTGAGCGAGAATAATCTGCGCAGAATCAACAACTGCTGGACAGGAGAGTGAAACCACACGTACTTTGGATGCAGCGGACAGCACACCCAGCGCCATCTTTGCGTATGGATGTACCTGTGCAACTTGATTAGTTCGCTTCTAACCAATAAGAGCGGCTCATACATTTGCGATCTTCCCAATAGCAGTGTCAAAAAGCTTGAGGGGTTGGAGATATGTGGTCTGGAAATCGTCTACAGCAGCAAGTTCTGTTTCGGCATTTGTGGTGGTGGACACCGCAGATGTCGCAGGTCCCCCAAGACGATTCATGTGTTCTAAAGCCGTATGGGCAACCTGAAGTTCAGCATCAACTGACTGGGGATCAGGAATTTCCTCCAAGCCGGCATTGAAAACCTGCACGACAACCAGAATTTAGAGACGAAAACTAGATCGTTTGGTGCAAGTACCTTCGAAGCAGGTTCTCCGGATACTCCTTGGTTCACACAGTCACTGGGATTCTCAGATGTGATGGGCTTGTCACCATCAGAAGGATGCAGATGGGACGCATCCTTGGTGGACCTCAGACATGTGAAACATCGAAATAATGTCTACGCACATCAATATTCTGATTCGAAGAAGCACCTTGATGATCGATGTTCTGGACAGCAGGGGTGTAGTTACGGGAACGCTTGAGTTTCTGCACAATATCAGCCATAATGAAAGTAAACACAGCATTCACGTCAACGTACAGAAACTTTTTTTGTTACACTCTTCCCAATTTTCCGTATAGACTGACGGAGTCCACCATGGGGCTGGGAGGGTGTTTTTGTCAGCGCTCGTCGACAGTGATCTCATGAGGCACGTACCGAGCTCTCACCGGCGGTTGTTTCTCTGGAGGCCTCTGGAGGATGTTTCGGCCTATGGTCTTCGCTCATTGCCAACAGTCGAAGACCGGAATCAGCCTGAGGGAAGTAGAGGTTGGAGAAGAGAGTAGGTCCTCAGCTATTTGCGACGCAATGGAGTACGAAACGATGGCCCCAGTTAACAGTTTAACAAGTCGAATACCCTTGATCACAAGCCCTTGAGGCAGTACCTGGCAGTACCCACACTATAGCGCTAATCATTCCACCACGTGATAAATGGGTATTGGGAGCGTGGGTCGCGCAAGTGTCAGAGAAAGGCATCGTCCATCACGAAACGAGCTTGATTCACAGGTACGTGCAAGGTACTTATGAGATACATACATATGTATGGCATAACGTTGAAAGCAATCACAATCGTCAGGTTTATGGACGGAAGTATTGAAAGATCCATGGCGGCGGGTGGTGTAATGTGTAAGTCAGTCAAATTTAGCGAAGTTTGAATGTGAACGAAGTATCGCTCACCGAGGTCCGAGAGGTAGGCTAATCCAACGGGGCGGGCTCAAAATTCGACAGGCACAAACTGAGCCAAACAATCTTCCTGATTCATGACAAGCCGCTTATCGAGCCTCCTCCAGGCATCACCACGACCACGAAGATATTTTCTCTGCCACATGCGCAGAAAATTACAAACGCGCGAGTGCAAAACTGTTCGCGGATGCAAAGAGGAGCAGAATAAGCTCGAAACCCGTCACCGAGCATTTCCAACATTCTTCGACTGCAGAGCAAGGTTGTAAACTGGAGTTACTGGACAGGCGAAGGGTCTACATATACAAGATGCTGTACTGCGTATACTCGTTGACAAACATAAGCCTATGCGCACGGTGCCTATCAGGACCGCTGACGTGAAGCTAAAGGAGGCGCCGCCAAAGGTGCACACGGAAGCCCGTCGAACAGTCTACCCAAACGTTGCAGGAACTTGCAAATAAACCTTTGCTCCCTTCTGTAGAGGGTCACAAGCCATGGCTTACCACTTACAAGACCCCTTCTCATGCATCCGCATCCATTAAGCTTGGTAACTTCACCCCTGCATCTGCACGCGCGCCCGACGTTCATGCTACGACAGACGAACGCACTAGAAAGACGGAGAGGGAGCTTGTAAGACGAAAAGAGCTAGCAGGACGATTGTCCAGAACTAAAGAATCGACATTGGATTATCGTTTAGGCTTGAAGAACAGTGGGGGGTAACACGCTGCTCGTCCGAACCCTTCGTTAGACTCGGACCGTTAGAAGGAAGATAGTCGTTCCTTCTATTATAATCAGTCAGGACTGATGATAACAAAGTCTGGGATGTAGACTAGGCTCCCAGTGATTATAAAGTTTTATGCCGCCTGTTCTTATCCGCAACTCCAGCGAAGTTGGTAACTGGTCCAACGTCGCCGGTGATCACGTGATGATATGAAGCGCGTTTAGCAAACTCGGAATACGCGTTAAGATCTGCACCGCGAGTTGAATCTGTCAGCTCGCCTTACATCTGGTAGATGCTACCTTTCTCCCTGAGTCACTATATCATTTGAATCCTACTATGAGCGCGCCGCCTTCAAGCGCTCCTCCTATTCCTCCGACAACTTTTCAAACTCCCAATGGAACGAATAGTGCATCACCCAAGGAACTTCGGGATTTTCTCAAATCTTTAAATGACGACAATCCACCATTAGCACTGGATAAACCACTTTGGCTCCGCCTGCTAGCTAGCCTACTGGAGCAAGTCTTTGGTTGTTTTCCGTATTTCAAGCCAACAATCCTAGGTACCACCAACGAGCGCATTGAGCTTACGGACGTCACGCTCGATGTCTTTTCACGTGTCAGCAAAAGGGTTGATTCGCTTGACTCGCTTTATGCTGATGAGGAACATTTATCCAAAAAAGTATTCGTGCACCTTTTGGGCCTTTGCACTTCGACAGAATCATGGTTGGAAGTCACCGATGAGGGCGATTCAGGCAGCACATCCAACACACTATATTCTAAGGCTTGCGGAACTCTCATCGAGTTCTTACAACTTCTGTCGTTTTCGGGCGTTCCAGGAGGTGATTCTAGTGATGTACAAAGGGGAGTTCTGCAGGACATTTTGTATGAAGCGACAGACTTGTGCACTGGTGAGTCTATTTGCCTCGTTGCGACACTGCTACTTACCGATTATCTGTAGCAATGATCTCTGCTGGACACGAATCGTGTCCTCTTGACGTGCACTGGTTCTCTACCCCACCATCTTTAAAGACCACGACTGAGGACTGTTCCATTCCGGTATTGTCATTACACATCACATGTTTTGTTTTTCATACTTAAGCGTCCATTAGTGCCCCATGGACACTCTAAACGTGATCAGGCTCCCGTCCCCTTCACACTTCTCCGTCTTGACCAGCATCATTGTCGAATTATTCGGCCAACTGTTTTCAACCGCAAAGCTTTCTTGCTTCATCACTGCTGCTATGCTCCGTCACGTCTCTGAATTGACTCGCCGTGTATACGATTTCTGCTCTGAGCGCCCTACCTCGCCTGCAACAAAATCCCGATGCCTCCTTCGAGTGACAGCTGCTGCTCACACCCTTATGAATAGTGACCCATCTCTCATTGGGGGACTATCAAGACTGCCTTGCCGTCTTTTAATTCAACGACTCCAGTGTGGCCCGAATCCTGCGCAACGAACAGACGACCGCAAGTTACGAGAGATTCTTACTTCCAACACAAATCTGTCAGTCGATTATGTGCACACTACTCTGGAACTCTTGCGCTCTGAAACATGGGAGTCATCTGGGAGTGAGCTTCGGGTTAGTTGCCGTATTTTTTAAGTCTCGCAAGCTGAAACAGTGCAGGCTCTTGCGGTCGTGTATCTACGTGGTTGTTCGAGCCGCTTAGACGCAGCGAGTTCGCAGGCAGTGCAATCATTCCTTCAAGGAAATCCCTCCTACCCCGATTTGGAACCGCTGCTTATCACTGCTGACAATCCCGTTTATAGTCTAATGGACCAGGATGCAGACGCCATAGACTCTTCGCATTGGCGTGCGACATTGCAGAAACTCGTTAGCGCGCTCATTGTGCCTGATGAACTGCAGTGGAAGGGTATCGGGCGCGAAGATACTGCATCCTACATGCAACGAATATTGAGTGGGATCAAGTCTAGGTGGGCTCGGTGAGTACGCACCGCCCGTTGATGATCAGTTTTCTCTGAACGCTACCCGTAGGGATCTGCAGGATTCTTCGTCTTCTGCACGTGTAACACTGGCTGAAAACGTTGCCTCCCTTGCCTCACACCTCAAGCCGTTCTCTCGGCAAAAGTCACCTCCGTTCCGTGTCGCCACCGTTCTTCTATTACCTCTGAACAGGGTTGTTGAAGGCCCATCAACTGAAGTCGACGTACATGTACGGCGACAAGCGTTTAGTTCTTTCCGAACCGTCATCAGAGAACATCCAGCGGATATTCAGTCTGATGAGCCGCCACCTATATTCGATTTCTTGCAACGCGGGTTCACTGACAGGGACCGTTCTGTCAGAGTCGATGCTGGGTACGAAATCCTGTACTTGGAGATTAGGTTGCTCACATTGCACCACCATGCATAGTCGCGCACTTGCGGATTTGGTCCACCTCCACGCCCGCGCAACTGACGGGGGATGCAAATCCAATGAAACAATTTTCATGAAGATCAACGCCTTACTTGATTCAAGCGTGAAGGATGCGGTAAAAGAAACACTGCTGATAACTATCGGTGCTATTGGACGGTAAGCTTGTCCATATGTCCCTGAAATTGTTGACCAATGTAGCTTTCCCCTACCGCAGCGACGCTCAGTTTGAGCTTCTTGGATCAGTTGTCTACTGTTTGATATCCCAACTGGGTCAAGATAATCATGTGTTGAAAGGCTTGGCATACACACAGGTATGTCGATCCATGAAATACGTGTCAGATTCTGATACACCCCCACAGCTTTTGGAAATAGCGAAAACACAAAGGAAGTCCCCTTACAGTCTTGTCTCACCATACATCTCTCAGGTCGCAACATTCGTTGTTGCCCGTAAATGTACTAACCCGGTGCTGATATTCGAGACGTGTCGATTTCTATCTGTGCATCCGACCGATTTTGTCTCTGTCACGCTATCAAAAACTCTTCCGTATCTCTTTGCTAACTGCGAGACGAAGGTCTTAGAGGAGATTTCGGGGGATCTAGGTCAAACGATTTCGTCGCTGCTCACAGATCATTCTCACCAGATCCTCGCTCATGTATATCAACAACATGGGCCAGCACAAACGACCAGGTCTTTGACGTTCATCGCGAACATCTTGTTTGCGGCTGGTGGGCGTACCGATATCAACATCCATACCCTGGCCATGAGCTGTGTGGTGGCATTGCTCGCAGATCTGGTTGTGGTCCTAGGACACGAGAATGAAGAACGAGCTTCTTTGGTCTGGCTTTACTCTTCGTTCGATCGTTCATGACACCTGAACATGTGATCAGGCAGTGGATGCATTGCGAAAAGTCCAGCGGACAATAGCGGGCGAAACTGACCTCGAGCTGTCTCCGTTCCTCAAGACGTACATGCTTGGCATCGTATCCACCTTGAATGATATGCTGCAAGATGTTCACGGCAAGAAATCATTTCCAGCAAAGAAGCAGATTCTACGCGGTCTAGAGGTGCTGATCGTCCAAATCGGTCCTCCTGTAAATGGAGTTTCCCCTCAGGTACGTGCCTCTGTAATATTTTTGCGACGATATTCAATTTTCTCAGATTATGGCCACCCTGCAAACTATGTTTCTGGTCCCCGAACTTGCTGAAGTCACCCTGACTACGTGGTACACATTTCTGTCCACGTTGAATGTCGAGGACGTTATTCCGCATATTGGCACTACAAGCGCAGCCATTGTTTCCGCATGGTCTGCTTTGTCTCCTCCCATACAGGAATCCGCCAAGAAATGTTTACGTTATATCGTCTTTGATGTTGGAAGCACCGTCCGAAATGACGCAAAGGAAAATCTAGACGAGGTCGTGGACCTCGGCCATATCCCAGATCTTTCTGAAATACATATCCAACTTCAGAGTGCTCGCGTCTGGGATCCACGCGTGCAACTCCAGAAGATTTTGGATCGGTGCTCCAGTAACAACATCACTGTAGCTCAGGTGGCTCTCGCTGAACTCCAAAACTTCATGAAGAACAATCAAGCCTCGCTTATACAGAACCTCGCAGCGGGCGACGCGTTTGATCCTTTGATTGGAAGTATACAGTTGACCTTATTTCAGATTGTCACCCGTGATGGAGAGGGCTCCGAAACTCTGCGACGATTGGCGTTTGAGTGCATGGGAATTCTGGGGGCGGTTGATCCGGATCGCTGCGACCTTAATTCGAAAGAAACAAGAATGATCGTGCGGAATAACTTCGAAGATCAACAAGAAGCTGGCTCGTTTGCTCTGCACCTCATTCAGGACGTTCTCGTGGGCGCTTTCCGGTCCACTAGCGACATAAAGTATCAAGGACATCTCGCCTACACGATACAAGAACTCATGGCATTCTGCGAGTTCAGTCCTGCCCTGGTGTCATCAGAAAGCTCTACATCCGTACGGGCGTGGGTCCGCAACAGGTGGAACGGGTTCCCTAAACATGTACTTGAAACCATTACTCCACTCTTGGGAGCCCGTTTCAAAGCCGTCCATAAGGATCTGCCCCATCTCCCTTCACCCATTTACCCTCATCAGAAGACCTACCGAGAGTGGGTTCAGTTATGGACGGCTCATCTAATAACCAAAGCGTCTGGCGAAATTGCGCAAAAAATCTTTGGGGCCTTTCGTTCTGCAGTGCGCAACAAGGATGTTGGCGTCGCTCACCACATACTGCCTCATCTCGTGTTGAACATCCTTGCGTCTGAGAATGACGAAGATACCAGCTGCATTATCCAGGAATTAACGGCTGTTTTGAAAGATCAGGTTGCTTCTGATAGTCTATCCACTCCAGACAAGAAGTTCCTCAGTGCACAGGTATTCTTCAAACCCGATCATTTTGTCGTCTTGCTGACTTCTGCCTCAGGCTGTTTTCATGTTGTTGGACCATCTCAGTGCATATGTGCGAGTCATGCGACAGGACACTCCGAAGAAAGCTGAGGGCAAAAGATCACGAGGAAATTCTGAATTTGCAATACGTCAGCAGCAGCTTATCCGGGTCGATTCAGTGCTCTCTAGCATCGACCATGAACTCATGGCTAAAGCTGCGCTACAATGTCGATCTCACGCTCGCTCACTTATGAACTTTGAGAGGCAGATAGTCTCAATGAGAGAGCGACAACCTCCTCCTCCTGGAACAGATTTCATACCCTATTACGAACGTCTTCACGAAATCTACGCACAGCTTGACGAGCCTGATGGAATGGAGGGTATCTCAACGTTGATATTGTCACCTTCACTGGAACATCAAATTCGTCAACACGAAAGTACTGGTCGCTGGACTGCTGCTCAGAGTTGTTGGGAAGTCCGTCTCCAGCAACAGCCTGACAATTTAGACTTCCATCTTGGACTCCTTCGATGTTTGCGCAACCTCGGACATTATGGTAATGTTTTACTTGTCTTCTTTGCCACAAAGCTAAACCTTTTCAGACACGCTCCGTACACATGTCCAGGGTGTTCTCGTTAGAAACCCAGGGTGGCAGTCGGTTTTGGCAGATTTTCAGGTTGAAAGCGCGTGGATGATAGGGGCATGGGACGACGTTCACAGAATCACAACGAATAAAGAGCATGAAGGGCCTTCCGTGGTGAAAGCTCGAGTTCTTCTTGCTATGCGGTCTGGTGAACCTTCACCGATCGAAGAAAGTCTTATGAGAGCACGCCTTGTCCTTGGTGCTCCAATTGCTGCTTCTGGACCAGGGGGGTATCGTCGTGCTTATGACGCTCTAGTCGACCTGCACATGATTCACGAACTCGAGCTGATCCATGAAGCTGTCTCCAATTTGCCGCCAAGTTCACAAGGCCGCAAATCTGCCATTGTGACTCTGAGTCAAATTCTTAGTGCACGTTTGGATCGTACATTGCCTACCTTCCGCATACACGAATCCCTCCTTAGCATGCGGCGAACAGCATTTTCACTCAGGTAAATGACTTCGTCTCACTGTTCAGCCTGTCATTTGTCTTACGCCGCCTGTGGACAGCACAGTATCTCGACCATCAATCACAAGTCAAATTGGGCAATCATGGTTGGCGAGTGCAAAAATTGCTCGGAAAGCCGGACAGTGGCAGACTGCATATAGTGCAATGCTCCAAGCACAGTACACCAACGCTCGGTTCAGTTTCATGGAAAGCGGGAAGCTGGTCAGAGTACGGGGAGAGCCATTGCGCGCGCTACAAGAACTTGAAAACTCCATGCGCATCTTAGGTTTCGTGGATAACGATACTATTGACTTGACAAAAGAAGATGAACAGTCTAAGCGGATGAAGGCGAAGGTGCGGATATATTTATCGAATGGATGTAGCTCACAGTCAGGCAATCAGGCGCAAATTCTTCTTGCACGTTGGATGAACGAATCTGATCGATATGAGGCTTCCTACGTGCTCAAACAGTTTCAAAACGCCGCAGACTCCGCCCCAGGATGGGAGAGTGCATTTTACCACCTTGGCCACTTCCAGGACCAGTGTTATAGAAATCTACCAGTGGAAGACAAGTCAAGCCGGTAAATATCTAGGGTTATTCACGTGCTGCCTCGACATCTTGCTGATAAATGGTTACAGTGGAATCAAGATGAACTTTCAAACCATCAAGTGTTTCACAGAAGCCGCAGCTTATGGAAACAAATTTGTATACCAGACTATTCCTCGCTTGCTCACCTTGTGGTTAGACATGGGTGAGCGCAAGGGACCAGCAGAGCATCCGCTGTTTGATAAGATCAACAGCGTTGTCGCCAGTTCCATCGATACTATCCCAGTATACAAGGTGTTAAGTTTCCACAACCTAATGAAATTCTCCGCTGATTCTTGCGTTCAGTGGTTCACTGCATTCCCTCAAATCGTGTCTCGAATCGGACATCCCAATCGTGTTGTGTACTTGGTCTTATCGAAACTTATTTCATCGGTCATCCGAGAATACCCCAATCAAGCGCTTTGGTTCTTCGCATCAGTCGTTAACTCGACGAAACCTAATCGCCAGCAGCGTGGAAGAACAATCTTGGATCAGCTGAAAGTGAGCCATATCTACCTCTTTTGCAATATTCGACCTAAGGCAGTACCATAGAACAATCCAGCGAACACAGATGCTAATTTTCCGAACCTCATCTCAAGTCTTCACGCCATGATTGACGAACTCCTTCGACTTTGTAATTACCCTATCGGTGACCGCAAGATACTCAGCATGAGCAGAGATTTTCCAAAGCTACTTAGGATGAAAGATAGTGACATCCTCATTCCTTTGCAGTCGTCATTGACGGTCAACCTCCCGCCTGTTTCGTCTATGAGTCACCGTGATAAACGACACAATCTTTTCGACCCATTGTCGCCCACATTTTCAGGTAAATTATATGTACAACTGAAAGCAATGAACTTGACTGACTTCATGCAGTCTTCCACGACGAAATCGAAATCATGCACTCCTTGGCTAAGCCACGAAAATTTACCGTTAATGGTTCCGATGGTATTAAATATATGTTCCTTGGCAAACCGAAGGACGATCTGCGGAAGGATGCGCGCCTCATGGATTTCAATGGGATCATCAACAAACTCTTGAAGACTAATTCGGAGTCTAGGAGAAGGCAGCTTCGTACGTTTGAACGAATTGAAATGGCATTGGGCTGACTTATTTTAAGACATTCGGACGTACGGCGTGGTGGCGCTGAATGAGGAATGTGGTGTTATTCAATGGGTGCCGAACACTATACCTGTGAGACCCGTACTGTTGAAATACTACGAGACAAGGAATATTCCAGCCTGGGTACGTCTTCCCAGTTTTCCAGGTGTACGCATACTGACAGAAACAGTCCAAGGAGCTGAATGATGTCACAAGGCGCATCAAAGAAGGTACCGATAAAGATGCTGCTGAACTTTTTGTGACCAAAATTCTTCCTGAGTAAGTGGTTGTTGTACATGTGTTGCTTTGAGACTTGAAAAGTGCAGGTTTCCTCCCGTCTTTCATGAATGGTTCGTGGAGACATTCCCGGAACCGTCAGTATGGCTAGCTAGTCGCCTGAATTATGGGCGTACCATGGCAGTGATGTCAATGGTCGGATTCATCTTAGGGTGAGCTAATAACGACCTTGAGGGTTCTGAAATAGTCAAACGTCTAACCGATTTTTTAAAGGTTGGGAGATAGGCACTGCGAAAACATTCTTCTGGACACCAACACTGGTGATGTAGTCCACGTTGACTTCAGTTGTCTCTTCGAGAAGGTACTTAGTCTGAACCACTTGTCGATTTTTATTCATCCTCGTGCGCTTAGGGCAAAACGCTTGACACACCCGAACGAGTTCCTTTCAGACTCACTCAGAACCTTGTCGACGGCCTTGGAGTGACTGGCGTAGAGGGAGTGTTCCGTGTCGCCTGCGAAATTACAATGCAACTCCTCCGCGATAACAAGGACCCCCTCATGAGTGTCCTCGATGCATTTATTCACGATCCGCTGGTCGAATGGGAAGATGAGACGAGGAAGAAGGTACGTCAATCCCTTCCGCATATCTTTTGCTCATGACTCAGACTTTTGTGTTTCCAGCAACGTGAGCGCCGCAATGCCAAAGACAAGGACAAAGACAAAATGAATTCTGCCGCTATCAAGGCTAACGATTTGAGACTATGGGCCAAGTCTGCGCTGCGACCGATAGAACGGAAATTAAAAGGATTATATTCTCCAACTAATGTGAAGGAGCGGACTTATGGAGGAATCACAAGGGGAGGAGAAGACGAACGGGAAATCTCGACCAGCAATCTCGTCCAGATGCTTATACAAGAGGCAATCGACCCCGCAAATCTGGTGAGTTGTTGCGCTTTACCAGCTCATCAAGTACTGACTCGTCTTTAGGGCAAGATGTATCCTGGATGGGCAGCATGGCACTAGAGATTATAACTTGCTCCCAATGATCCGTAACTTAGTGTTGAATGGCATGGCCTGTGTTGTATTTAGCCGAGTAGCCTAACTCTTCGCGCTGACTCAGGGTGTCGGGACAATGGCAAGATTTCGTGCAGAGTAGATGCTTATATCGTGAATCTAGGTATTAAGCATTTGCTGACGGGGACAGAATAGAATATCTATCTGCGAGATTACTCCCTGGCGGGCTTCCCCTGGAAACAGTGTTATTCACAATGACTGATGACACAGCTCAGCTCTTACCATGGTAAGCTGGTAGATACCGTACACGGTTCCACACATACCCACACCAAAGATAGTGAAGTAAGTACCTAGACGGTGACCCAGATGAATGACATGTACACCGAACCGCCATCCCACCTACCAAGGTACAGTCTTGAACGGGGTGGACGATAGTAAATGGGCGAGTGTGAAGCCTGAAAATGAGGGTTCAATCGAATACGCACTACCGGGGGGTTGACTGTTACCTGGTAGGCCCGCTGCCTCTCCGGAACGTGGTTTGGGCCTGAAAATTTTGGACCAGAATGAGAAAGAAATTTGAGAATATATGACCGAGGTACTCACGGTTTACCACAGCGTCAATCATGGTGGTTAGTTGAAGGATTGTATTTTGTCACTGCAGCTGGACGACGTTGAATGCAGGAGGGGAGGAGGAAATACGGCGGAGTCCGAACGGTGTTTGCCGAACTCTTCCGAACCCATCCTCTGATCATGGCTGATCGCGTCCGCGTCCGAGTATGTTTACCATGCTTTCGTTCTATAGATTTTGGCCTGCTCACTGTTCTGCATGATGTTCAGGGTGTCACTATACATAGACCGATAATATATGGCAACACTGCGACAGTCCTTACTGCTGCTGAGCGGGAGACTACTCACTATCCAGACCACACTCATCGGTGGACAGTCGCAGTTCGCAGCGCCCCAAGCGCACCGGACTCTGATACCGTCGGTGGTGGAGATGATTTGGCATACTTCATAAAAAGAGTCACGTTCAAATTGCACGATACATATCCAAATCCGACCAGAAGTGAAGTCTCATCTTGATGTTCTCTGCTGTGGCTCAACGCGCCTATAGATATTGATAAACCTCCATTTGAGGTGTCAGAGACTGGGTATGTTATTTTCCAAACCCACGCAACACGAATGTTGACAAGTTTTTCTCAGTTGGGGAGAGTTTGAGATTCAAATCCGCATCACTTTTGTAGCAGAGTCTGGCGAGAAAGCCATCACGCTATACCACCACCTGAAGTTGCATCCTTGGTCAATTACTTTTCCTCTGCCCAATGCATCTGCAGCTCCCGCAGAACCTGAAATTCCGTCTCCCGAGAACGCTGCAAAGCTTGGGCCTGTGCATAGCTGGCAATACGACGAGATTGTCTTTACAGACCCATTTCAAAATTTCCTTACTCTTCTCACAGCACATGCACCGATGCCGCTACCGAAAACGAGTGTAAACAAGAACCCCGTTCCTTTTCACTCGTCTAACCCTGCATCGTTGGAGGCGAGTCTAAAAGGTGGCGTGCCGGAGTTCACCAGTGCCATGGAGAAAGAGGAGGCCGACAGGTTGGAAGAAGCCAAGGGCAAGATTATCAAAGAGCAGGAGAAATTTCGAAGCATCTTGATAGAAAAAGAAAAGGAGCTCGAAAGACTTCAGAAGCTTCTTGCATCGAAGGAGTGATCTTGCCCAGCGTGTTTATAGCATGGTCATATATGTTAGGTGAGCATTAGCAACTGCCTCACCCTCATATACCACTTCTCGCATCCTAATATTTAGTATCTTTAGGATATCTGGGAGCACACGAAAACAAGCGGTGCTCAGGTGTCCCTTGAAACTACAGCACTATCCTAGGTCGGGGATTTAATCCACGATCTACCGGATTTGCGACCCTGTCATGGAGATTAGCTGAAGGCGAACCGATGTCGTGTCACAGCAGCTTGACTGACTTACAATGCGAACTCTTGACTACACGCACGGTACCACATACTGCTACACCTGCCTTCCTAAGCGCCGATGACATAACCTGTACTAGCTGGCTGAATGTTATTGACGAAGATGATCCTTATTCGTATGAGTGATTGAAAGACAGATATCCGATGGCATAGCCACCATGGTATACGTGGGATAGAAGCCTATCACACGAATTCCTCGCCCGAGTAGGCCTTTAGATGAAACGGTACGCATTACGAAGGAGTTATGAATCAGTGATAATTGCCTTGGAGCCTGATAGATGGATATTTCGGGTTATCGTCTTTCCCTGTACGTCGACAAAGACGTAATGAAGGTGCTCAGCAAAGCGGTATCCAGAATAATTACAATTTTTGTTATCGTTTTCGCCCCTTCCCCGCGTTTCTCCCACCGCCCCTGGATTCATCTATTTGCTCTAGGAAGCCTCCGAGTTCTAGTGCGTTGCGGGCAGCATGATTAATATGCTTGAAACGATCAGGACCAAGATGGATTCCACCAAACCACCGCGTCACAACAACAAGAACGTTATTGATTTCCTGTATCACATATTGGTGGTTGTAATTGAGGATTTGACATCGGTGTACGCACCAAAATGGACAGTAAGTGGGCCAGTCGACTACCTGCTGCAGTTTCCTCGTTGTCATCGTTGTCTAACACAAGTCAATCCCGCCCGGTCGAAACATAGAAATGTGATGCATACCTTGGTGAAGCACATTACCAACCTGGCAGCGCCAAGCATTGATGATGGGGTGATGGGCACGGGATATATGACGGTCCGACATGATGTTATTCAAAATGAGTGGTACCTTGCGCAGAGTCGGTCAGTAAAATAGCCGTTTGCCTTCAATTGTGTACAATACCTGGGAGGGATGAGATATTCGACACGCACGGCCAACAAATATACTCCTCCTATCCACAATAGGTTCGGCTACGACGATTTCAATATCTTCCGGTAAAGCGGTGTCGAGAGCTACTCGATCTTTTTCGTCAGCAGTTGATGATGGTGCAAGAGACTCGTCAGGTTCGACCAAGATGTGGTTGCGGGTAAGTGCATCCTCCCTGAGTAATTCTCCGGCCGCTTCTCTGCTTATTTTGTCGTCATACCACGCTTCGCATCGCTCCAGCACGTTTTGTAGTCCGTCAAAAACGCAGACGCTTTCCGGCGTCCATTCCACTCCGGAGACAGATATGAACGTGCGTAATATAGATCCAAAAAGCGAGGAGTCGACACCAAAGGCACCAATATATCGGGAGAGGAGCTGCAGTTGAGGTGGGCCCGAAGCAGGGTATGCTGGGGGAATTGAGACCAAGATCCGTATTGAGATGTCTTCATGAGATGGCAGACTTCCGGGGTAGGCGTCGGAACGAAACTCGGACAGTGCGATGATACACTCACTTGAGCGAAACTTCGTAACGGATGGCCTCTGAAGCACTAGATGAATGATTGGGAATACCACTTCTAGGGCTTCCGGGCGATGAATGGTATAGGTGAATGGCATGGTCTCCATATATAGACTGAAGAACTGTAATGATCAGGATCCGTAGAACAGGTTGTTTGCTTTGAACGATCAAATCATCATCTTACCGTCGATCTCAGAAGCGACGGACTCGAGGTCAGAACTTTGCATCAACTTTGCAACGAAGTCCCTTAGCTCCGTCGCAGGGTCCGAGTCAGTTGACCGAATGTTTTTATCGGAGACTTCGGTGTCCATAGCAGTAGCCACGAGCTTCAAGCTTCAAGGCTCCAGGACAACTTGCACGCGATTCGAGGACTCTTGCGAAGGAAATATCGCAGTGAAAGTAGACACACAGAAGAATTTTGAAGTCCGCGGCGTATGAAATTCGGTTTTTGCTTCCGCACGTAGCATTCACCGAAAGGTGGCACGGCGGACGTCCTTTTCGTAGAGAAATCCTTTTAGTTCATGGAAAAAAACAACTTCGTTGTTACATGTCAGACGCATGTATATTAATCTTGCTAGTACATTACGATGGCCGGGTCTTGCGTTGTCTCGACAGATTCGAAGCATTCAACTGACAAATTCCCACCGCTAGTGCTCTCGTACTTTGTCCGTGAGGAGACAAGGAATCCCGGAACAAGCGGGGATAGCGGGAGAACGGATCGTGTAAATCCCGGTGAAAAACCTGATTTCTGCTCTATGGGCATGTGATTTGTGGAAAAGAGGGTAAGGGTCCTCAGCTGGGTAGGTGCATGTTTCACTGACAGGTGACAGACAAGGTAGGCAGACGTGGGTTGTAATGTATGTCTTGCCAGGTCCGAGCATGTTGAGGTAAGTTGATATGAACACTTGCGAACTTGAAAGCATATCCAGATGTTTTTGGATACACGCCCAATCGAATATTCGTGATCGGATGGTCCATAGTCGATGTGTCAAGAGTCATAATCATAATGCAGCCGAGCCATCTACATAGAACACTGTTCCCTAGTTCAGGTTTACCAAAAGTTGGGAAAAAATACGCGCACGCGCCAAAGGCAAGTTGACTCACTCTCTGTTTAATGTTGTACCGCATGGACGCTGTAGCCAATAGATACAGACAATGATGCCTATCTGATATCTGGCTTTCCCATGAGATAATGACCCTGTGGTCCCCGTGGTGCGACGTCCAGGACAAGATGGTATGGGAATGAAGTTCGACATGACCCTGATATTACTTATAAGACTATAGCCTCCAAGCAGACTCAGCTAGCATGTATGAATGATCGCGACCGGTCATCGCATAGATATTACAAGAACCTGTTATTGTGCTGAGCAAGCTTCATTTATAGTTTACCTTGCTCGGGTTATCTCATTGGGAGTGGACTGCAAGAATTGTGAGTCTTCTGTAACTTGCAAAACACACGCTTACTTTAAAACCCGGCCGTGACAACGATTGCATTGTGCATGACGGTCTAGGTCGCTTAATATTTTGACAAGGCTTGCGAGTCAGGCCTTGCGCTGTCTTTCCAGCTAGGTTTTTGGCAAGTTGAAAGCGTGAGCTAAAGCTGCTCCTCATCAAAGATCGGGCGCTATAAAAAGAAGACGAAGCTACTACTCATTTGGTAAATGCATGTGAAGCCATGCGCTCGAGTGTCAAAATCCAGGAAGTCGCGGGGATACCTGACCGCTTTTCATAGATAAAAATATGATTGATAAAAATACTGACCTACTTGCCTGCATGAATTATCGCAAAACTGAGCTGTCGACGAGAGGTATTTAATTGAACGTAGAGTTCGAAGACACACACCTGCATAGTCCTATGCATATGATTTGGATCCCAGTTTGTGGTCGCTGAAAGTTGATGTGAAGCTTGATTTAGAGCAACTTGAAGAAGGCGCCTCGAAGAGAACGGATTAGCTGAACTCTACGAAGCACACTCACCGATCAAAATGATCTACATTGGATAATGGTACCATGAAAGTCGGTTTTTTTATTCGTTAGACGACGACAAGTGTCAGCCTGCGTGCGTTTGACCCTGAAGGGAGGCAAGGGAGCCGCGGAAGCAAAAACCGGCAAGGCAACTGTACCGTACGTGCTACGTACATGGTAGACTACTCTTGAGGCCTAGGGTGTCCCTTTTCGGCGCCTAACACTTTCGGCATGTCAAGCGGCTCAAGCCGTGCCACATCAAGTCAGCATAATGACACAGCACGCACACGCCATAATCATACGGAACACATAAACTTGCCTTTATCCTTCATCTTCAGTACTACCAGGTCGCACAAACCTGTGGCTCCGAAGGAACACTATCCTATAAATCAATTCTTCAAAAATGGGTGCTTCTGATCCAGGAGAACCCACCGCAGTCTGTGCAGGGAGCAAAAGGGCTCACAGCCCCAGGACTGCGCCCGCAAAGCGCGCCAAGGCAGCCCAGGCCTGTTTATCGTGCAGGAAGCATAAAACACGCTGCGAAATGCTTGATGGAGACAACTCGGGCTCTCAATGTCATCGCTGCAAAGTCCTCACTCTCCCTTGCTCATTCGAAGAAAATGGCGCTCCGTCGAACGATCGCACTCCATCCTCCTCCCGCCCTGTGCACACACCAGACATCCGTTCCATGCGTGATCGTGAGGAGCGCCGTGCATCCCTTCCTATTTCCCAAAAACCCCATGATATACCAATGGACGACTCTCGCGCGCACGCAGGTTCCAGTTATTCAAGGAATTGGGATTCTAGTTCAAACACACTGCCACCGTTTCACAGGTCTCAGCCACAAGAGGAGGAGGTTGACCTTCTAGACCCTGAACGGTTGCTGCCTGAGCGCCACAAACCGTGGGGATTTTTGAAACTCCCTGGAGGATTTGATGGCACTATGGTACCTATGCTGGCTATGCAGGCGCTTACTCGTGCAGGTTCGGTTGATGAATCCTCACACTCTAAGGTGGACCAGTCATTGCTCCACATTCTTGGGAGGGAACAAATAAATTATCTGACCGACATGTAAGCCTTGACATCTTATTACCTGCGAGGCTCTCATTTTGGCATAGTTTCGAGGAACGTTACGCCCCTTGGCTCAATTTACAGCCTTCTCAGCAACCAGAAGGACCGCTTCTCATACTTGCACAGTGCTGCGTTGCATCACGACATCTCGGCCCTTCAACACGCTCGGTAGTCTCTCCTCAGCTATACCGCCTGGCAGACGAGTCCATCTTCAAACAGGCCTATCACCCTTTGCCATCTACAGATGCGATACATGCAATGCTCGTGCTTTCATTATGGGAACCCATAGGGGATCCAACGACAAAAGAGTCACGCGATGGTCGGCTAATTGCTTCAACCGCAGTCAGCATGGCGATGAACCTCCGCCTCAGCGAGGCCATGGTATATTCTAAAACTCTTCGGAGGCAGAAACAACCGAACGAGCTTCCTAGTGCGGAGCTAATAGAAGCCATTGATAAAGCACGCCTTGTACGTCTTTAACTGTCTCTCAATTAATTCACCTGAACCTGTGGTTGTAGTGGTTCGTATTGAATAATGTCGAGTCGATGTCTGTACAATAGCAATAATCTACTTGGTGCCCCCAACTGATAATTTTTGCAGGCTATGTGTAGGTACCGGCCGCAGCCCAATATCGGACTGCGATAGTCTTATACATGACGCTATCGATACAACGTCGATGGCAACAATTGGGGCTGGTCGTGACATGAGACTCACTTTAATCTCCCAAATGTTCGCGGCCACGCAACTTGGGCTCTCCATACGCCTCCGTTCATCAGAGGAAATTGGAGTCTTCTACAAAGAAGTGCTCGACTTCCTGATGCGTATGGATGTGATCGAACGTCTTATTTATCCCCTTCCAGGTATGCACCCCGCATCCTCCACCTTTGAGAGCTTGACTCTGAACCCTGACACCAGTTTTAGCAGAGCACGAGATTTTCTTTTTCACGATGTTGCAGGTCTACTATCAATCCTGCAGGCTATTGGTCCTGGTACATGCCCTGATGGAAACGAAGACTGTGGTTTCCAAGTGTGACCAGCAACACCCGTGGTTCCTCGTCGCAGAGCACAACGGAATCAACCTCGCACGAAGTTGGGGCCACCAAGCGCTTGTGCTATCTGAAGGCATCCTCATCACTGCGCTATCACGACCTGAGCTCATGCTCCTCAGCGCTGCGCCAGATAATTTCTTCTCAATGCTCACCCTCGCGACATTCTTCGTCATCCTCAGCAAATGGTCCGTGATGGAAAACGCAGGCGAGCAGTTGCCTGGATCAAGTGACAGCATCCTGGCGCGGACGATCGATCGCATGCGACAGGTGAGCGCAGCTCCGGACCATGTTCCCGCGAAGTGCGCTCGGGTTATCGAGGCTGGCGTGCTCAGTTTCCGGAGGCGCGCATCGGAGAAGTCAGAGGGTTCCCGGGAGTTCAACCGGCCTTTAGTTGAGCATTTCGATGCGGCTGCACGCAATTTCCGCGAGCGTGTGTCGGGACCTGCTGCACCCTCTGGGTACCCCGCAGAGCAGCTGTACTCGCATCAGTCATTCCCGTCGTTCCCGGTAAACGACCCGAATTATTTCCTGAATTCGGACATTATCCTTGATAATGATTTCTGGTCGTCTTTTATGTCGAACCTGAGCGAGGGGAAGGGCAGATAGATTGGAATGGTGTGGTTAATGTAGTTAGTGTCATTTTTTGTGTTACTATTCTGGATACGTGGATCTCTACATATTAATGTGCGACGACACAAGTACCTTTTATATATACCAGGTAGCATGTAGCGTGTTAGCTGACATGTATTGGCTTACTATACCACCTTCCTCCGGGACTGAATGTATCATCGCAGCTCTTCTCGATCTTCTTGTATTGGGTATGTTTTTACAAGGTATTCGGCGAACCTCTTTGAGTTCCCGACGTGAAAGATGCTAAGATAGGCTCGTCAAAGGTCGAAACGGGCTTTCATGAGTCGCCGAAGTTGGTCCCGAGGATCGTTGATGCCGAAGGAAGTCGGATCGACAATGAATATTGCCGTATTCAGCAAGATGTCTGTGAGCCGGCGGAAGGTGGATCTGGAAGGATATCGATATCAGATTGTGCGGTACGCCGGGGGAGGGGTTTGATAGGACGAGAGGATATAGCTGTTATGCCAATTGATGAGGAGTCTGAGTCTGAACTGCCGTCTGAGTCCGAGTCCGAGTCTGAGCCTGAGTCTGAGTGGAATTCTGAGGAGGAGCCGGGTGAGGACGACGACGACGAAGAAGAAGAATCCTCGCTCTCGGATTCTTCGTCGTCTGAATGAGAGTCTGAGTCCTTGTGCCGCGTCTCTAACACGCCCAGACCGAGGTTCTGTGGAATGATCATGAGTTTTTTCGTGCTTTTGGAGTGGTGGAGTGGGACTTGCCATTTCGATGTACCGCTCTGCGTCCTCTTCGATGTTCTCTATATCTACGCTCGATGGGTTGTCCCGGATGCGCTGTGCAAGCGATTCGTTTTCTTCTTTGAGGCGGGGGAGGAAGTCCTGGATGCGTGCGAGTACTGTCCATCAAAATATTCAGAATTCACACCCACGGTGGGTGGTGTGAAATGAGAAAGGTAGCAAAAGAAAGACGACGTACATTCGCTGGGTGGATCTACTGCATACGTTTTCCGTTCACCAAAGTCGAAAGCAGGTGGGGCAGCATTGGAAGTATTCCTAGAGGATGAAGAGCTATTCAATTGCTCAAGGAGGTTACCTAGATATGACAGATGACAGTGAGCCAGATGTGCGGGCCAAACAGACTTGCTCACCGATCCTTTGCTGCCTGTTCTCCTCGTCCTCGACTTCGAGTTTGGATCCGGAATGTGACATTATGTGTAGAAGAATTTGATGCTGTCACGGTGTGTTGGACGAATGAAAATAAAAGGAGGTCAACCGAATTTGGTAACCAAGGCCTTCGTGACTTCGTCGCGTCCATCAGCGAGCGCGTATAAGAAGAGGCCACCGTCCTTTGCAACGATCCCTGTGGTAGGGTTAATTATTATCTTTCTAGCTACGCTATGCCCCAGCAGCCACACATTCGTGTCGTTGTGCAGCTCCCTTATAACCGTCCTGACCACCCGCTTCCTGATCCTCCCCATGTGCGTATCTGGGGTCGCAGTTCTCTGGGCTTTTTGGCTGAACGAACTTGGTCCATGCAGATTGAATGGAACGCGGAAAAGGCTAATGTTCTATGGGAGGTTATCGCACTCTCTCGGACGAGCGATAACGGTGGTACGGATTGTGAGTAGTCCCCTTATTCGATATTGACGGTGGGCTTATACGGAATCATCAACAGGGAAAGGCCTCGCTGCACATCTCGAAGTACCACTTCCGTATCTACTATATCGTGCACAGGCTAGATACGAAGATGACCTCCGAGGACTGCAAGGTTTCCACGCTGGCAATCAACAGAACCAGCCCGCCACCAAGTCTACAGAAGTAACACCCGTCCTCCCAGACCGTCCCCTCTCCATTAAGATTCCTACTGCACGCTTCAATTCCCTCAACAGCGCCCGTAGACTATCCTCTTCCAGGCTAGCAACGCCACTCGGCGTTCGTGCACGGCTCAACTCCCTCACCCAACACAATACCATCCAATCACCTGCAAAATCCAAGAAGGCATCGTCCTCGTCAACATCTACTCTTCAGGGCACTCAAATAAAGAGACCCCTGCGCCTGCCCTCTCCTTTCTCATCTGACGAGAGCGATTCGGAGGATGAGCAGGCCGCCAAGGAAGAAGAAGCGGACCGTGCGGCAGAGGAAGAAGAAGCTCTGTCACGCAAGCTTGCAAGTCTACAACGCATGATGACGAGCGAGGCTCTCGGCCTTGTTGGCTCGCCACTATCCCCTGAGAAAGGCAAGGCCCGAGATGTGATCCGTGGGCGTGCGCCGGTGCCTATCTTTCGCCCTGGACGCGAGGGTGAGGATGTTGTAGGCTTCAGACGCAACGATGAGAGCTTCAGACATGAAGAGCGGAATCGCGATCACAGCGCATCTGTTTCAAGTGCATCTTCTCCGCAGGGTTCGATCCCTTCGATCCCGTCTCCCCCGCCAGAGTCCCAATCTCCGATGGCCCGGCATCTTTCTACGAGCAAGTCGAGCAGCCCGCCGACGGTGTCGACGCGAAACGCACGGGGGCTGTCGCACATGCGTTATGGACCACTTGCAGGTCTTAGCGAGCAGGAGAGTAGTCATGGGAGCTCTGCCTCGAGCTTTAGTGACATAAGCGGTATGTCGTTCTTTTGTTGTTGGTCTCTCTGATGTCAATGCTGTTGTAGAAGCAAGCTTTTCGGCCTCTGCGTTAGAGAGTGCGCTGATGTCAAATGTCCCTGCAGGGGCGGGGTCTCGTCTGTAAGTATTCTTTGAAATAATTGTTGTATAGCACTCACCAGGAACTGTCTTTCATAGATCTGCAATTGCAAGGAGTAGGTTCGTACGTGGTGTGCGGTTGTAGCATATCCCCCTTAGACTGTCTGACTGGTTTATTATTCTTTTCTATTGATGAGCTTAGGGATCTGTACTACTATCACTCTTATCATAAGCTTCCGTATATCCGTTCCTAATTCCATAAACCTAGTTCTGACAGACACGTCAGACTGACGGGTCGTGTGCTTCTACATCATTCCAGCGTGTTCTCGACCACGATGATCATCAAATGATCATACTAAGTGCTTGTACAGATCAGTGCAGGATTGTCAGAATACAAAGGCGCTTGAGAGCTGATATAAAGCGCTCCGAGGTTCTGGTTCTCTCGATAATCACGTTCACTTTCTCTCTTGATCATATCTGCATCAGTCTCAGTTACAGCACCCGCACAATATCTTGTTCGGTTTCCTCGAGACTCTAGCTTTCGCTACCCATCATACTGGTTTTGAGCCGCAAAATACTGGTAGACGACGAACGCAACGATGCAGTTGACGTTCGTAACGGATTTAGGACAGTCGTATTCTGTTGACATCGACCCTGACATGGAGCTTGAGAACGTGATGGCTTTGCTAGAGGCAGAGGTGAGCAACTTGTTATCTACCCCATGTCCATCCAGTCCTAACTTATACATGTCGATTCCCTTCTTGTCTTTACCTCCTCCTTATCCCTTTGTTTGTATGGCACTGTCCATGTCACTGGATCATACAGTCGAGTATACCCCCCAGCGAACAAAGCATATCGCACAATGGACGCGAACTTATAGATCCCAAGGCTACCATCCGGGCGCTTGGCGTAGGCGAGCACGCTATGCTCCTCTTGCGCAGGCGTGTCAACGTTCCCGGGCCTGAAGGCAGGTGAGCGCATATCTCATGGTTTCAAAGTGTGCGGATTGATTGCCCTTTCACAGACCCATAGAACAAGATGCAGAGATGATGAGACTGCAAATCCTTGGAGATCCACAACTTATGAGACAATTACAAGAGGTGCGTGATTATCATTTCTTGCTTTCTTTAGTTTCTCACTGAGTGTGCTTCACTCAGACACTACCGGAAATAGCTGCTGCTGCCCAGTCCAACCCTACACGTTTTGCAGAGCTCTTGCGACAGCAACGTGACCGCGCACAGCAAGCTGAGCTTGGTCGGCAGCGCGAAATTTCGGCTCTCAATGCTGACCCATTCGATGTTGAGGCGCAGCGTCGTATTGAAGAAGCTATCCGTCAACAGGCGGTCATGGAAAACATGGAGCATGCGCTCGAGTACTCCCCAGAAGCGTTTGGGCGGGTGACGATGCTTTAGTGAGTATTCGTTTGAGTTCAAAGCATAGAGGTGTTGATGGACGGCAGCGTGCCGGTGGAGGTAAACTCGCATCCTGTGAAAGCATTTGTGGACAGCGGAGCACAGCAGACAATCAGTGTGTCTTATCCACCATTTGTGTCTGTCTGTCTGACCTGACTTGACTTGTGCAGTGAGCCCTGAATGCGCAGAAGCATGCGGGTGCGTCATTTTCATCTACATCAGACGAAACTGACATATCACAGGATAATGCGACTTATTGATGGGCGATTTGCAGGCATCGCACGTGGAGTGGGGACTGCGAAGATTCTGGGACGTGTGCATAGTGCGCAGATTCGGCTTGCGGATTTGTATCTTCCTTGTTCGTTCACGATAATGGAGGTCAGTTTACTTGACTTCTCTTCTCAGATATTTCCCCGAGCTCACGCATATTTAAGGGACGTGATGTAGATCTTCTCCTTGGGCTCGACATGCTGAAGGCTCACCAAGCATGCATCGACCTCGAAAAATCAGTGCTGCGTATCCAAGGGCGGGAAGTGAGCTTCCTCTCTGAACACGAACTCCCCGAAAAAGCACGGATGATCGACTCGGGAGTGGAAGATCCAAGTGCGTCTACATCAGGTTCTTCAAGCAACGCCCCACAACCCGCACGAACGAGTGCTGGTGGGAGCACTGGCAACCGGGGCTCGTCGTTCCCAGGTGGAGGAAGCACGTTGGGCTCGGCGCCTGCGCCACGTGCACCGACGCGTCTTGCCGCTGCACAGTCACGACACCCAGAATCTGCAATTGAGCTGATTATGGGACTTGGAGTATCGCGGGAAGTGGCAATCAGTATGTTGGATGCGGCGGGTGGGAATGTGGATGCTGCTGCGAGTTTGTTGTTCTGAATCCTAGGGTGGGTGGGGATTCTTGCACAATGATGAGGAGACGTGAATAATCTTGGATCTTGGATCTTTGGGATTGCAAAAAGTGTACGATGTGATGAATTATGATGCGACTAAGATCGTATTTTATGGAGTGGAAATTGGCAACGATATCATGCTGGCTGTACCCAAAAGAGACGTCTGGTACAATCATAGCCCGGATGATTACAATGTATGACAAGATGTATCTCTTTTGACTCCCGCATAAATTGGCGCTTTGTCTTAACCCTTCACCGCCATCATCAACTACCTATTTTATTTTGTCTGTGCGATTTCTTTGGTGCGAATGGCGCGAATGGCTCGAACAAGGCGAACGGAGTGAAAGTCGACACCCGCGGTACCGGTACCCATTCAAGGCTCTCAGACGTTCAGGTAGCCCAGGACGATATGCCAGTGTCAAACGCGAGTCACTGAGCCTGACTGGAACATTTAAGAGTTCAACTACATAGTCTTGACATAGTCAATAACTATAAGTTGAACCTCAGTCGACTTACTACAACCAGGTCCAGCTTTTTGAAGATCGGTTCCACCGTGACGCATACACACGGCATTCACTCTTCATAATTCCTCACTCACCCTACACTGTCACCGGGCAAAGACGACAATAAATTCACACACTCTTGCCCGACAAGGTCAGCTTTTCTACAACAGAAGTTAGAACCAACCTTGCATGCAATTGCTGATGAACCCTTTGGCCAGAGTCCGTAAATTCAAAACATTTAAAAATACGGAAAAATCAGAATCCACCGTCCAACTTTGCACTCGTCCTCGACTTTGCCTTATCAGATCCAAAGCTCGTTCTTTCATGTCTGCTAATTTCTCTGGTCGATATATTACGACGGTCAAGATAGTGATTCTGATTTTTTTTGAAGTCCGATGCGCACGAACCTCCTTCGTCATCTTCAAGTTGATACGAATATAAATGCTTGGTAAACCCCTATTGTCTTGCAACGAAGTTCTGTCTTTGCTCCTCCACAATGGCTACCAAGTTCAATGCTTTGGATGAAGATAGCAAGCCCGTCTCCAGATTCAACTTACCTCCCTCATATGATGCAATTCCTTCGTCCGTATCAGCAGATTCCACCTGGTTCGGGCGATCGGTATTTCCCTTTTTTCACTCCAAGCAAGAATGTCTATCTCGCATCCGTGCAATTGTTTCCTCTCCAGATTTCACCTCGTCCTCGGTCGCTCAAACTGTCAGCGCCTGCGCCGACACTCTCCCACCAGCAGAGTTTTCCAAACTCCTTCAAAAACACAATATTGAGCAACACACGCCTCTGTATTGGGCAATTGTGAATAATCAGCGAGAAGCCTTTTGGGCATTGACTAAATTCATTTCCAAATTCTCTCCTGCTTGTTCTGCCGACTTACGTCTTGCGTGCATGACGGCTAGCGACCATGCATTGTTCGCGCAGCTGAATTTGGGTCACACAGTTAATCGTAAGTAGTATCAGTACTTCATGCCCCGAGACAGCATTGATTAATTCGCCTATCAGCCGAGGATCAGTCTTTAAGATGCTTTTTGGGTTGTCCGCCAGATGAGAGTGAGGTGGAAGGACTAGGCAATAACATCTTCGTTGGTTGTCTCCGCTTCAGGATGTTTCAGAAACGCCTTCGCATTACACAGAAATTAGGCGTAGAATTTATTGCCGGGAGTATGTGGTCCACGTCGTTTCTTTTCCTTGCACTTATGGGAACATGCTATCCACTGCAGGCCGTATATGGGTGATGAGCTTTTATCTGGGACCGGAAGGGAGGTGGCGCGTTAAACTCTCGCTTTCAGAGCACAGCTTTCCAGCACGACCAGACATTGTGCTTCAGATAGAGGCCCACAGAAGGTTGCCCGACTCTCCGATCCCGGAGGCTCTAATCGTAAAATTGAACCATTCGTCGGACATGCTTGTACCTAAAGAGCGAGTTTATTGTTTCCCATCATAGGCGTGCTGAAGTTTTTACATCATTCCAATGCGGCTATCCTTTGCTCACTTGCTGGTTGATGCGCAGATCACACGGCAATTACACGGTCAATAAACCCAGCGTGAAATACACAGGACTTTGGTATCAGTTCGGTAGTGATTGGCCACTGGACAAGTAAGTTGTCTTCCTTGACGATCTTCCTTAGTTCAATCTGTATTGTGAAATGTGCTCGTGGTGCCGTTTACGTCCATCAGCATGTTTCCGACTTTGCTTGAACTGACTGTATCGCTTTAGCGACACTGTGTATGTGGACTGCGATGGTACCCTGCATGTATCAATGAGGGTGACATTGAAATAGTGTTGCTTGGTCAGGTCAGTCAGTCCACCCCTTCAATCCAAATAACCACTCACAGTTACTTATGCATGCAATACAGCTGACCGTGGTACATTGTCCAACACAGCCCTTTTGGTGTATTCTTTGACTGTTTGAACTTCCCTGGACAAAACAATTGCCATGAGGGACGACTTTGATTATTTTCACCAGCCCGGATACGAGTTGTGTTTGCCAAGTCACTTTGCAAGCCCTTGGTCCTTCTTGCAAAGATGATGCATGTTTCATCAAGACCTTTCCTCAACACCATCACGCATATCAGACGCTGTTAGGGTGCTACCAGAGAGAATCGGTTATGGAGGCTTCCCGAGCAAACGTGCCAATCGATTTCTGGATCGGTAAACATATTGTAGCTTGTATTATCACTCGGCACTTGATCCAGGTAATGACAATATAACCTGAATTCGGCATTCTCCGGGTTCCTAACATTCGCCTACCGTGAACGCAGCTTCAATGAATCAAGTGAAGTCACGACATATTATCATTAGATATCATCATATCAACATTTCAACACAAAGATTGAAGACCTTCCGCCAGAATACCCAGATGAACAACATGCAGCTCGATTGAAGCCCATCATGCCCGACGTCACCGTCATCCACGACCTCAGCGAGGAAATTGACGTTGCATTCTTCTTAGGCGTCCCAACCAACTTCATAAATAACCTCCAATCTGGCGCACGGTGGACGGTAAGCCTAGCGAGCCGGAGTCCCGCTGCCATGCATAATCAAGAAGGAACGACTGTCTTCCTTCTATATGGTCTGGCTAGGGGAGACTAGTTTATATTCACAACACGTAACTGAATATTCATAACACGACACCCAGAATCTGTAATCGAGCTGTTCATGGGACTTGGAGTATCGCGGGAGGTAGCATCATCTCAAGGCAACATCGCGGCCATTACCGCAGCAGTAGTGCCCGTCGAACAGCAAACAAAGTTTGATAAAGGGACGAAAGCGGTTACAGTGATAGTAAGGGGAAGCACTGCAATGGCAGGGACGGGGTAGGGTATAAGAAGGTGCCAGGCATGCAACCACGCAGTCAGTTGAATCCACCGTCCTTCCTTGCTAGTCTCCTGGTAATATCAAAACAATCTGAACTTTCAGCTCCAAAGAACTGACTATCGACTTCAGTAGGCAAAGTATACCGTGACCACCTCCTGAACCAGTTAGGCATATTCGAAATCGCTATTGACGGCAGGCCACAGCACACGAGGAGATCTTGCTCGTACTTTCCAACTTCGCTGGCGACCATGGCTTCCAAAGCTGTGACGACATCGACTTTGACACCTGTCATGACATTGGAGGGTCATGGGGGGTCTATCCCGTGCATTTGCTACTGTCCGGACGGAAAACAACTAATCAGCGGATCTTGGGACAAGACCACGCGACGATGGGACCTGCAGGTAGGTAAGGAGATTGAGGAGGCGCGGGATGTTTATGAGCACGAAGTAAGTGCGGTAGCAGTATCAAATGATGCTCGATGGGTGGTCACTGTCGTCTCTCGTCACGGTGGACCCGGCAATACGTTGAGCTGGGGTCTCAACGTGAAAGTCCGTGATGTTGAGACGGGGACGAAACATTTTGAACGCTTCTCAAGGTCCGGGAAGGTCAGCTGCATCGACATCTCCACGGACAACACATTACTGGCGAACGGGATGTGGGATGGTAGTGTGCAGATACGGAGCTTGGATACTGGCAAGCTTGTGGCTGGTCCATTGAGATGTGATGATTATGTGGGCGCAATTCGATTCTCGCCAGACTCGAAGAAGCTCGCAGCGATGTCACATGTGGGGAAATGCCTTGAAGTGTGGGATGTCGAGACACAGACATCAGGTGCCAAAGTGGGGGGTTATTATGAGGCTGCAACTGGGGTATATGCGCCGGTGTTGTGGACAATGCAAAGCAAATCCATCGTTGCCGCATTCGGTTTCTCGGGTGCCTTCGCGAGGATAATCTATGAGTTCGACGCGTCGACGCTGGAGACTGTCGGAGCTCCATTCAAAGGACACGGCGAGTTTGTGACAGGTCTATCACTTTCATTCGACGGTGTGCCCCTTGCTAGCGGTTCGACCTTCGACCACACGATCAAGCTGTGGGCCTTCGAGTCCCGCCAGCTCCTCTCTTCATTTGACATTCAGAGACCACACGACATCATCCTCTCACCCAACTCACACCAACTGGCTTACACCACCTGGGCTGACGACAATATCCATATATGCGACATTCCACCCGACATTCTTGCTACTGTTTGGCCTCCACAAGAAACACAGACTGATGTATTCATTCACCCGCTTAGATCTGTTGTTCATGCGCTAACATTATCTTGCAGACTGTTGCCCCTCACAATCCACGCCTTGCCGATCTACTCAGTGTACGTGGTCCCTTAAAACCTTTCTTCTAGTCATTTATACCACTGCATCGATTGTCACAGTCCAACGCAACACGCCGTGCCGCGCGTCGAAACCTAGCCACGTCACCTTTCACACCCCTTCCCCACCCGCTAAGACGATCTACAGAGAAGCCCACTATCTTTCGCCACATCCGCCCGTTCCTTCCTTATCCTTTCCGGAGTGCAGTTCCTCCTGTTCGGAATGATCGGCCTCGCGACCCTTTGGATGTATGTTCTACTGTACCCATTTCCCTCGCAGTTAACTCAATTTTTCCCCTCGCAGTTTCCTGCTACACTACCTCTACCTTCCACCAGCTCTCCCTTAGTGCAGTCCACGATTCAAAGGCGTTCACATACGGATCTCCCTGAGAACGTATGTATCAACTGCTGTAACCAAACCTTTGACTCACACACATTTTCCAGTCTCAACCCACACCAATGCCACTCCGGCCCGTTCGTGCGCTTCATGCTCCGCTACCCGTTGTTGATGTTCCTCTCGCGTGGGGTGAATTGGTATGCTCAGTTAATTTTTTTCACTATATTCGAGATCTCAATGATTTGCAGCGCCACGCCGCAGCGGGTGCTCCCTCCAAGGATGATGACATGATACGTGATGAAGGTGTTCCTTCTCCTCCTCCTTCACCCAATCCCAATTCCCAATCACTCGCAGCTGTGCAGATTAATACCGGACAGCATGGTAGCGGCAGGTTTTGTGGCTGCTTCTAAACCGGTTTTGCTGATGTTTTCCAATGCTTAGTTTTGATTGTTGTCGCTCGTCGCATGCTTTTATTCGATCAACGTGGACTTGTACCAATCGCTTCTTAGTCCCACACTAAGTGGCACCCCGAATCAAGACCCCGGACACCACACCAGGTCAACACGCCCAACGGCGTCACCAACAGTCTCCCTCCCAATCAATAGAACCTTTAAAAACCCAAAAAACATATTATAGATACTAACACTCACAGATGGCACCTCCCACGATGCCCGAGAAGAAAAAGAGCCCAAGGGACGGGACAAGTCCACCAACCACTCGAAACTCCAGAAGCTCAATGACGCAAGACGATATAGAATCCTTACCAGGCGCAGTGACAAACATCGATTCGGCAGAAAAATACCTGGCCAGCGCACTTTTACGCCAAGCGGATGAACCACTCACCCTAATTCACATCACCGGAATCCTTTTTCAAATCACGCAAATGGCCAAGTCCACCCCTCTTCCAGTCGTCAATGCCATTCGAGCGGTGGCTTTCATATTAAAACAATTGACCGCATCAGAGATCGCAGAAGCCGTGATTCTCCATCTTACTGACTCCGTGACCACCAGCATAGTAAACAACGTCGTAGCAGCCATCTCACCTCAAGTCGCAGCGATACACTCTGTATCCGAGGAGCTGAAAGACTCACTGACTCAGACCTCAAAGCTTCAGGGTGTAATAGAGAGAGAGAGGAACGAGAAAGAAGAGAGTCTTCAGACGGCGGCAGAGAGGATCGAAGACGCAGTGGACATGCTCTATGAATCTATCGAAGACTGCAACAACTCATGCAAGACCCTCACTCCATCACTAGAATCCACGCAAGACAGCATCAACTCCCTTTCTACTCAATTCTCCCAACGCCTGCCAGCGGAATCACATCCCACATCCCCATCGCTAGTCCACCCCACTTACAGCTCAATCGCAGCCACACATCCCCCTCCACCTGTTGACCAAGCAGTAGCCAGAGCCGCAATAAGAGCAAAACAGATCCTACTTGACCCTACTCCAGGACGCACACTCTTCGCACAGGAAGACACCAACTCAATCATTGCAAAGAAAATATCCGACATGCTACTAGTGATACGCTCGGCAAACACCCCCAAGGGTACAGTGCGAGCCGTACAACGTCTCCGCAATGGAGGTGTCATCGTTGAACTCGAAAACGAACAGCTCGCAAGTTGGTTACGCAGCCCCACCGGCAGACAGGCATTGGAAGCTCACCTGGACGCCTCAGCCAGCGTTCGGGACAGAACTTACGCAGTAGTAATCCAATTCCTACCTATCACGTACGAGATCGATCGAGAAGATTTCCCTCGTCTGATCGAAAACGAAAACAAACTTCCGCCTAACTCCATCGCTTCCATCCGATGGATCAAGCCCCCCCAGCGCCGATCAAAAGACCAACGCAACGCCTTCGCCCTTCTGCAACTACGAGATGCAAACACAGCCAACGATACCCTCAAGGAAGGACTCTGTATCGACGCTCAACGATACACAGTCAACAAAGACAAGAAAGAACCTACGCGCTGTGCCAAATGCCAGAAATTCGGACATATCGCCCGCAACTGCTCAGCTCCACACGACACGTGTGGTACATGCAGTGGACGACACTGGACCGCTCAGTGTAATGCATTCCGCACAGAATGCTGCGTCAACTGCAAAAGTCAGACCCACACGAGCTGGAGTCGCAAATGTCCAGAATTCATGCGCAGATGCTCGACATTAGATGAAATGTACCCGGAAAACAAGATGCCGTTCTTCCCTACAGAGAACTTGTGGACCCACGCCTCACTCCCACCTAAGCCTCCCGTTCGCACCCCATCCAACAGCACGCCCTCTCGTCTAGTTAACGCCAACCTACGCACGCCAATTCCCCAAACCAAACAAACCACCCTCAGCTTCCCTACCACCTCACAGCCCTCAATCGCCTCTAACCCGCCGTCCACTCCATCTGCAACCCCATCGTCCAGTCAGCCAACGCCCAACACCCATCAGATATCTACACTAGCTGCACCCCCCGGCCCTTCAACACCCCTCCCAGTCGCCCCTCCATCTCCATTCTACTCTGCTCCCTCAAGTCCCAATGCGCTCCCCCCACTCCCATTGACCAATGCCTGAACAACCGAAAACCCCCAACACCGGCCTCAAGATCTGGCAGCAAAACCTTAACGCCTCCTTAGTAGCCCAAGAATCACTCATGAACAGCTCAGACATCTCCAACTACGACCTCCTAATCATACAAGAACCGCATATAAACTTTCTCCGCAACACTCGTGCCTAGTGCTGCCGTGGTTCGGTCCAGAACCACGGTTCGAACCGGACTTTGGTCCGGTTCTTGTGTGGTTCGGTCCACGGTCCAGGTGTCAGCCAGAACCGGACCATAGTACGGTTCTCGGTTCTGCATTGGCCGAACGGTTCTATGTTGGTTTGGACGCGTCCCGAACCGTCCCGAACCTCGAACCGATTTTATTTTCGAACTTAAGATATTTACGATTGACTATGGTTTTCTCTCTCACTGACAACGCTCTTTGCTCAGTGTCAAGTCATTTTTGGAAGTACGTGGATTGTTTGTGAACATGCTCAGTGGTTAGTATAACATTAACGTTGCAGGTCGATGCTACACGATGATGTCACAACGAGTTCGGGGGTCGGTCATGTCAATGAACTCCCACCTAGGTTTTTGACAGCATAGAAGCCGTTTCATGTTCATTATCGGTATTTCTATCACTTAGTTCTTGTCCTGATCTTGTGCTCTCAGTCCTCCCAAATGGGTGGTGCCCACCCTCATTCCTCTGCAAGCACACTCCTTGTTCGCCTTTCCTCGCTCCTCCACTTTCAACGCGACAATGTTAAAGCGACCGACCGTCCGCAACCCTCAACGTCTTCGAGGTTACACCTACAGGTGCTCTTCGCTCGCCTGTCCTCTAGTAGTCAATCATATCAACATGCAAATCATGGCGTGTCTCGGCCTCAAGTTCCTCGTCCGCTATCTGTTTTTGAATGACCTCTCGAAGCTCCGCTCTCTTACTTCCTTCTCACTTCCAAATCCCTGAGTCACTGGGGTGGTAGACACGCCGTTTACATATAACTCACTTTCTCTACGAGTGTCGTGGTCCCTCCCTCGACGATTTTGAAGCCGCCCTCACATCTATACTCACTCAGACTCCCAACCTAGATATTTCCATTGTCGACAAGGGCATTTGGACCCATTGCGGACACGCTGGGTACGCATTGCAAGAACTTATGTGGTGTAACGGCATCATAAGCAGTATGTGGTCTTACCAGAGGAGTTGATATAGTCTTAACAGATCTATCAATATAGAAGCTGCACGATGTGCGCACTGCTCACTGACATGTACCCGCCGAACTCCTTCCCAAGGTCATATAGGCATTAAATGCTCTCCCGCTCCTAGTTTCCCTTGCCGTCGAGTGCGATGCACCAGTTGCGCACAAGATGTCAAGCTCCACCTCCCAAATCTTCAGCAGCTCATCCTGCACGGGTGAACAAGTCAACGGCTGGACCCTCCCCCTCCTACGCAGCTGTTCCAGAGACTTTGTAAATGATTTTTCGCCCCTACTAAAATTTTCGGGTTCGGTTCGAGTTCAGACCGGAAAAAAACCGAACCGGACCTCAGAGAACCGTTCTCTGAGGTCCGGTTCTGGGTTCGAAGATTTTGTAGAACCGAACCATGGTCCGGTTCTTGGTTCTCGTCCAGGACCCTCTGAACCGGACCGAACCGGACCACGGCAGCACTACTCGTGCCAGCCATCGCTGGCACGTCTTATACCCAACTAACCATTATTCACACCCACAGGACCGCTCACGAGCCATCACGTTCGTTAACACATCGCTCGATACAAACACCTGGCGTCAAATACCCTTCCCATCGTCAGACATCGTCGTCCTTCAACTATCAGGAGAGTATGGTTCATGTTCGATCATCAACGTCTACAACGACTGCACGCACCAACTCACCCTCCTAGCGCTGAACACGTTCCTCGACCAGAACATCACCGAACTCCGACCTTCGGCTGAAGATCACATGCTCTGGATGGGTGATTTCAACCGTCACCATCCCATGTGGGAAGACACTCGTAACCGGCACCTCTTTAATTATACTACCTGCAGCCCGCTTATTGACCTAATCGCTGACCATGGAATGTTACAGCTTCTCCCCGCTGGGATACCAACCCTCCAAGCCTCCTGCTCGGGAAACTGGACCCGCCCCGACAACACCTTCGGCACAGAAGGCATCATCGAGGCGGTGGTCTCCTGCTCGACCGACCCCTCTCGTCGAGGCCCCAAGACTGACCACCTGCCCATAATCCTAGAGCTCAACCTTGAAGCCCCACGCGCGGACGCCACGCCACGCCTCAACTGGTGTGAGGTCGACTGGACCAAATTCAAGGAAACACTCACCGCCAATCTTGCTCCCTACCCACCTTCAATCCTCGGATCAGCGGAAGAATTCCAGGTTTCGGCGCGGCGAATCACCCAAGCCATCACGTCAACAATGGAAGTGTGTGTTCCCCGATCCAAACCCTGTCCACACTCGAAGAGATGGTGGACCCGCACCTTATCAGATATGCGCAAACAGGTCGGCAAACTCAGTAGGAAATCGCACCAGCACCGAGGACTACCACTCCACCCTTGCCACGCCGAATACAAATCCCTCAAGAACCGCTACGCAGAGGAGATCACGCAGACGAAGAAATCACACTGGATTGAGTGGCTCGAGGACTTAGAAGGTAACGACTTATGGACGGCTAATCGTTACATTTCCACAGCACCGAGCGACGGCGGCAGATCTCGCATCCCGACCCTCATATCCAAGCTCCCAGATGGTTCGTCAACAGAGGCCTCCACCAATGCAACGAAAAGCATAGTCATAGCCAAGGCTTTCTTCCCTCCCCCCCCTTTAGTAGACTCCGTTCCCGCTGACTACCTTTACCCAGACCCAGTAACCCACCACACCCCAATCACCCCAGACCAGATATCTCGCGCAATATCGAAGCTTAGTGGCTATAAAGCCCCCGGTCCAGACGGCATCAAGAATATAGTTTTCAAGGAATGCGAAGCCATACTGACCCCCCACCTAGTCTATTTATTCAACGCGGTCTTCTCGTACCGCACGTACTATGAGCCTTGGAAAAGGTCCACGACGGTCATATTGAGGAAGCCCGGCAAGCCCTATTACAACGTTGCAAAAGCCTATCGACCGATAGCGCTGCTCAACTCCACATGCAAACTTCTCACTGCCATTATCGCTGACCAACTAACTTTCATCCTAGAGCATCACAACCTCCTACCCAACACTCATTTTGGCGGACGCCCGGGTCGCTCCACGACCGACTCACTCCATCTCCTAGAAGACACAGTAAAGAACGCCTGGCGAGCGCACAAAGTAGCGTCAGTCCTTTTCTTAGACATCGAAGGTGCCTTCCCGAACGCCGTCACCAAGCGGTTGATCCACAACATGCGCTCGCGACGACTCCCACGCGAACTCGTCAACTTCACGGAACGACTACTCACTGGACGACAAACTCAACTCCATTTCGACGGCTTCACCTCAAACTGGATCAACATCGACAATGGGATAGGGCAAGGCGACCCCCTTTCAATGATTCTATATGTTATCTATAGCGCTGACCTAGTGGACATTGCTCGCCCTCGACGAGGGCGTGAGTCCCTTAAAGAACTAACCCTTGCTTTCGTAGACGATACTGCCCTAGTGGCTATCGGCAAGAACTTCGCGGATACCCACAGCACCCTCAAAGACATGTTAGAACACCCCGGCGGGGGATTTGAATGGTCACGGGACCACAACTCCCGATTCGAGACCAATAAGTTCGCGCTTATCGACTTTTCGATGAATAGGCAACGTGAACGCCCAGAAATGATCATCCAAGGTTCCACCATACACCCTTCCTTCACCCATCGCTTCCTAGGCGTCATCATCGATCAGGAACTCCGCTGGAAACAACAAGTTGATCACGCCCTTGCTAAAGGACTCGCCCACGTCATGCAACTGAGACGACTATCTACCACATCGAAAGGCATCCCGCTCCGTCTAATGAGACAACTATACCAGGCTACAGCAGTCCCTAAGATGCTGTACGCCGCCGACCTTTGGTTCGCTCCAGCGTTCCGTGGCGAGTCGGATACGTTGCAACGTGGCTCCTTAGGTGTAGTCAGAAAACTCACTTCTATTCAGCGATTAGCCGCCATCGCCATGACTGGGGCAATGAGGAGCACTGCCTCAGATATCCTCGAAGTACATGCTAACCTCCTCCCTATAGCTCTCCTCCTGCAAAGCGCTTGCCATCGCGCCATCGTGCGACTCGCCGCACATCCGAACACCCATCCCTTATTCGCTCCAGTACGAAAGGCAGCCAGCCGCTATGTATCGTCCCACCGTTCGTCCCTACACCGACTCACCCATTATCTTAGTATCAAACCGGATGAAATTGAAGCCTTGATTCCAGCCCGAAGAGCCCCTACCGCCACATGTCCCTACAAAGTTCATATCGCAGCATCAAGGAAGGAAGCCGCAGACGAACATCATGACCTACCGGACCACATCCAAGTCTACGCAGATGGCTCGGGTCACAACGGAGGTATAGGTGCCGCTGCCATCCTCTTTCGGGCGGGAAGATCACCACGCACGTTACGCTACTACCTGGGACCCAGCGAAGAACATACAGTATATGAGGCCGAAATGGTAGGACTGACCTTAGCGGCCAGACTCATAGCCACAGAACAGCAAATCGAATTCCCATTGTCGATCTCTATAGACAACCAGGCAGCACTAGTATCCGGTGAGCGTTTCCATTCCGGCCCAGGAGCTTATCTATCCCTCAAGTTTCAGAAGTTACTACGCGCGGTACAGAAGACTAACCAGCATTATGACATAATGTTAAGATGGGTTCCAGGCCATGAAGGGGTACATGGCAACGAAGAAGTGGATAAGGCAGCGAAAGTAGCGGCAGAAGGCTCTCATCGTTCAAGTCCCCGTGCGTTGCTCCCCAAATTTCTTCGTAACGGTCCGCTACCGCTAAGCATTGCAGCATTGAAACAAGCCCACCGAATGCAAGTGCAAGCCAGATGGTCGAGGATCTGGCCCACCTCCCCCCGATATCAACGCCTACACGAAATAGACCCCAACGCCCTCAACAGATCCTTTCTCAAGCTCACCGCTCATTACCCCAAACGACTCACCAGCCTCTTAATCAGTCTCCGCACTCATCATATCCCCTTGAACAAACACTTGCATCGACTAACCAAAGCCGACTCCCCTCATTGTCCTCACTGCCCGCAAGCAGAAGAAACCATACACCACTATCTATTTGCATGCCCTCAATATCAAAGAGAACGACACATCCTGTCTTGTGCGCTCGGTCGCAAATCCACTTCACTACCCCACCTCCTAGCAACACCCGAAGCCATACCCCATTTAGTTTGTTTTGTTAATGCTACGCGCCGTCTTAAACCAACCTTAGGTGAAATCTCGTTACCCCCAGCACAAGCAGATTGACAGCCTTGCCCTCGCAGCTTCACCCTCCACGACATCGATACCAACGCCACGCTACCACGATACCATACATCCCCCTAATCACCTCACCACCTAATCACCTAATCGCCCATCTCCTATCCTACCCAAAACTAAAACACTCCCGCTCGCACACACGAGATCGAAGGCTCACAAACCTAAGGATTCAGCTGATAGGCAACTGGAATACTCCCCTTGACACGCTATGTTAAATGCTACCCCCCACATAGCGAAGAAGCGAGCACGCGCTTCCCAAACTTCAAAAACTTATTCCATATTAAAAACCCTACCGCATCCCTTACTCTTTCTCTGTTTGGTCTGCGAAAGCAGCCGAGCACGCGTTATGTTACATTCGTCACACTAAAAAACACAACAGTATATCTTCTAGTCACTACATCTCCGACAAATCGCTCATCTAAAACGGCCGGCGGGAACGGCGGGAACGGCGGATCGGTGAGGGTACGCCCTACACTGATGCATTTGAGGATCTGGAGATATAGCACGGGGCACGGGGCCCCTCGACTTGACAGTATTGTCCTACATAGAGTAGCACTCTCAATGGACATAAATCAGGATTAAAAAAAAAAAAAAAAAAAACGTGGACTTGTAGCAGTGTACTGTCGATATGCCATGTTTCGAAATTCATTTTGTCCTTGTATCGATCACATCAATCAGACATAACTAGAGGAGCTCGGCTTCGCTGTGTGCCAGAGGTATTTTATTCTACAACATCCTGTTGAAGACGTGAACAATGCCTGCCGCCATCCTCCACCATCAAAATATACCATCAACATGTGAGCAAAGTCACGGTGATATTTACGTTCAGGGTCTTGCTCAATTTATTTTGTTTTCGCGGACATGCAACGTGCATGCCAGTGGTGGCTGATCGATGATCGCTGAACTGGCGCTCGTTGGTCTGTTAAGGCAGCTCCAACACCAAACCAAAATGGTCATGCTTGTGAGCCGAAAAGCAGACAGATTTGATCATACTTACCGTAAACGCTGTGCAGAGTACCACGCGGAAGGAGCGTGTTACAGCAAAGTACAAGAGGGTGGTCGTACATAGACGCACACATTCATTTCTCGCCCTTCTCCAACGTTGCTAGCCTCTTGGAAACATCCAAACGATCTGAATTTTCACCGCTGACAGACTGACGATCGGCTTCAGCGGATAAAGGTGATAAGAGTCGGGTATCCTTCGAAATCACTGTTAACATCAGGCCACAGCACAGAAGACTTCACCGACGTTTCTTCGAGCACTTCCACATCGAATCTTGCCTCACCTGCTTACCTCGCTGGTGAGGACACGGCTATGGCTTCCGGATCGAAACAGCCTGCAGCAGCAACCACATCGATTTCGACAACCGTATTGGAGGGTCATACTGAGTCTATTCCATCCATCTCTTACTTTCCAGACGGCAAACACATAGTCAGCGGGTCATATGACAAGACCGTCCGGCGATGGGACCTGCAAACGGGTAAGGAGATTGAGGAGGCGCGGGATGTATGGGAGCAGGAAGTAGATGCGGTAGCGGTATCAAGGAATGGTCGATGGATTGTCACCGCCGGTGGAGATTCTGATGATTGTGGAGAGGCAAAAGCCCATGATGTTGAGATGGGGATCGTAATAACATTTCAAGGCCACTCAGACCGGATCAACTACATCGATATCTCCACGGACAACAAACTACTGGCGAGTGGGGCAGAAGATCGTACAACGCGGATATGGAGCTTAGTCACTGGAAAACACGTGGCTGGTCCATTCAAGAGCACTGACAAGGTGGGCGCAATTCGATTCTCGTTAGACTCGAAGAAGCTCGCAGTCAAGTCAGGCGCGGTGAAGTGCCTTGAGGTGTGGGATGTCCAGGCGCAGAAATTGGATGTCAAATTGGGAAAATATGATCGCAGACGCGGCCCAGTCTCGGATGCACCGGTGTTCTGGACGACGAAAGACAAATCCATTGTTGCCGCCTTTAGCTTCAAGGATGAGAATGCCAATAGGATCTATGAGTTCGACGTGTTGACGTTGCAGACTGTTGGAGCATCTTTCGAAGGCCACACCGACACTATCTCTGGTCTAGCGCTCACATTTGACTGCGTTCTATCAGCTTCCGCGGACCAGACCATCAAGCTATGGGCCTTTCAATCCCGCCAGCTCCTCGCCTCTTTTTCCATTCAGAAACCCCGTTGTCTTATTCTTTCACCCGACTCAAGACAAGTGGCTTACACGACCTATGATGACACCAAGATCTATATTTGTGACACTCCACCAGACATCCTTGCTACCCTGCGGCCTAGAGTACGCGGCCTATATACCCACTGGCATTGTTCATGCACTTACACTCTCTTGCAGATCAGTGACCCTGACGATCTCCCCCCTGAAGCGATGCTCCAAGATCTCACAAAATATATCACCAGGGATGAAGACTATCCTGTTGCTTGTGGCGGGTTCAGCGAGATCTGGAAATCTACCTATCACAATGATCAGAGATCAATTAAAGTTCGTTTGCCATGTTGTGACTGCCCATCTGTCTAAAATTGATAATTGTGCAGGACGCAATGAAGACGTTGCGGGTGTCCACTGCTGATGACCTTGGTGCAGCAAAGACGAAGATGATTAAGGTCAGTGTCTTGACGAAAGGTTGCATCTGATATTACTTACGCCAGAGGTCGCCGCTTGGTAGAGTATACAGCGTGAACTTAGAATATGGGCCAAACTTAAGCACAAAAATATTCTCTCTGTTTATGGTTACACTTATGGCTTCGGCCCATTTGGAGCGAGAGTCAATCCTCGGGCGGAGAATGGAAACCTGACGGGCTATCTCAGGCTGGGTGCGGGTCTTGCTCTCGTTAGTCAATTACAGATTGTAAGTCCTCATTTGTATTGCATAAAGCCTACGGACTAATGACAATCTCAGATCAGGGATTTCGCAGCTGGTTTCCAATATCGTACGTGCCAGACAGTTTAATCCTGGGCCAGGAGTCCTAACTATTCCCCGTAGTTCACGCCAACAACCTGAGGGTCATCCATGGTGATTTCAATGGGGTAAGTTCACTTTCTCGATGGTTTCAATCCGATTGAGATGTGGTCTCCAGCCTAATATGCTCATCCATGGTGATGGTACCGCATGTGTTGCCGACTTCGGTCTCTCCTTGATGTCTTCGGAGGTTATAAACGACTCTCAGACTTCTTGGACTTCTACGCCCACAGGCAGCGTACGATGGATGGCTCCCGAGCTGCTTTTACCAGAGCGGGAGGATGGATCTCCGGCACGGCCGAGCGAGCAGAGCGACATATTTTCGTTTGGCGGTATTATGGTACAGGTGGGTTTGATGTAGTTCCATCGACAGAAATAGTTGACAGAGAGATCAAGAACGAATTTCACTCGCTGTCTGGATCCCCTCAGGATCCAGACCTCGCCGTGCTCCAGGACCTCACGAAATACATCACCGAGGACGAAGAATATGCTGGTGCTGTTGACGGGTTCGGTGAGATTCATGACCTCACAACATACATCAAGAAGGATGCAGAATACCCCGCTACGGTTGGCGGGTTCGGCGAGATATGGAAATGTACATATGAGAAGGATAGAACATCAATCAAAGTTAGTTTGCGATATTTTCTGTCCATCTGTCTGAAGTAAACAATTCGTAGGTTGCAGTGAAATCGTTAAGGGTATGTGCTGATGATCTATTTGGTGTAAAAAAGGAGAAAAAGATCAAGGTGAGTGGCTTGACGAAGGACTGCATCTATTATAACTGATGCTAGATATTTGGCAGAGGATACAGCGTGAACTCACAATATGTGCCAATATGAAGCATAAAAATATTCTGCCCGTCTATGGTTATACAACTGGCTTTGGCCCATTTATGGCGATAGTCAGTCTTTGGGCGGAGAATGGAAACTTGACAACCTATTTGAAGTGTCAGGGTAAAGCTCTTGCTGTTGTTGAACGATTCCGGATTGTGAGTCCTTCCGTTTATTCCTTGTAGATAGCCGACTGATGGAAATCTCAGCTCAATGATATCATAGCTGGTCTGCAATATCGTAAGTACTAGTTAGTGCCAATGGGTATGGAGTCAAATACTATTTCAGTTCACGACAACCATGTCATCCATGGTGACTTCAATGGGGTAGGTTTAACCCTTCTCGATGCTTTCAATTTCATTGACATGTGAGTTCTAGAATAATGTCCTCATCTATGGTGATGGCACCGCTTGCATTGCCGACTTCGGTCTTTCTTTACAGTATTCCGAGGTTATCAGTGCTTCTAAGGCTCCCTGGACTTCGGCCCCGATCCAAGGAAACTTGCCATGGATGTCTCCTGAGCTATTTGAAGAGCAGAGGGATGGTTCTGAAGTGCGGCCAAGCCAGCAGAGTGACATCTATTCGTTCGGCGGTATCATGTTGCAGGTGGGTCTTGGGTAATTCCACCTCTCAATAATATCATTGGTTCCGCTCTAGGTCCTCACCAACGAAATTCCCTATTATTACACCACACGCCAACTCACCATCATCGGATGGATAGCACAATCAAAAAAACCTGACCGAACCCGTTACCCTGACGTCCTTGACAAATATTGGCAATTTATTGAGCGGTGTTGGTCTACCGTTCCTCAAGATCGTCCGTCGACAAAGCAAGTTGAGATAGAGATCAGGAACGAATTTTCCTCGCTGTTAGATCTCGCTGATTCTTGAACTGTTTTACATCGCAATCTGTTTACAGGGCAACTAAATATACAGCATGCGGTACATCATACTACTGAACGATAAACGTAGCCTCCGGGCTTCTTATGTTCATCAGGAATTCGACCCGAAACTGATATGGCCAAATACCGTACGTGACAAATAAAACTTTGATTTGAATAATTCGCGTCATTTGATATTGTTGCTCTGCGTTCTCCTATTTCCTTGCGCGCACTGGCTATGGCGCTCTGCTAGATCTTTTCATGGAGCCGTTGGCGTTCAAAACGGCGGCAGATTTTACATTGACGAAAAGAATTTCTGGCGATACGACAGATTTGAAGTCATCGCCACTCCAGACAGTGGTGATCTCCGTGTCAATGTATTTATGTTTGGTGCGAATACAGCTTCCGCCGAAGATGGTATCTATCTGTTGGACGTGCGCGAGCGACTATTCTCGACCTAACCCCTTCGCTCACGGTCAATTAACTACAGCATTATCGAGAGTAAGGACACGGAGAGACACACTGTGCTTATTTACGGAGACGAACGAAGAACGAGATTCTGCAAACATTATAGTTTCCGAGTTATATATTATAAACGCAATGCTGCAACTGCCGACCGAAGGGAGTCCTTGTATTATTATACATCTAGCCTTAGATTTAGATATTTTTCTCATCGCGTCACATATATACGAAAGAAGGCGCTCGTTGGTCTGTTGAGGCCGCTCCAACATCAAAACCAAATGGCCATGCTTGTGAGCTGAAAAGCAAGCGGACTTGATTATACATACCGTAAACGCTGTGCAGAGCTACCACACGGAAGAGGCATGTTACAGCAACCATTTCAACCCGAAGATCGAAGACCTTCTGCCAGCAGAATACCTGGATCAACAACATGCAGCTCGATTGAAACACAGGTACAGAAATACGTATGCACGAGTCTGACAACGTACGATTGTACGTCGTCCACGTACATCTTTGCTTTTTGTGCTCGAAGACTAATTTTCCGCGTGGTCGCTGGCAGATTACACGGCTTCATGTAGCTTGGCGGTGTGTCACCGACAGATTGCCCTTTGCCTAAGAAGCGATGCCCCAGCAGTCGTCAACCAGAATAATGGTTGTCAACCGGAGAACACTATCGAAAAGAATGGCATACAGCAACAGTGTTGCATCACATACTGTGCGAGGGCTTCATGGGGCTAGAGCTGTACGAGGCTCAGATGCGCTCATCACGGAACGAAATGTCCCACCAGCACAAGCCCATGTATCTGTCGAAACCGAGGTAAATGCCACACATCCAGCGCTTTGAAAGTACTGAATATCATAATTTGCTCTACGAGTACTGCACGACAAATTGGTGTAGGAGGGACACTGTGGAATGCTTCATAAACGATTCAGAGACTTCGTGATCATACACGATCAAAGACGCAGACGGGCGTTCGTGGTAATAGACTTACTACGTGTATCTTCAACTCCCATGCCCTGGCAATCCCATATCGTTGGATGGCTCGATGAGCGTCCTTGTAATTCAAAGTGCTATCTCGTTGTCCTCTCCAAAATGGATAGATGAGGATAGGACCGTGACGTGGCTCCTTGTGGACAGCCTAAATATACTATCGGTAGGTGAGCAAAGTCATGGTGATATCTGCACTCAACTTGTGGAAGGAGCTCTCAACATGCAACGTGCATGCCAGTGTTGGGCCGTGGCCGATCGATGATCGCTGAACTGGCGCTCGTTGGTCTGTTAAGGCCGCTCCAGCATCAATACCAAAATGGTCATGCTTGTGAGCCGAAAAGCAAGTGGATTTGATTCTGTAAACGCTGTGCGGGCGTGTTATAGCAAGGTACAAGAGGGTGGTCGTACATAGACGCACACATTCGTTTCTCGCCCTTCTCCAACGTTGCTAGCCTCTTGGAAACATCCAAACGATCTGAACTTTCACCGCTGACAGACTGACGATCGACGTCAGCAGATAAAGGTGATAAGAGTCGGGTATCCTTCGAAATCACTGTTAACATCAGGCCACAGTACAGAAGACCTCACCGACGGTTCTTCGAGCACTTCCAAATCAAATCTTGCCGTACCTGCTAACCTCGCTGGTGAGGACACAACTATGGCTTCCGGATCGAGACAGCCCGCAGCAGCAGCAGCAGCAACCACATCGATTTTGACAACCGTATTGACCTTGGAGGGTCATACTGAGTCTATTCCATCCATCTCCTTCTTTCCAGACGGCAAACACATACTCAGCGGATCATATGACAAGACCGCTCGGCGATGGGACCTGCAGGCAGGCAAGGAGGTTGAGGAGGCACGGGATGTTTGGGAGCAGGAAGTGGATGCGGTAGCGGTATCAAAGAATGGCCGATGGATTATCACCGCTGGTGGAGATTCCAATAATTGCGGGGAGGTCAAAGCCCGTGATGTTGAGATGGGGATCGTAAGAACATTTCAAGGCCACTCGGACCGGATCAACTGCATCGATATCTCCGCGGACAACAGACTGCTGGCGAGTGGGGCAGAAGATCGTACAGCGTGTATATGGAGCTTGGACACCGGACAACTTGTGGCTGGTCCGTTCAAGAGTGCTGACAAAGTGGGCGCAATTCGATTCTCGTTAGACTCGAAGAAGCTCGCAGTCAAGTCAGGCGTGGCGAAGTGCCTTGAAGTGTGGGATGTCGATGCGCAGAAATTGGATTTCAGATTAGGGAAATATGATCGCAGATGCCCCGCCTCAGTTGCACCAGTGTTCTGGACGACGAAAGACAAATCCATTGTTGCCGCCTTTAGCTTCACGGACGAGAATGCCAGTAGGATCTATGAGTTTGATGCGTTGACATTGCAGACTATCGGAGCGTCTTTCGAAGGCCACACCGACACCATCTCTTGTCTAGCACTCTCATCTGACTGTGCTCTATCAGCTTCCGCGGACCAGACTATCAAGCTATGGGCCTTTCAATCCCGCCAGCTCCTCGCCTCGTTTTCCGTCCAGAAACCCTGTTGTCTTATTCTCTCACCCGACTCAAGCCAAGTGGCTTACACGACCTATGATGACACCAAGATCCATATTTGCAACACTCCACTAGACATCCTTGCTACCCTACGGCCTGCACAACCGACTAGAGTACGCAGCCTATATATGCATTGTTCCTGCGCTTACATTCTCTTGCAGATCAGTGCACCCCATTTACCTTACCAGCCCCGCGAACACCTTTCCTCCTCTTCCCGTACGAGCACAGTTCTCCCTGTTCATAACAATGCCCTTGACGATCTCCCCCCTGAAGTGATGCTCCAAGATCTCTCAAAATATATCACCAAGGACGGAGACTATCCTGTTGCTCGTGGCGGGTTAGGAGAGATCTGGAAATGCACCTATTTCATGGATCGGCTATCGATCAAAGTTCGTTGGCAGTATACTGTTTCTTCATCAGTCCAAAATTGATGATTGTGCAGGTCGCAGTGAAAGCATTGCAGGTGTACGCTGCTGATCAACTTGGTCCAGCGAAGTCGAAGAAAATCAAGGTAAGTGTTTTGACGAAAGATTACGTCTAATATCACTTACGCCAGATGTCGCTACTTCTTAGAGGATAATGCATGAACTCAGAATATGCGCCAACCTCAAGCACAAAAATATTCTCCCCGTTTATGGTTATACCAATGGGTTCGGCCCATTTATAGCGCTGGTCAGTCCTTGGGCGGAGAATGGAAATCTGTCCGCCTATTTGGAGCGTGTGGGTGTGGATCTTACTCTCGTTAGACGATTCCAGATTGTAAGTCCTCATTTGTATTTCATATTTCATACAGTCTACGGACTAATGACAATCTCAGCTCAGGGATATCATAGCTGGTCTCCAATATCGTACGTGCCAGTTAGTTTAATCTGGATCAGGAGTCATAACTATTCTCCGTAGTTCACGCCAACAGGGTTATCCATGGTGACTTCAGTGGGGTAAGTTCACCTTCGAAGTGGCACCCCCATCGAAGACCCCGGACACCCTTCGAGAACATCGTGCTCAACAGCACCACCGCTGCCCTAAGGCAACCCTGGCCATTTCTCTCTCTCCAGAAAAACAAATAAAACAATCAAAAAACACATTCTAGATACAACTTCTTCCTATTTGAATACACTGACATGCCCCAGGCAAAACAAGGTGTCGGACCGAAAAACGACCCACCCAATCCCCGTCCTCCGACTCCGAGTGTCGGCCCAAACACCCGCAACACTACTCGAGTCCCTACCAACACGGAAGACATTGAAGTCATGTCAAACTCAGTCATGAATACACAATCCACGGAAGCTTACCTGACGTACAAGTTGCTGAGCCACGGAAACCAGCCTTTCACCATACCTCATCTCATGTCCATCCTCTTTCACATCACCCAGATGTCCGCCAACATCCCATTACCGGTCATCTCTGCCATTCGTGCTGTAGCCTTCATCATGAAAAAACACGCCACGTGTGAAATAGCAGAAGCCGCTACCGAACAACTCGCAACCGAACTAGTCCCGCAACTGACAGATCAGATACGAGAGATCATGAAAGATACCACGAATCACCTTGCTACCTCACTCCAACAACTTGGAGAGTCCCTTGCCCCCACTGTAGAATCCGCCGAGCGCATGCATAAACTCCTCAAGGCTGAAAGAGAGGAAAAAGAGGCAGACATGAGAATAGCAGCGGACAGAATAGAGGAAGCGATCAATGACCTGCAATCTTCGGTCGAAGAATACCAGACGACACTGAAAACGCTCACCCCATCGCTCACCTCTACCCAAGATCGCATTAACCACCTGTCGACCCAATTGATGACGACCCCACAGCAACCCACCCCCTCGCCCTCATCCCAACCCACCTACAGCTCAATAGTAGCATCGCATCTCCCACCATCAGTGGACAAGGCAGTAGGACGGGCAGCTATCCGAGCACGAGAGATACTACTAGAAGCCCAGGCCAACAACACCCTATTCCCACCCAACACCCCCAACCTAGACATTGCAAAGAAACTGAAAGCAGCCCTCGCTGTCATCCGCACTGACACCACACCCCCGGGAGATATCAGATCGGTAGCAACCTTACGAAACGGAGGAATAGTAGTTGAACTGGAAACCGAACGACTAGCCTCCTGGTTAGGAAGCGCAGAGGGTAGAGCACTTCTAGAAGGGCAATTCGACTCCACTGTATCGTTCCGCAGCCGCACCTATCCAGTTGTTCTAGAATACTTACCCATCCATATGCAGATCGAACAGGAAGACTTTTTACGCAAAATCGAACTCGAGAACTACCTTCCCCCCAATTCCCTATCCTCCATCAGGTGGATCAAACCCCCTCTCCGCCGCACCCAAGAATAGCGCAAGGCCTTCGCCCTACTCCAGGTCTCAACAGCCACTTCCGCCAACGACATTCTCCGCGACGGACTATGCATAGACAGCGAACGTTTCGCAGTTCGCAAGGACAGGAAAGAACCAACCCGCTGTGCCAAATGCCAACGGTACGGACATATCGCACGCAACTGTACGGCACCGGTCGACACATGCGGCACCTGCAGCGGAGAACATCGCACTGCCTTATGCACTGCCTACCGCACCACCCGTTGTGTGAACTGCAAGAGCACCGACCATACAAGTTGGGCTAGGAAGTGTCCAGAGCTAATCCGAAGATGCGAACTCCTGAACGACAGATACCCGGAAAATAGGATGCCATACTTCCCCACGGAATCGGCATGGACTCACGCTATCCAACCCCCGCTACCCCCCAAGCCATCAACACCCGTCCACCCTCCCCCTACCTCTCCATCATCAACACGCCGCCCAAGACTTGTAAACGCCAACCTTCGTCAGACCACCATATCGTATCCGACCCAACCCAAGTCCTCTCAAGTCAGAACAGCGGCCACCTCACACCCTGCACATCACCCCAGCCCCAACACCAACCCACGCCCCCGCCCCCGCCCCCGCCCCCATTCACCTTCCCCATCCCTTGATTTCCACTGACAATCGGTGGACCTACTCAAGAACCTACTCCCTTTCACAGGCTCAGGACTTGATGACCCTGATCCATCCATCCCTAACGCCTTCGACAGCCCTACCTCCACCTCCTTTGTCACCGCCCATGACTGAATGCACCATCAATAACCCCGACTCTGTAAGACTCCGCATCTGGCAACAAAATCTCAACGCATCCCTCACTGCGCAAGCCTCGTTACTCAACAACCGAGACATCGCCAACTGGGACCTCATCATCATACAAGAACCCCACATCAACTTCCTGCGCAACACTAGTGCAAACCATCACTGGCACGTTCTTTATCCTACGCTACACTACACCCAACCTCAAAGCAAAACTCGAGCCGTCACATTAATAAGTGCAACCCTGGACACCAACTCATGGAAGCAGATTTCATTCCCGTCCTCGGATGTGGTAGTCATCCAACTGTCAGGCCCGTTTGGCAACTGCACTATATTCAATATTTATAATGACTGCAACTCCTCCTCTACACTAACCGCCCTCGCCTCATTCCTAGATACCAACATGAACATCATCAAACCCGCTGACTCGGATCACATGCTCTGGGCCGGTGATTTCAACCGGCATCATCCATTGTGGGAAGATATTCGTAATCGACACTTATTCAACTACACCGCTACCCAACCACTAATAGACTTGATTGCTGACCATAGTATGCTACAGCTGCTCCCACGCGACATCCCGACTCTTCAAGCTAACAACACTGGTAATTGGACAAGACCTGACAACGTCTTCGGTACAGAACTTCTATGCGACACCGTCATCTCCTGCAACACAGACCCCACCCAACGTGGTCCCAGAACCGACCACGTCCCAATACTAACCATCCTAGACCTCGAAACCCCACGCGCTGACCTTACCCCCCGCAGGAACTGGCAGAAGGTAAATTGGGAAGACTTCAACACTCGACTTACCGATCTAATCGGTGTATGCCCGCCCCAACCTTTGGCATCTGGAGACGAGTTCCAAGCCGCGGCACTCCACCTCACCCAATCCATCACGAGGGCCATCGACGACTGTGTTCCCCACTCCAGGCCCTCCCCTCACTCCAAGCGCTGGTAGAATCAGCGTTTGACGGGCCTGAGAAACAAGGTAACGGGACTTAGCAGATTATCATACCAGATGAGAGGTCTGCCCCTCCACTCGTGCCACGCGGACCTCAAAACGGCCAAGACCCTCTACGCCAATGAAATTGAAGCCACCAAGAAGCAGCATTGGATCGACTGGCTCGAAGATCTCGAGGGAAACGACCTTTGGACTGCCAACCACTACGTCACGTCCACCCCAAGCGACGGGGGCAAAGCCAGAGTCCCCACTCTAGCGATCCCCTCCCCTGACGGCACCATCGTTGAAGTGGTCACCAACGTCGACAAAAGTCTCATATTAGCTAAGTCCTTCTTTCCTCCCCCCCCGTGGCTGATACTGTTCCACCAGATGCCGAATACCCCGATCCCGTGGAACAACCCCCTCCCATCACACCATCCCAGATCGCACGCGCTATCACCCGCCTCAACGGTTACAAGGCTCCAGGACCAGATGGCATATGCAACATCGTCTTCAAGGAGTGCGCTAACGTTCTGATACCCTACCTAACCCCTCTATTCAATGCTGTATTCTCTCACCGCGTGTACTATCAGCCCTGGCGATACTTCTCCACTGTCGTCCTCCGGAAACCGGGCAAGCCCAACTATTCCATCCCCAAGGCCTTTCGCCCCATCGCTCTCCTCAACACCACCGGCAAACTCCTGACCGCTGTTGTCGCCGAACAACTTACGTTCATCCTGGAACACCACCGTCTGCTCCCCAACACGCACTTTGGCGGCCGCCCGGGTAGGTCCACGACAGACTCCATCCACCTACTGGAAGAAACGGTCAAGAACGCTTGGCGCTCCCACAAGGTAGTATCAGCGCTATTCCTCGATATCGAGGGCGCATTCCCCAACGCAGTCACGACACCCCTCATTCACAACATGCGAATGCGGCGTATCCCTCGCAGCCTCGTCCATTTCACTGATCTAGTTCTCTCCAACAGACACACCCAGCTCAAGTTTGATGGGTTCACGTCAGACTGGTTCCCTGTCACCAATGGAATTGGACAGGGAGACCCGCTCTCTATGATATTGTACATCATCTACAGTGCAGGACTCGTTGACGTCGCGAAGCCCCGCCGGGGCAGAGAATCACTAACCGAACTTACCCTTGCCTTTGTAGATGATACAGCCTTTATAGCGGTGGCGAAGGACTTCACCGCGACGCATAGAATACTGGCCGACATGCTCGAGAGACCCGGGGGCGGATACGCTTGGTCTACGGACCACAACTCCCGCTTCGAGACCAATAAGTTCGCCCTAATGGACTTCTCCATGAACCGCAATAAGGATCGCCCACCCATGCACATCCAGGGCTCCACCATACACCCCTCCCCCACCCACCGGTTTCTTGGAGTGATCCTGGACCAAGAACTTCGATGGAAGCCCCAGGTAGATAACGCTATCGCTCGCGGGACTGCCTACGTCCTTCAGATACGCCGTCTCTCCTCCACTACCAAGGGTATACCCCTGCGCCTAATGCGTCAATTGTATCAGTCCGTCGCGGTCCCCAAGATGCTTTACGCCGCTGATCTCTGGTTTTCGCCGGTATACCGCGAAGGATCGGGAGCATTGCAAAGAGGATCCATTGGGATCGCGAAGAGATTGTCGACCGTTCAACGAATGGCGGCTCTCGCTATCACCGGTGCCATGCGTTCCACGGCCACCGACGTCATAGAAGTACACGCCAACTTGATGCCCGTCACACTCCTCCTTCAGAATGCTTGCTACCGCGCTGCTATACGCCTCACGACCCACCCCAAATCCCACCCCCTATACGAGCCCCTACGTCGTGCGGCACGCCACTATGTCTCCTCGCATCGCTCCTCGCTACACAGACTAACGCATCGTTACGCTATCGTCCCCGACGATATAGAAACCCTTATCCCCTCACGACGGTCACCTTCCTCCTCCAATCCCTGGACTGCTCATATAGCCAAGTCCAAAGAAGACGCCATCCAGGAGCACGAACACCTGACGGAATCAATCCAGGTGTACAGTGATGGTTCACGCTGCAACGGAAAAGTGGGCGCAGCCGCTACGCTATTTCGCTCTGGGAAAACCCCCAGGACACTCAGATTCCACCTAGGATCTGATGAGGAACATACCGTGTTTGAAGCAGAAGAAGTCGGACTAACCTTGGCAGCGAGGCTAATAGCCACAGAACAGAATCTCTCCTTCCCCATCTCAGTCTCAGTCGACAACCAAGCATCCATTCAAGCAGGTGAGAGTTTCTATTCGCGCCCAGGCTCTTATCTGGCAGATCAATTCCGCAGGATGATTCAATGCGTGGCCAAACGACACGAGAACTTCGCAATGACCCTTAGATGGGTCCCTGGTCATGCTGGTGTTCATGGGAACGAGGAGGTGGACAAGCACGCGAAAGCGGCGGCAGAGAGTATACGAAAGAACAGTCCCCCTGACAAGCTTCCACGATACCTACGTCGTGGAGCCCTGCCCCTCAGTGTATCGGCTCTGAAAGAGGTTCAACAAAAGGAGACGCGCTCTCGTTGGGAGCGCCTATGGAGGAAATCACCCCGCTACAATCGCATGCATCAATTGGATCCTAAGCTCATACACCGCTCTTTCGTCAAACTCACCTCATCCTTCCCCAAGAAGCTTACTGGCCTATACATGGCGCTTCACACTGGCCATGCCCCTCTCAACCGACATCTACACCGTCTTGGGAAGACTGAAAGCCCGCACTGTGCTCATTGTCCAGGAATCGAGGAGTCCGTTCACCATCTTCTCACCATCTGCCCACACTATCAACGCGCACGACACGTTCTGATCCAGGCCCTTGGCCGCAAGGCTACTTCCATCCCTTTCCTACTAACGAACGAAGACGCTACCCCGCATCTAGTGCCGTACATCAATGCTACCGGCAGATTCAAGACCACCTTTGGTGAAGTCCCATTTCCTCATTAGTATCATATGCAGACAGTCACCCGCTCCCCCAGTAGTAACCCACATGTATCAAAAACACGCATCGCGTATATCGCACACCAAGACCATATCCCTCTCACTCCCCGCACTTCCCGCATCTCCCACTCGCTCACATGGAACCAACGCATCAATCCCTGAATCGCTCCAGCAAATATCTAAAGACCCTCGCCAATACAGGATCTATCCCATATATTCACTGCATTCAGAACGGTTCCTGTACCAGCCTATTAAGGCCGAGTACGCATTAGACTACCATCTCGACAGTTACATATATCACAAGTCTACTTATCCAGTCATCTCACCTCAACCGAATCGCGCGTCTAAAACGGCCGGCAGGAACGGCGGACTGGTGGGGTACATCCCACACCAGGGCATTCGCGGATTCTGGGATGCACATTAGGGCACTGGGGGCCCTTAGAATTAGCAAGTACTGTCCTACATAGAGTACTCTCTGAATGGACATAAATTGGATATAAAAAAAAAAAAAAAAAAAAAGTTCACCTTCTTGATGGTTTCAATCTGATTGAGATGTGATCTCCAGCCTAATGTGCTCATCCATGGGGATGGTACTGCGTGTGTTGCCGACTTTGGTCTCTCCTTAATGTATTCGGAGGTTATAAGCGCCTCACAGGCTTTCTGGACATCCACGCTCAAGGGAAACATGCGATGGATCGCTCCTGAGCTGCTCGAAGATCGGGAGGATGGATCGCAAGTGCGGCCTAGCGAGCAGAGCGACATGTATTCATTCGGCGGTATCATGTTGCAGGTACGTCTGGGTAATTTTGACGTCTCGATGGTATCATGAATTCCACTTGTAGGTCCTCACCAACAAGACTCCCTATTATTACCTCTCGAATGATGCGGCCATCATCTTATGCATAGCCAGGTCGGAAAAGCCTTCTCGATCTCGCTATCCTGTGCTCCCTGAAAAATACTGGGAGTTTATCGAGAAATGTTGGTCTACTGATCCCCGGGACCGTCCATCGACGGAGGCAGCTGACGGCATGATCAGGAATGAATTTCACTCGCTGTCTAGAGCCCCTGAAAACCCAGACCTCGCCGGGCTCTGTGACCTCACGAGATACATCACCAAGGACGAAGAATGCACTGCTGCTACTGGCGGGTTCGGTGAAATATGGAAATGCACATATAAGAAGGATGGAACATTAATCAAAGTTAGTTTGCGATATTTTCTGTCCATCTGTCTGAAGCAAAAAAAAAATCGCAGGTTGCAGTGAAATCGTTGAAGATATGTGCTGATGATCAATTTGGTGCAAAAAGGGAGAAAAAGATCAAGGCGAGTGGCTCGACGAAGGACTGCATCTATAACTGATGCTAGAGATCTGGCAGAGGATACGGCGCGAACTCACAATATGTGCCAACATGAAGCATAAAAACATTCTTCCCGTCTGTGGTTATACGTCTGGCTTCAGCCCATTTATGGCGATAGTCAGTCCTTGGGTGGAGAATGGAGACTTGACAACGTATTTGAAGTGTCAGGGTAAAACTCTTGCTGTCGTTCGACGATTCCAAATCGTAAGTCCTTCCATTTATTTTAGACGACCGACTGATAGCAATCTCAGCTCAACGATATCATAGCTGGTCTGCAATATCGTACGTGCTAGTTAGTGTCAATGCTGGATATGGAGTCAACTACTATTTCAGTTCATGACAATTATGTCATCCATGGCGACTTCAGTGGGGTAAGTTTAACCCTTCTCGATGCTTTCAATTTCATTGAGATGTGAGTTCTAGAATAATGTCCTCATTGATGGTGATGGCACCGCTTGCATTACCGACTTCGGTCTTTCCTCAATGTATTCCGAGGATATCAGTGCCTCTAGGGCATCCTGGACTTCGACTGCGATCCGAGGAACCGTGCGATGGTTGGCTCCTGAGCTAATTGAAGATAAGATGGATGGATCTGAAGTGCGGCCAAGCCAGGAGAGTGATATCTATTCGTTCGGCGGTATCATGTTACAGGTATGTCCGGGTAATTTCAACCTCTCAATGATATCATTAGCTCTTTAGGTCCTCACCAACGAAGCTCCCTATTATTACACCAAACACCAATACACCATCATCCTATGGATAGCGCAATCAAAAAAACCTGACCGAACCCGTTACCCTGACGTCCCTGACACATATTGGCGAATTATTGAGCGTTGTTGGTCTACTGTTCCTCAAGATCGTCCGTCGACAAAACAAATTGAGATAGAGATCAGGAACGAATTTTCCTCGCTGTTAAATCTTGCTGATTCTTGAGCTGTTTTACATCACAATCTGTTTACAGGACAGCTAAATATACAGCATGCGGTACATCATACTACTGTACGATAAACGTAGGCTCACCTCCGGGCTTCTCTTGTTTTGTCACTCTATAAGTACAACTTGGATGTAAATAGTCTCGCATGCACTCGAGTTCCAATACCTAGAATTAGACAAATGCACATCGCGCCGCTTCTTTCTCGTTGTTCTGTTCGTCCTGGAGAGGGGTGTCGATCAGTATGACCTACTGCGAGGCCAATATTTTTTCTTGCTTCCTGCATGCTGCTGGGGTTCAAGTTGAATTTTTCATCTAGCTACTTCTACTAGCTATAGTGATTCTTTGTGATCCTCGCAGGCCAATCGCAGGCACAGCTTCGACGGGGCATATATATTATCACAGTCAAACTTCTCAACAATATTACATAATATTTATTACTTATGCGTGCAGATCCTCACCAACATTATCACCTCTCGAGTGATGCCGCCATCATCTTATGCATAGCCAAGTCGCAAAAGCCTCGTCGATCTCGTTATCCTGTGCGCCACGACAAGTACTGGCATGTTATTGAGCAATGTTGGTCTACTGATCTTCAGAACCGTCCACCAACGGAGAAAGTTGACGGGGAGATTAAGAATGAAATTTACTATCGCTGTGTATATTTCGCTGATTCGAACTAGATATGTTGTACATGCCGCAATATTAATCAGGGAGAGAACAACCAAGTGAGACACTGAGAGAAATGAAAGTGACAGTCTCGATCATCGGGTCTGACCTGCAAAATCAATAGCCAGTCGCAGAGATCGTATTAGTACAATTCGATCGTGCTCACATCTTGGGGTATGTATCATACAGTAGAAGTATTAGCTAGCAGGTCATAGAAATACAAATATAAAGGGTATCAACCATACTCTCAAAACCAAACAGTATGAACCACAAGAGAAGTCTAAATAAGACTGACTCTCGTGCGCACAAGACCACCACGCCAATTCCGCATCCCCGCACTGCGGTGGTGCGACCAGTCACCCTGCATCCGCGCAAATGCATCCTGGATGTGCTCAGGCCGCAGAGCTGTCCTCGCTTCTGGTGGGGGTAAAAATAGCGAACTCGTAGGCAGCGGTGCCTCTTCTTCCTCTTCCTCCTCTCTCCTCGCGCGTTTCTCCCGTTGTTCCCCTCGCCTGTGTGAATTGTGCGACTTTCGCTTGCCGAGGATGGGCGAGGTACCCAGGTAGTCGTCTCGTAAATATGATTCTTCAAGTGATTTTTTGACGTCGAGGCCTGCGAGTGTGAGGGAGCGCACCATTTCGAAGGCAAGGAAGCCAACGATATCGACGGTGTCGTCGTTAGCTTTGAGGTCCAGGTGCGGGGGAAGGTTGAGAAAGTCGCGGAAGCGCTTGGCTAGTCGTTCGTCACGTCAATAAGATTTGAGTTGCCTAGCTCATGAAACGGCTTTACCTTTTCGATATGTAAATGATGCTTGTCTACAATCTGAATAATGTTGGTACTCTTCTCTCGTCATTTGACGTGTGGCATCGTCAGCTTCCTTGAGGCGTTGTATACTCGCTTCATGTGCCTCAATATCGTCCTCGTCCTCTTCGTCATCAGATTGGTGTCCAGATTGACGGAGCACCTCGCTGTAGATCGTTGAAATCTCCCAAGGAAGCTTGATAGTAATCTTTTGCGCCTTAGTCGTTAGTTTGTCTGCGCAGAAATTAGCAGACTAATAGACACATGTTGGTGAGATACGGACCATCAGCGCCATCCTCGAGGGTCTCAACCTCAACGCCACCCCCTCCATCACCGCCCGAGTCTTTGGCATGTTTACGAACGTCCTTCCATGAAAGATATGTCCGGAGACGGTTGACCTTGCCGCGGTCATGACGGATGAGGAAGATGAGGTCTTCTGCTGTGATGTAGCGCACACCACGCCGGTTCGCGTGGAGGCGGGCTTGCAGGATCTAGAGTAACACAATACATCACAGGAATCTCATCGTTCAAGTAGAAGACGACTCACAAGTTCAATAAGCTGGCTACGTACAATGTCCTCGACGAGGTTGACTGTCTCTGGATTTGGGTCTTGGATCTCCCCGAAGACGAACATCTGCGAGTATTCCGTCGTTCATGAGTGTGACATGTACATGAGTAATGGCGTACCATCTGAGATATCTCCTGTGTGTACTTGTAGTCACGACCCGTCCCATCTGAAGGTTTCTTGGTGACCGCAACCGGCGCCGGAGCAGGCGCTGCAGCTGGTGCTGCTGTTTGTGCTGGCGCCATGGTCAGCAGTGAACAGCTAAATGAAGTATCCGGTAAGCGATGAATTGATTAGTTTCCTAATGATTATGTAATAAGCCTTTCCCGTAGTTGGAAACATGGTCTCGTGGGGGTCTTGCTAATCGGTGTTGCAATCACTACGCCATCTCATCCATGTGGACCACCTGAAATACCATGTCTGCTGCTCGTCCATCCACAATTCCGTGTTTTGTTCTCCGTTCATACATTCGTGTAGCATCTTAGTTTTTTAATTGTCGCAAACGCCATGGCCGGCCAATTCAGTACTCCGCTTGAGCCGCCACTGAGCGAAGAAACGCTCGCGGCTATTAACGCCCAACTCTCTCAGCTTTCTCCACAAGACATCCTCGCATGGGCACTCACAAACCTCCCTGCACTCTACCAGACCACAGCTTTCGGGCTCACCGGGCTCGTCGCCCTCGATATGCTTTCCAAGTCCGGCCGCCCGATCCCGAAACTCATTTTTCTGGATACGCTGTACCACTTTGCGGAAACATATGAACTCGTGCAGCAGGTGCGAGAGCGGTATGCTGTTGATATAAGGGTATACAAGCCCGAGGGGTGCGAGACAATTCGAGATTTTGAAAAGAAGCACGGCGAAGAACTGTGGGAGAAGGACGAGGACACATACGATTTTGCGGTCAAGGTACGTTGCTTTTCCTTGGCTTCCTGTAAGTAGCAGAACTGAATTTTGCGTAGGTTGAGCCAGCCCAGCGTGCGTACCAGGAGCTTGGCGTGCGCAGTGTCATCACGGGCCGGCGCAGATCTCAGGGTGGCGATCGTGCTTCCCTCCAGCCGCTTGAGGTCGACGAAACAGGGCTCCTTAAGATAAACCCACTATTTGGGTGGTCGTTCGCGCAGGTCGATGAGTACATCCGCGAGAACAACGTTCCGAGGAATCAGCTGCTCGACCAGGGATATCGTAGTGTCGGTGACTGGCATAGCACGCAGCCCAGTCGTGAGGGAGATACTGGCGAGCGTGCCGGTAGATGGGCAGATAAGGGGGAGAAAACTGAATGTGGTCTCCATAAGAACTTTTTTGAGATGAAGTTGAGGGCAAAGGTACGCCGATTTGCGGGTGACATGGATGTTTTACTGATATTGTAACACTAGCTCGAGGAGCAACGCATACCAGCAGAAGAAGTGACAACTGCTTCAGAGGTAGTCACTCCTCCCGCATAATTAATTTAATGGTGTAACGATGCTTAGAAGTCTTGAATATGTATCACTATCCATTTCCCCGTATAAGCGCTGGTCTAAGGGCTTGAGAATCTTCCTTGGTTGGGCAACGTGTGTTATTTTGTGACCAGAGTAGTGTGTAGATCTATTTCTCGTTGAAGCTCGGGGCACTTGACGACTGCAGGCAGAACGCAGGGTTCGATAGTCTTGGAATTACAGTACAGTGGCTTCTATCTCTCAGCCATAATCTTAGTAGGTGCGTTCTTGACGTCCGATTTCCTGCAAGGTTGAAGGGGAATCCCACAAATGTCAATCCTGATCTTCGCTGTCATCAACCTCATGTTAGTACCCTATGCTTTGCGCCACAGTGAAGGCGCCCACTAGCAGCGCCAAGTTATGGTTTACTAGAAGCATTCTAATAACAGTAGTACGCCTAAACCTATCATGAGGTGGCTAGCCTCGCCCTATTCATATCCCATAGCACTGGTTTCCGGCGCGGCAGTCCCCGCGCTGATGGATCTTGTTGATAAACGCCGCTATTCAGGGTATAGTCCATCAGCTTCATATAGGCAGAAGGCGCCGGCTCGGAGGTCAGTGTCACTTTCTTCTCCTCCACATCCTCCCTCTAGCAGTGATGTCGCTCAAGTATGTGGGTTTCAGCAGCTACTGGCTGAATATACTCTCCCGTGTTCCTAACTTTTGTATGTTACTGTCTGACAGTCCCCCGTCCATACTTCATCCTGTGTTCAATGACATACACCCGTTTCCCCCGCTCCCCGACATCAACAAGGAGAGCATCAGGACACAGGTGTTTACGCATCGCTCGTATTACGGAAGACCGAATCATGTCTTCGAGGACCATCCCCAGGACCCGAGTCCAGACAATGAAAAGTAAGCAAGGCCCTCTTCTGTCGGCTCCCTAGGTCGTCAGGCTGTGTTGCTGTCTAAACCACCGCACGCAACTGAATGAGCTTCGATATGGGCACTCATGCGAGGAGTTAATACTGATCCCTTCCGCAGATATGAGCATCTTGGGGACACTGTGTTAGGTCTGGTGGTGACCAAGCTCCTTCTGGAGATGTACCCAAACTTACGGGTTGGGCCGTCTACGGTACGCTTCATTTCTCAATGGGTAGTAAGTATGCATGCCCAATAGGTCTTTGTCAGAAAATCCGAGCACTGGTCGTAGGCAACTCAACTCTTGCTGATGTTTCCCGTAAGTACGACCTTCCAGCAAGACTGCGCTTGCATCCCGCGCAGGCGATTACCCTGCGCGCTTCTGTCAACATTCAAGGTACGTTCTCGCTGCCCTTTATAAGTCAATTTGCCAAACGAAGTGTTCCCAGCCGACGTCTTCGAAGTACGTCACCCCTGATATTTGAACAAATGAATGTTGACACGCACCGACAGTCTTACGTGGGCGGGCTCTATCTCGAACAGGATCTGGAAGGCGTCCAGCCATGGCTCAAAGCCCTGTTTGGACCCTACGCAACTGAGGCGTACAAGCGAGTGCGCGAGCAACATCGTCTCCCACCCCTTCCGCCGACTGCGCTTGTCGCGCCCCACTCAGTTCTGTCCTCACCCCCACCCTCGCCCCCCCAGCCCCGCCCAAGTGCCACGCCCACTACCATAGGGCACCTCGCGCTGTTCAACCAACAGCTCCAGAAGGCTAACAGGATAGTCGAGTGGATCTATGCAGACGGCACTGGCGAGGGTACGAAGACGACCCCAATTTGGATTGTGAGATGCGAGGTCGACGGGGAGGATTACGGTCGCGGGCAAGGTGGGACCAAGAAAGCCGCCCGGAACGAGGCCGCCAAAGAGGGTCTGAAGAAGATGGGCATCGAAGTCTGACAGGCAAAGACGGGTGGGTGTTCTTTCGTTGGATTGTTTGGTCAAGGGCTGGATAAACTAATTTGATTGGTCTTTGCAACAGGCTTTCAGCACCGTCTCTCCAGACTTGCGCTGGCTGGAGATCTACTCTTCTATTGGTGGCATCGTCGGCCTGCGCTAGTGTGCAGAGGTTGTGTATGAGATGTTGCGTCAATCCGTCAACATAAATGTGATTTGCTGTTTCATCGTCTTGATTTCTTGATTTGCCTTGTCGTACTATCCAGTTTTATGAAAGGAGCCAGATCGAACGGGAGTGTTCATACATGTGCTAAATGGTCTACTATTAGATTATCGTTTTGTACCATGCTGTGGAAATGTTTCATCAATGTCATCGTGCTTTCGACTGTCGATAACTTTATGACTTACCTGAGACATTATCTGGAGGGGAAACGGAAATCCAAGGACCTGCAAAACTTCTATACCGAATCGCGGAGCCTCCCAATATTGTCCACTGGAGGCGCACCCCAAACAAGCGTCTTCCTTGATGGATCCAGCAAGTGGGGGAAGTGCTTTTCAAGAATAGGCACAAGCACACCTCGGTGTCTTGATGGCACAGTAGCTAGCTTAGCATCCACCGGCACACTGTTCGGAATCTGCGCCGCCACAACTTTTGCCTCGTCTATCACGGGAACTTTGACCTCCTCCACGATTGTCGACCCAGCACGCATCAGTGCCCGTGCCTCCTCATCAACGTCCGAGAAGTCATCTTGTTTCACAGCGCTGATAGAGTACGCCCAGACACCGACGCCGAAGCCCGCAAGGATGAGGCCGGTGATAGCATTTCGGAAGCGAAAGGGTGCGCGTGCGCGCTGGAGGCCGGGGGACATGAGCTGTGAGTGTTACGTGTCAAACGTGCTTTCGTTTTCGGAGACGCTTGCTTATACGAATGCTACGTACAGAACTACGTGGTCGATAGGATGCAGCGACGGTCTTCTTGGATACGTATTGCTCGTCTGCCATCGTGATCTGTTGATTGGTGTTCTAGCTTAGTTCTAGCTGTTACAAGTTAGCATAAAATTTGACCCTCGATTCCAATATTGTACGAACCAATTTTACTGCTCTGAAGTTTCCTGTTCTTTCGTGCTTCGCTTCTATACTCAGCTCACTAGCGTGCCACGCCTCCAAGTCGTTGTCCAAGAAATTCTCACTGTTGGCCAAGTTAGCCAACTGCTTGCGGAAATCATGAGGTCACTCGATCACCTGACCCAGACCTGAACGCGGACGGCTTTCCTGCATCCGTGAACGGCCTGGAATTCCACAAGGAGGATGTTTCCACAACCCCTGCCATTCTCTCAGGCACTAAGAGTGTTGGTGAAAGCGCCAACTGTAACCAAACGGTCCAGTCGGTCGAGTCTCAGCTTGTTGTACAGAATGGCTAGCACGAATGCTAATATCGTAAGTAGGCACGAACTCGAGTTTGGTGTTTGAGTTGATAGGTCTCTTCTAGTGGGGTTTGCAGGACCCATCGTTGATAAAGTATCAATCTTATATCGATGGGAAGTGGGTGAGCGCAAAGGAGGGTGGAACCATTCTTGTTACCAGTCTGTTATTCTCTTATAAGTGGGAAATGACCAATTAACTCAGAGACATATTGCAGACCCTGCGACAGATGAGGAGCTCGGGACTGTTCCAGAGATGGGCATTGAGGAGACCAAGTCTGCCATTGCAGCTGCGGGGAAAGCCTTTGCGACATGGGGCAAAACTACGGCTCGGGTTGGTATCTTATCATCTATGCCAGCGCATACTAACGAATACCTGCATGACAGCACCGTCATGACATTCTGATGAAGTTCTACAGTCTAATGCAAGAACACAATGATGACCTGGCAAGGATTATTGTGCGTGTCGTACTTAATGAATCGTTGATTGGCTCACCCTATTTGGCAGACACTGGAGAATGGCAAGACTTTGGCGGATGCGAAGGTAACAGTTACCCACCATCCCTCGGTATAAGCTAATATCTTGAAAACAAGGGCGAGAATGTCTACAGTGCATCGTTCATGGAGGTAAGTCAATTTCAGTTCAATCGAGTTATGTGACTACATGTTATTCGCAGTGGTATGGTAGGTTTCTACATCAGATGGCTTGAACATCCATTTATATGCGTCATTTAAGCTGAGGAGGCTGTTCGAACATATGGAGGTAGGTCTTCCCCGTTTCAAAGAGTTCACACACGAATCACTTTTCCTAGAACACATACCTTCACCGTTCACCAACATTCGGAACGTTGTAATTAAGCAACCTGTCGGTGTCGTGTAAGATCTTTTCATGTGCCCCTCCAATACTCCGTCTTACAAGGAAGACATCAGATCGATTTTTACTCCGTGGAACTTCCCTTCTGCCATGATCACGCGAAAATTGGGTGCCGCACTCGCAGCAGGTTGTACGGCTGTTATAAAGCCCCCACCTGAGACACCGTTTTCAGCTCTTGCACTAGCTGAGGTAGGACTTCTAAATACTTACTGCTTTGTGATATTGTTTCACCGTCATTGCTATTTGATAGCTCTCTCGTCGTGCAGGTGTCCCAGACGGCGTCATCAACATTGTTACAACTCAAAAGAACGTTATTGAGGTCGGTCGGGAGATGTGCGAAAGCAAAATAGTCAAGAAAGTGACATTCACCGGATCAACACCTGTCGCTAAGAGCTTGTATGGTATGGCTGCCTCGACACTCAAGAAGTAAGCACCACCCAGATACCCTTTCGTCCTTATAAACATTTTACGTAGGATTTCCATCGAAGCTGGCGGAAACGCACCTTTCATTGTCTTTGATGACGCTGATATCGACAAAGCTGTTGAAGGTCGGCGCCGGAAGGTTTTCCAAACCCTTTCCAAGCTGATCTCTCTCTTTAAGGGGCTATCACATGCAAATTCCGTATTTCAGGACAGACCTGTGTCTGTGCAAACCGCATTTACGTCCAGTCTTCAGTCTACGCCGACTTTGCTTCTAAACTCGCCGAGAAAGTAACTGCGTTTAAAGTCGGAAATGGCCTGGATGAAACAACGTTGGTACAATGCTCCAGATAATCTCGTTTACTCACTCATCTATTCACAGGACGCATGGTCCTCTCATTCATGAGAGAGCAGTCTCAAAGGTTACAAAACATGTGGAAGATGCTGTCTCTCGTGGTGCTCAAGTGTTGGTTGGTGGTAAACGTGTCGATGGCCCTGGAGCTTTCTTTTCTCCCACTGTCCTTTCTGAGGTTCCTACTGGAGCATTTTTCAATTTTGAAGAAACGTTCGGGCCTGTTGCAGCTCTGACGAAATTCGAGACAGAAGAGGAAGTAATTGCCCTAGCAAACGACACGGATGTGGGCCTTGCTGGATATTTCTTTAGTCGAGATGTGGGGCGTGTATGGAGGGTTGCAGAGGCGCTTGAGGTTGGTATGGTCGGCACCAACACTGGGCTGATCAGTCATGCTACTATTCCTTTCGGTGGCGTGAAAGAGAGTGGCATTGGTGAGTTCTACATTCTTCCTGTCTGACCAGTATCTAATGCTTGATGTGTAGGCCGGGAGGGTGGCCACGGCATTGACGAGTACTTGAATCAGAAGCTCATTGCCTTTGGTGGGATCTGAGATAAGACTTTTGTACACAAGAACTATGTATCATATCCGTTACCCGCTGTCTTCAATTCACGAGAATAATGGATGCATATGAACAAGAATGGCGGTATATGCGGCTACAGATTTACAACTTCGCCTGGTAACGGCCTTCCTCGATGACAGGGTTGACGAGTGTGCCAATACCGTTGCCCAACCATACTCTACAGTCGTCGCCATTCTTGAGTACAATGGCGGGTTTCTTCGCGAAACCGACACCCTTTGGCGTTCCGGTCAAGATAACCGTTCCAGGCTCGAGGGTGGTTCCCTGAGAAAGGAAAGAGATCGTTTTCCGGACATTGAAGATTTGGTCGCTAACAAGAATAATCAGGTCATGTTTATTCTCTATAGTGCGTGCAGACTCGATTACCTGGTGTTACCGTCCTGGAGAACTTTTCCATTGAGTGTGCAAGTTAGGGGGATGTCCTGGGGGTTGGAAATAGCATTGTTTGACACAAGAACAGGACCGAGGGGGGTCGTGTTGTCTGTAAATTTCATCGTATGAAGCTATGTATTATATCGTCCGTTCTAAATGACGTACCAAACCCTTTGGAGAACCCCCACTGGGAGGTGGTCAGCTGGTGCTTGCGGAATGACACCTATTGTCACAGAAATTAGATCAGGTGGCCAAACCACAGTGTAGGGCTTACATCATTGGCACCAGTGTACCCGAGGACGTAGTCAAGAGCGTCCGCCTCAGAGACGTTCTTGGCCGTCTTTCCGATGACGATAGTGAGTTCCACCTCGTAGTCGGAGAGGTGCTCTTCGACAGGCTGCGCAACCTTGGGAATGAAGATTGGTGCGTTGGGACCGATCATCGACGCCAGGGGCTTGTAAAACAAGATTGGGGCACTGTATACAAATGATGTTTGTAATTTTTAATAGAATCCGGCGGACATTGGATAGCCTCAACTTACGGAGGCTTAGGCATGTTGATCTCTGCCTGTTTGTGGTTTCGTCAAGATTATACCACATGGCTCAATTTCAACAGGACTTACTGCGTGGTCCGAGTAGTTGAGACCCAGGCACCGAACGACCTTCATCTCTTCGCGAGAGAGAGGAGAGAGGAGCTTCTCAACTGTCAGGACGTTGCTCGTAACGTGAGCGGCAGAGTCAAGGGAGGAGCCAGAGATCTCATAAGCTCTGATGGTCTGTTTGTTCCATGCAGCAAGGCCAACTGCACGTCACCATAAACATGTATTCAAGGAAGTATAGAATGAGCCTGTGACTTACCATCAAGCCTAGGGTCGACAGGTTGTCCGATGTGGATTTGTGCGGTCTCCGCGGCGACAAAGCGAATCAGCCGCGACCATTGCTGCAGTCGCAATGCCAATATGTGAGCATACAGATGCACCTGAACAGATATATGTTGCACGTACTGTTGAGATTGGTGCCATGATGGTCAATAACAAAGAGTGCGGAAGTCTGGGAATACACACCTAAGCGCAGAACTCGTTACTTACTTGTACCCCACAGTGGGAGGCTCAGGCTTCACGGTCGTAAATGCGCTCCTCCGAATTTCCGCGTCACGCTCCAGTCACGTGGCAGCGACGCGGTTACTTTTGGCACCCACGGCGGCCATAGACCTAAACAACCCAACAACGGAATCATCTCTTCATCGATGTCGTCAACAGTGAGTTCAATGAAGACGACACTACAGGATGCTTTGGATGATGTGAGTAACAAGTGTGTTCTTCGAGGTAGGTTCGATTAGAGATTGTTTACTACTACAGGTGACCTCGACACGTTCATCGTCTGGAAGGCGGAATCGAGCTCTGGCTGTTCTTGAGCAGCAGCTTGCGCTTGCATGTGTGCAGTCCTCCAATGATGATACATTAGAAACATATCTTGACCTTCAAGACGCCTTCGAATCTAATGGTGGGGGACAAGTTCAACCACCCGACCTGCTGCGTACCTCTCTAATGTGGATACAGTTCCATCGCGGATCCTGGCTTGGATACAATGTACGACACCTCAGCTAGATCTGTGCGCAAGCAAGACCTCCACCAGTATGTACACAGGCTATCCTTCTTCAACATCACGGCTGACTAAGTCACAGAGGAGCGTGATACTGAAATGAATACAATGTGCTCCCAGTTATGCCAAGGCTTGTCAATAATTCAGGGAGTCTCTCTTCACCACAAATCAAGCAAGTCCTTTTTGGGTCGTCGTTTCTCCCTTGAGGTTGGTTCTGTTTACATTAGTGAGGTCTGTCAGATATTTGAACCTCATCATCTATCACAGATTTTGATCGAGTTATTGCTTACTTCTCGACATACGCCGATCATTGATGCCTCTTTGGGGGAAAATAGTTCCCGACCACCAGACAAGCCTGCACCCTTCATGCATTTAACATCTGCTGTCTTGGATACTTTGCTATGCGTTCTTGTTGATTCTTCTCCAGCGATACGTGCTTTTGAGGAAGTGAATGGGGTTCAAGCAGTGGTAAAGATCCTCAAACGAGCAGGAACACCACGCGAAGTCAGGTGGGTTCCCCGTTCCATCTGTCATACAATAACTAATGTAGCTCCAGAATGAAATGCTTGGAGTTTCTCTACTTTTATTTGATGGATGAGAATCCCACCCACACACGACCTGATGAAACACACTCACTACCCTCCTCCCCCGTTGCCACCCAACCTAGCACACCTTTTCGACTTCCTGAAAACAAGATATTCGCCCGCCCTGCATCTGGCGCCTCGAACATATCCTTTGCGTGTACCTCCACCAGATCCTCATCAAGTTCATCAACCTCCTCGTCCTCCTTCTTCTCCGTGTCCTCGGGTTCATCAACAACTACATCCACTAGTATCGAGGGTATTCACATACGTTCGCCTATCAAGAAGTCGTATTCCACCTCCGCTTTCACTTCATCAGACCCACGCACTCCTCCTAGCTCACCACCCTCGATAGCAGCCAGCGCTAGGAAGATACCGGCGCCACTACAGTCACGCCCAATGCTCATGCTACGGAAGGAAGTGGATTATGAGCCGCTGAGCCCCAGGAAACCAAGAGCGTTTCGACCAGATCTCGGAGTCACTGATACACCTAGCCCTGCCACGCCTTCTGCAACACGTTTTCGAGAGACAATTAGCAGAAAGACCTTCTCGTCAGGCAGCACCGAGGAAACAGAGGCGCGGTTAAGCAAGCATGACCGCGTCCGGACCATTGATGAGAAGAAAGAAATACTAGGAGGCATGCTGGGGAATGTTGATGCTCTCGTCGATGGTGTGAGGAAAGCAGGCATATGGGGGCTTGGCTAATCCTTTCGGTGCTACTCTCGGAACCTCGTACCAGACTTTTTCTGCCCAAAAACTTGTGGAATACAATTTGGTGGTGTTACAATGTTGAGATGGTCATACTTGGGACACTGATGCGATCGATAAGGACGTTAAGATGCTAACTAAGAGCGGTTCTGCGCAAACTCTGTCAAAAATTTCTCCTGCGCGCGGACAACAACCTTGACATGATCGAGGGAAAGCGGTTCCTTTCTGTGTTTTGTCGTGAGTAACAGGGAAGCAAACACAGAACAATACTTGCGCAGAGAGTGCCAACGCTTGGGCGGTCCGGACAAGGTTCTTGATGGTGCGTCCTGGAAAATATGTTTGATATCTGATAAGCAAGATGACAAGGGTATGCTGACCATTGAATGGTTTTTGTGCCAGTGCCTCCAAATCTGAGAGGGAAACATAGCAGCGTGGCTCTTTGCCGTCGACGTCGACGAACCCTTCAGACTCTGAGCCCCACAGTGGACACCCAGCAAGCTCGAAGAACTTTCGCCAGATCGTAAGGCGAGCCGAGGCATCCAGCTCGGGATATTTGATCGTTGTTTAGATCGAATCAATTTCAAACTGATGTGATGTAAACAGGGAGAACGGACCGATGGAGAACCTCGAAAGAAAGGCATCGTCAAACGTTTGAATGCGATTTGTTGTCAAGAAGAGCACGCCGCGGTGGTACTCGAAGACCTTTAATGCAACGGAAACGAGAGCGTTGCGTGTTAACTACAACAGAATGAGAATGAGTCATGATATTAATGCTCAGGTTCAAAAACGTACATCACGGAGACTTCTCTGTTCCAAGAACACGTCGGCTTCATCGATAAGAACTATGGCGTCCCATGTGGTAGCTAACTGGTAGAGCGTTTTTATGAGAATTGCAGCAATTGGTACATTATCACACGTACGCTCAGTATCTCCGACAACTTGGACTCCAGTTGTGAAGGCACTGTCGACAATTCTGGAGAGCTGACGATGTACAAAGGCCTCTTGAGGTGTTCGGCGACAGCTTCAGCCGTAAGGGTCTTTCCGGTTCCAGGAGGTCCATGAAGTACTGCGATCTTACACAGAATAACATCAGGTCAAAAACATCGAGTTGCACAGGAAAACTTACTAAACCTCCACCTTTACCTGTGATAACGTCCGACATAAGGTGCTGCGACGTATTAGCATTCTTAGTAACATCGACAAGTCCCTTGATCAGGCTCTACTTGACTATCAGCATCAGCCAACCAGTGTACAAAGAGCTACTGCTTACTTTGACGTCATCGTCTATAACCAAGTGGTCCCAAGCTTTCTCGTCAAACTTGATGTCACCAATCTCTTCAACACAGAATGACTGCCATGTCTGTGTTTCTCGTCGTAAGTCAGCAGAATTGTACTAAAGGAGTTTAGCTTACTTTGCTCTTGAGCTCGAAACCAGGTACTGAGGCCGGAAGTTGATCATATTCTCCTTCGGGAACATCAGGGATATTCTCGTCTCTAGGACAACATTAGCAATTTTACTAGGACAGAAAGCAATGGTCGCGTACGGGTCACGTTCGTAGCCCCAGGGGCGCTTGTCAAATGCAAGTTGATCGATGACAATTCTACTCTGGGGGTTGAATAAGTAAGCTTGTTGTTGTGCTAGAAAAGAGAAGGAAGAAAGGTTACCCCTTTGTCTAGTAAGCACAGAAATTGTTAGTCTGACGGCACAATAAAAAGTCAGACATACACGACTTGTAATGGACGCCACCAGCGAACGATTCATACAATTTCCCTCGGGCTAAGGGTATGTTCAGATATTATTTTGATAATAAACGTAAGACCCTCGTACCAGTTAGCTTGGCGCGTACGTCGTCTGTCATGATTTTGCAGGGCAGCTTTGGCAGCTCCATCGTTCCCTGAACTATAGTGAGCTCTTGTGAAGTACAAGCGCAAGGGAACAAAGACATCGTAGTGTTCAATCTGGAAAGTCTCTTCCTTGTGAGTGTATTTGTGCCCATCCCACCTTGTTGTCTCCCCGACCAAGGAGAACCTTCTGTAGGTGAGTGGTGAGAGCCCGAACCTTCGTAAGCTATACGACGACTTACTCCGAGTGCTTGCTATAGCATGTTCTATCCAGAGTAAACCCGGTCTGCATCATGATTAAACAAACTGCCGCTGCTGTTTAGGATTACGCACCAAGTTGCCATTCTGCAGAGTATAGTACTTGACACCTGGCTCAAAATAGTACTCGAGCAGGTCGTAAGCGATGGACCCGTAAGAGAGCTGAAGCTCGAGTTCTTTAGCTCTGTAACCTCGCCGTTAACACGCCAGGGCAGAAGCATACAAATGTGCTCACGTCGGTTCAAATTCCTGCTCGATCATGCCTAACAGGACGCCAAGGTGTTCCACCACGTCCTCGAAGTACAGCCGGGCATCTTTCTCAGTTTTATGCACTGTGTTGAGGGATGATCGTCAAAGAGAATAACATGTTAAGATGGCCAGCACATACGACCCAATGCATCTGTGCAACCCATATCATTTGCCTTTTGCTTGAGGTCTTCCTCGGCCAAATTTGAAGCAAGAACATCACAGACTTCCGCAAGATCAGCCTTGAGGTCTCTCAGATTCGAAAAAAAGTCCGAAAGACGATATTCTGGATTTCTTTCAAAGAATTCATCCCCAATGGCATGGCTGTCCAGGCGATGCTAAGATCGACCAGGTAGAAACTGACATCATGATCTTACCGAAGGAATTTGATCAGTATTCCACTGAAGTGGCTCACAACCAGTTCAGGGAATTCTGGACGAAGTCGTCAATACAAGCCCACAGTATTAGTCGCTGAGCATAATACGCACGTTCACTATTTTTGTGTCGGACATCGAGATAGAAGTAGTTGTGCAGATCTTCACGCGGAGGGACAGGCTTGATGAACGATGGATCATATGGTTTCCAAACGCCGAAAGCACGATCCCTATGTTTGCATGTAAGCGAATAGTCAGAGCGGTCAATCAACTTGGTACAGACCAAATCTGGAAACGTCGCAAGTAACGGTCTTGATTTTTCTGCGTTTTGAGGCTTGTGTCGTCTTCTGCCTAATTCATTCGATGGGCAAGACTCAGTCTCGTGGCTACGGTGAATACGGTGAACGTGCTGTTACTGACCCCGACTCCAGTAGCGTGCCCTGCTATATTCAGGTCTTTGGATGGAATGATATTTTGAGCATCTTGCAATACCCCGACTCCAGTAGCGTGCACTGCTACATTCAGGTCTTTGGATGGAATGACGTTTTGAGCATCTTGCAATGGAGCTGTACAACTGTCTGACGTGGTCCAAGAGGCTGCGCCATCATCGGAAATGACCTCAGAGCCTGCAAGGGAAGAAGAATCAGACATCGTGAATAAGGTGTCTGCTGGTAGGTTTGAGAGGGGAGAGAGCGATGGCGAAGTGTTTAAATCCCATTCCAGCAACGCCACTCGTCTGTCTGGGAATTCTATCAGATGGCACGCGTTATGCACGCTCCGTTTCGAACCTTGGTTCCTGCCACTGAGGACTCGAGTCAGACAGCATCACGATACTAAGCTTCTGATACGCAATACGTATTCGCTAGAATTGGGGTGGTAGATTAGGATCTTGTGAGTCACATTACGCCCGAGCCCATCGAAGTCTCAAGGCATTATTTGACAAGCGGATTTGAGTTAACGAAAAGATAGGGGCGATTGTGTAAATTCTGGCAGACGGTGTAAGTCCGCGTTAGGATACAATTAAGAACTTGCGTTCACCTACATAGTCTGGAACCAAATTCGTCACGGCCTACATGCCAAACTGAGAGAAGTGACGGATGTATACAAAGCATGCGGCGCTTGATCGCGGAAGAAATGACCTGGAGCCACTTCCGATACCAGTAAGGGTAATCGCTGCAGTGACCTTCGTTAGAATCAGTTATTTATTGCACCCACCAATCATCTTCAACTATTCCTGCACAATTCTTACGGAGAGTCTTGACAGTAAGTGTAATCAGACGACAAGTGTACTTGTACAGTACTTGATGGCGAGCGTGATCCAAAGCATCGAGGTTTTCAATCACGTTTGCAATCGAGTTCCTGACTGCGGCGCCAATTTGCTCATGTCCTATGTGTCAGAAACTCAGAATGCCGGACTGATTCGTTTCCCCGCGTCTGCCATTCCAAGCAGGTATGCCGTTGCTCGGAGGCCGAGATAAAGAATAGCTCTGATGCATTCTGCCGCATCAGCCCAGTGAAACCAATTTAAATGAGAACGGATCTACTGATAAGACCGCCCAAAAAAGTGCTGGCAGCCTGGCACAATTAAATTAGTTCGTTTTGGACCGTCCATTGACAAACAACCAACCTACTTTCTAGAGCTTTGTCTGCTGAGTTCCAGAGGCAAGGTCTAGACCCACCGAGTCAGCGCGAGTCATGGCACGCCTTCACCTGCAGTTAAAAAAAGATCATTGCCGCAGCACCCTCGCACTCGGAGAAGAACAAATCTATATAAAGGAACTGAACCGAAGCGACGATCCCCGATTCCCGATCTGATTACTGTATGCTTAGTCATTCACGAGCTAACGCCTCCATTTCTTTCTCGGACCATAATATGCAACGTTGCACTTGAACCACTGACCTCAACACATTTCGTCTTGGCCGAAGTCCGACCAGCAAGCATTTTGTACAAATGGCCCGCTTGTTTGTAACAAGGTCCGTACCTAAATCGCTCGATCTTGTGCAGCCCCTCTCCGAGTCCGCACCGCACGCTTACAAAAGCCCGGCTCGGGCACGAGATTGACGACTCCACTTTGCCGTCATTTTGACCATCGACTGACATGTTCTTCAATTCTAACAGGACTACATCGCTAGCCATTTCTTTGTTTGGCGCAGTATTCAATTTTGCTCTTGCAGCGCGGCTACTTGGAACTTGGCGGTCTTTCAAATGGGAATCAGAAAGCGAGTGGGAGAGCTCCGAGTATTCAATAAGTAAGGACGGAGTGCGCCTCGTATGGGCGTTATTGTGCGCATATTTTGCTGCAGCATCGGCCATCTGTTTCTTCGGCCTGGCAGGCATTATTCGAGTGCGTCGAGCTTTGTTCTTTCATGCCAAAATTTCAAACTTTCTTCGCCAGGGCAAACCATCGTTCGTGCGCATATATCGTGACTACATTGTCGGAGATTTTGTGTTTGGCACGCTGTTTGCGGCCATAGGCTCTTACGCTGCTTTCCGCCCAACGGTTCGCTCCAATGTTTGCGAGTTGTTGTCACGCCAACCGGACATGCTGCGGGACTTCATCGATTTAGGGCTAACTTTCGAGAACTGCGAACCATGGTTTGAAAGGGGAGTGTTCGCGTTCATGGTTATTCTAATTGTCATCACCGTTATTCGCGTGAGTAAATTTGGCCTTAATGGTGGCGAGCCAAAGGCTGAGGGTCTGATAATCGCAGCTTCATTTCGTATTGGCTTTATCGAGTTACTATACCATTCTTGTCCGCCATCAAGGCTTCCATTCGTCATCGCACACACCTCACTATTCGCGCGCTAGCGCTGCCGAATGGAACCTAGAACGGATATATATCCTCCCAGTTCGTTCATTGGCAAGTAAAGCGCCTTGCACGTCCGACCTCGATCTACAATTTGTGGACGCACCAGTTTACGCACCAGTCCCGCTCACCCATGTCTCTCCGCAAGTCGCGGAGGAGCTGCTTGCGAACGCAACCGAAGCATGGGTTTCTCGATCTGACTCAACCCAACCTGTGCGACCGCGCAGTCTGTCGCTGGCCCGTCATCAATCTGCGGACCGCGGTCCGGGAGCAGCTCAGACTGCTGACCTGATTTCTTTGGAGAACGAAAAGGCATGAGTTTGGGGGGGGGGGACGATAATGACGGTATTGACTTCTGACATGTCTCTGGTACTATGTGCTCTTACTTGTATTATTGCGTTGACGAGATGTCGAAATTTGCAGATTTGTACTGTAGTTCTCTCACTTATTCCGAATCAGAAGGACCAGTGTCATCCTTTTTTCGTGGTGTTCAACGCGGAAGTTCCTAGTAGCACTCGTCTGAATCCATTGCTTTTCTGACATCAATGTAATCGATTTATCCAGACTTCCACTTCTTGTCATGCAGCTCGGAATATGTCCTGCTCTCCCGAATGTTTGCACCATCCCAAACTTTCTGATTCCGTCCTTGGATCTGATGCCCGCTCTTCATTTGCTTTAGGATCGGATCGTTACCACTGCCGTCTCTAGCTGCCATTACTCCCTTGCTTACTCGTCGCCCGTTGTCGGTATTACGCAGCAAATCGTACAATCACAAGAATTTGGTGCTTCCCAATGCGCTAATTCATATTTGGGTGGGCAGGGTCTATTTATTGCTTGCTTTACTTACGTCTACTTCCCTAGTCTCGCTAGTCACATCTATGACACCTACTGAACCCCGGTTTCAACCCGCTCAGTCATCTACGCTTGGTCATCATGCATCAGCGGCCATCACCTGCCGGAGTTCCCCGTACACCTGAAGCCGTGAAACTCGGTAGCCAGCGATCGGACATTACATATTTACCCATCGCCCGGCCTTTGAGGCTGTTCCAGGTGCTCATACTACTGAGCGTCTGTTTTAGCAAATACGGCCCTGCTTTGGCCGCACTGTTTTTATGTGAGTGTCTTATCCCACCGTGACTATCTGGCGTCGGGTTGTATCGGTATGGCCAAGTTCGAGGCGACCTGTTGTGGAAGTGCTCATACTGCTGAGCGTCTATTTTCAGGGCGAGCTGTCCCTCCTAACTGACACTATTAAGTACTAATTTACTACCATTAGCCTCGGCGCTGCTACACATCAGGCCCCAACAACGTTCGTTAAAAATAAACTAGTGATGCGTGACTACGCGATAACGACGTAGGGGCGCGCCGGAATTGGGAAGACATTTGCGTCCGTTGACGTCATGATCGGGATAGGGATGTCGTAGGTACGGGTAAACGCCCCTTACAAGTAACTAGCATTTACTCATGCACTCCTGCCTCCAGATCCATGAAGTTCTCCGGAGCATTTTTTCGGCCGTGAACAAATATAGAGATATCACACTCGATGTCCAGCAACCGTTCAGAGGTGCAGATGTTGGACGCCAGACTCTTGCATGTTTAGCTAGGACTTGTCGCGCATTCTCGGAGCCTGCGCTGGATGTGCTTTGGGCTCACATAGACACTCTTGGTCCTGTAGTAGCATGTCTCCCCAGGCACGTATGGTCCCGACATCGCGGCAGTCTGGTGAGTTTCCGGTGCTCCATGATTGAATTCTGTCTCAGATGGCATGCAGAGAACAGGTGGTGGTTGCATTTTGATCACTCACTGGTGGGGCATCGAGAAGTATCTTGTGAGAGTTCGAGCCCTTGGTAACTCGGGGCGGCGTGTCACAGCTGACATGTCTACGGAACTCGTACATGCCCTCTGCGGTCATCCCTGGCCTTTCCTACTTCCTCGCCTTCAAAAGCTTATGTGGACGGACGGCAGCTATGAATCCACCCACCTCTTTTGCAAACTTCTCAGCCCCACCCTAACTGATTTTCATCTACATGCGAAGGGTAATCTGCTCATGCTTTCGGTTTTATCATCCCTGGGAGCTATATGTCCCCTTATGAAATCCTTCTCCACCACTGGCTTGGATTCAGCCGCATCCGTCCCAGTTTCAGCAGCAGTTGTATGTGGTTGGCACCAGCTGAAGACATTCAGCACAGAAGCCGTCGACGGGCCGGCCTTGCTCCACCTGTTCTCTCTTCCATCCCTGGAATTCTTGGAACTGTCATTTCTATCATCGAACAGGGGCTCCTTCAACTACAGCCCGACCACATTTTCAACCTCTCTTCACCATCTCACAATCCGCGCGCAGGATCCTGAGTCATGCCTGCCCTTCCTTGAAGCAACTTGGATAGGCGCAAGAAGTTTAACCATTTCTCTCGGGAACATTCCGCGATCTTCCAGTAATGAAACATTACTTTCACTCCTTGCCTCTCGTGTAACAGCGCAACAAGTGCAAGCTCTCACACTCGATTTGACTTGTGATTCGCTGCTCACAATCACTGAAATCACGCCCCTGTTCCCATTCTGTGCGTTGGAGGAACTAACACTACCATCAACCTACGGCAACCTTACTATCAATGACCACGACCTCACTAGGGCTGTGAAATCGTGGCCCAAGCTCACAAAACTACGCCTGGGCGACGAGGCTACGTGGTCGACACCAGCGCGTCCTCAACGTCCTCAAATTACCCTAGATGGGATTGTCAGTCTGCTCTTGCATTGCCCAGACTTGTGCGCTCTCGGCATTGCCATGGACGCCACCTCATACAACGTTGTGACGCCTGAGGTACCAGGAGGCGGGGTAACCAACACTAAGATCACCACACTCTCTGTTGGGGTATCGCTGATCGAGAACCCGTTGGCTGTCGCCACCTTCCTCGCCTCCATTTTGCCAAACTTGGAGAACATTCTGTGCAAGGACGACTCTGACATCGTGCCATATCAAAAGGAAAGTCGGCACACGAAGTGGGCGAGAGCTTCGATGTATCTGCGAGATGTGCAAATGATCAAGAAGCAGGAGAGGGCTAGAGTGGGGAATTGTTCATGTAGCCAGGTTTGTAATTGAGGGCGAACCATCCGAATGTGTCAATAGTATACACAGTGATGCATCTATATACTGATTGTAATGATATCGATTTCGGTGGTTTTAGTGTGGTTTTAGCGCTGCATAGAACTTTGAGGATTTAGATACCAAGTGCAATCCCAAATCTTGGTGGCACTCTCGACTGTTTCCCGAGAGTGACTGGTCAGAACCCTCACAGCGCTTCCTTACAAAACTTTCGAAGAAGATAATGTCCCAGGTTCGCGAGCGATCGCATTCGCTTGAACTTTCCTCGGATTCGCTGAAGCGATTAAAAACGACACATTCCTTGTTGACACCGACCGTGGACCACGAGTCCACATTCTACACTGGTCTCTTTAGGCCAGAAAATGTGCAGCAACTGTGTCAGACGTACGCTGGCAGTGAACCGTTCAAATATGCGATTGTCGACAAGCTTTTCCAGGACGATCTCCTCGTGAATGTGAAGGACGAATGTATGAACGAACTGAGCTTTACCGAGAGGGAGACAGACATATACAAGGTGAGCCTCCTCGATCCCAACCCTTCTGACTATTTGTTGTCCGACATCTCTTTCCTAGGTCAATCAAACTGGGGACCTTGCCTCTCTCTCGTACCTCTCTGAGGCTCAGCTTGCACTTTTTCCAAACCTTCTTTCTCTCCGCGATGCGCTCTACTCTTCACAGTTCCGCAAGTTCATCCAGGCTGTCACTGGGTGTGGACCACTCTCCGGAACGAAACAGGACATGTCTGTCAACTCGTACACACAAGGGTGTCATCTGCTAAACCACGACGATGTCATTGGAACCAGGCGCGTCTCGTACATCCTCTATATGCCACTACCATACGGTCAGGAGTGGAAAAAAGAATGGGGAGGTGCTTTAGAGTTGTATCCTGTTCAGATCGGCGTTGACGGCATCCCTGAACCTAAGGCTGCACCATGCAAAGCTATCCCTCCAAGCTGGAATCAATTCATTTTCTTCGAAGTGCAACCAGGAAAAAGCTTCCATTCTGTAGAAGAAGTGGTAGTCGGAGGAGACGGCGTGGCAAGACTTAGCATAAGTGGCTGGTTTCATGCAGCACAGGAGGGCGAGGAGGGGTATCAAGCTAATCAAGCAGCACCTGAGCTCAAAAGTTCACGAGAACAGTTGGTGTGTCTTGGAAGATGTATTGTTTTTGCATTCATCTCATTGGGATTACTACAGACATCCAGCTCTACCGCCTTTATTGAATACTCCGACTCCTCAGAGCCATTCCATCCAGATTTACCGTTCCGAACAGAATATATCTCCTACCTCGCAAAGTTCCTAAACCCAGTTTACCTTCAAACACGCACGATGAAGGCATTGATGACACAATTTGTCGCGGAGTCAAGTATTGAACTTCACCATTTCCTGTCCGCATCCCTCGTATCAAAACTTGAACCCGACCTGCGTGGGGCAGATCAAGCTGATGGTCTTGATGGTGAGACTCGTCAGGGGAGGATACCACCGCACAGTGCTGGCGTATCTGGGGCATGGTCTGCGCGGGGACCACCACACAAATGGCGTTACTGTACGCTACAAAAAACAACGGGGCCTCAACGTGAATCAGACACAATCCTTCGTCAGTTACAAGACGAAGTTTTCCCAAGCGAAGCGTTCCGCGCTTGGCTAAGCGCCTTGACAAATTTGTTGCCGTTGAGCCACGCTGTAGAGGCGCGAAGGTTTAGACCGGGCTTGGACTACACTCTTGCAACGAGTGAGGGGGTCGAGTCGCGGTTGGACGTGGTATTGGGATTGACGCCACAAGCAGAAGTTGAAGAAAATGAGACGCGATCAACTGGCAAGTCGAAGGCGAACGAAGAGGACAAAAAGCCGCATGGTTGGCAGGCTGGGGGGTGGGGAGGATGGGAGGTAGGGCCAAGATCTTCCTCATCGATGTTTTGCTGGCTTATTCGCCACCAAGTGTTACATGGCACCTCATGACGAGGAGGATGATCCAGCGGTCTACCGTTCCGGGTCAAATAAAAAATCCCAAGTTAACGACGCTTCTGGCTCACAAAATCACGATGATGCAGCGGGAACAGGGGAGCAAGAGGACGACGACGACGAGAGCACTTTGCTAACTGTTCAGCCTAGCTTTAACAGACTCCTTCTCGTACTACGGGACGAGGGCGTTATGCGCTTCGTGAAGTACGTTTCAGCTTCTGCTGCAGGCTCCCGATGGGATATCTGCGGTGAATTCAACGTCGGGATGGTTCAGGATGACGAAGAAGATGAAGATTCATAACTAAAAAGTGCATCTGGTATGTCCATGTAGACAAAGGGATTTTGCGATGCTATCTACCATTGGGGTGTACAGTGCTATGTCTCTCGCTATCCCTTACTATCGTGATATCCTAGAACACAATTTTCTGACCTTGGCTGGGTATGATAGCAGCAGATTCACGTGGCGCTTGAGCTAGTGCGGCACCAGGTTTCGGGCGTCCTCGAGCCCTGTCAGCTCTTATATGTCGTGGGCCCTCCTTTTGGTTCCGTCGAGGTATTGATTCAGCACCATCTTGTTGTGTGCTGTGTTCCTTTTCATCTTCATCGCGCCTTCTCGGGCGCGACTGAGACCGTGGATGCGACTCAGCGTCGTGTTGCCGACCACCATGTCCTTTTCCAGGACCGCTTTTGTGTTCACTTTGTTGTAGTCTTGGACCACCGCCTCGACGGACTGCGTCAGCAGAAGCATATTCTACAACTAAATCTCGACCATTGAGACGGTGGTTGCGAGGATTGAGCAAGGCAGCAGTTGCATGTTCGGTGTTGGTAAAGTCAAGAAAGGCAAATCTGGATGCTTCCGTTGGTATTACACACGCCTTGTACGACAAATCACTCACCCTTTACATGCACCACTATCTTCAAAAGTTCCCATGCGGATCTTTCGTAACCAAACATCTTTCGTGACAGTGTTATCCTCCCCGACAGTAGCCTCGGCGTCGTTTGCTTTGACGCCCTTTCCAGCCTTTTGCGGGTGTCTATGGGCCTCAAAGAGTTCACGAATCGATTCCACTGTAGTATCAAAACCAAGATTTCCGAGGAATAATGTTTGTGCAGGAGGCTGCTTCTGTACCCGCAGGATCTTCTGTTGAGTCTTCGTCAAGCCGTTCACTGATTTGCCTGCAGAAGGACCCTTAGTGTCCTCTGGCGTTCCCGCCGTAGGTGTAGCTATGGGACGGCCCGCAAAATCATTTCCTACATATGCGCAAACGCAAGCTTGAACATTATATACGCAGGGGATTCCGCGAGCACACATACCGTCTTTGACCAACAAATTCCGACCGTGAAGCTCTCGTTCAGACTGGGTAATGGCTGTGACTTTGGCATCCGATGTAGCAAAGTCGACGTAGGCAAAGCTATCCTGTCTTCAGTCGACCACGCATTTAGCAGGAAACAATTCGACTCACCCCATATTCTCTCCTTTAGTTCCCTTTTTCGTTGGCATGTGTATTCGCGTGATCTCCCCGACGCCATCAAAGAAACCTCGCAGTGTATCTGGCGTAGTCTTGAACCAGAGATTGCCCACCCAGACCGAATTCTGACGCTTCGGTTTGCTATTGCCAGTAGTCTTCGAGTCCTTGGTAGAGGCACCAGCCACGGAACCATCAGTCGCCTTTCTCTTTTTCGACGGCCGATCTTGATCTTTCTGATCTTTTTTCTTCTGTCTGCGTTTTTCGGCGTGAGACAACGCGACACTGTCTTCTGGGGCTGGTGCGGTGTCTGCTGTGACTGCTTCGCGCGCTACATCATCACATTCTTCAGCAACCCTCTTTCTCTTAACCGGTGGTGGGCTAGAAGAGTCTGATGAGGACGCCGATGATGACATTTTGGAAGTAGACTTTGCATTGCGATTTGAAAGTCATAATATGAGTGAATCATGTGACGACACACGTGACAAGAACTCACGCGATCCATTTCTTCATGCTCTCTTATCAACGATTCACTCAGAATTTCAGACTGATCACTAGCAATCGTACTTTCTACATCTAAAAATCCAAGAAAACCGCACAGCGATATGTGTGTTTACAGAGTCTACATACATTGTCCATCTAAAGATGTTCTTGCAATTAAAGGGTATCTTAAACGCCTCTGGGCCAGGTCACCAGTAAAGATGATATCCTGCACCTTCTACCTGTCCTTGTGTCTTGGCAGCAGTCTTCAAATGGCATAGAGATAGAGGTTGTTTACTATGACATCAATGAAAGTGGATCAATCAGAGATCTCGCGGAAGATAAAGATAAGTACCTAGAGCGTGCGAGTGCTTTGGCCGTCTTGTGAATGTTCTTCATTGCCCGACCTGCAACATATTGCAACGGATTGTCTACAAGATGGTAGGGCTACTTACCATTGACCGCAACTCTGGATAGCTCCTCGATATCTCGGCGAGATATATTACTTTCTTCCCCTGAGAGCATATTGGACCACATAACTTGACGGGAGTCAGCATCTAATTCAGGATACTGGATAGCTGTAAGAGTGACGTGTGAGCACGGTATTTATAAATCAGCAGATGAAACCTGTACTCATAGCAAAATGGGACATGTATGCGGTACATGTAGTTCTGGCAGTGACAAATACAAGGCACCGGTGCTGCTCAAAGAACTCGAGTGTCGTTGAGATGCGAATATGTTCCTCCATCTGATCGCAGGTCAGGGTAACACAAGGCGGATACAGCTAATACACACTATAGGCTCGAGCCTCTGAGTCTGCATAAGAATCTAGATGCAAGTTAACTCATGACGGATAAAACCTGCAAAATACTGCACATCTCCAGCTTCAATCAATACTATGGCATTCCATGTCCTCGCTGCCTGTGAGAGTAATGAATTTGCACTTAGATGGACAATAATCAATAAACATACATCCAAACGTGATGTCAACGTGTCCACAAGCAAGGTCGTGTCCAACGGAAGGGAACAGACTGCAAGGGAATACAAAGGCCGCCTGAAATGTTCCGCGATAGCTTCAACCGTGGCAGTTTTGCCGGTCCCTGATGGTCCGTGCAGAAGTATGACCTGCCAGCGAGACGTCCGACGCCGTTTTTGAACAAACAGATGAATCAACCTACCAAGCCCGTTTGTTCTTCATCCGTCGTGGCCTCCTTGCTGAAGTCGAATGAACCCACAACTCCTTCGATAGCATCCTGCCACAATGAGCAGCCGAACAAAAATTTAATTGATTGGCCTCACCTTTGAGCTTTCGTCGAGCACAATGTGCTTCCAGGCACTTTCATTGAATTTTATTGGCTCGACTTCATCAACATCGAATAAGCCCCACGACTTGTAACGCGCCAAGCACTATCAGAGGTATTCGGATACCTAATTTTGCAATTACCTTGCGTTCCAGATCAAAACCTGGCATGAATCGTGGGAGAAGATCAATATCAGCTTCGGGTACGGGTAAGACATCGTCATCTCGGGCCTTGCTTCTGTCCCGGAGAAGGGGGAAAGGGAAAGGGGTGTCATCTCTAGTCGCCAATGAGATCACACAATGAATGGCTGGAAAACAATTCCTTACGTATGGTTGTAGCCGAACGTGTTCCAGCCTAAGCGGTCAACCATGATCCGTCGCTGTTGGAGACGACAGGTCAGTGGGAAACTATCCACCTATCTCATGACTGGGCGCACTCCTCTGTCTAAGAGGGGTAAGGCTGATACACAATAAGCCAGCAGGAAATAGAGAACGCACGAAGTCTGTGATGGACCCCTGCTAATGAGGCGTACTTTCTGCCGCGCTCTTGAGCAGGGTTAACGAGGGATATTTGCGAGTCATGCGCTCTTACCTGTAAGCCGTGTGCATATCTCGGGCGTTACCTTGGTGGTTCGGAAATCAGACAAGATCAATGACCCCTGATTATCATGAGTACGATGAAAGCAGGACAGTATCGGAAACAGACCTCAGCCAGTTTAACCATCCGACCTCGCTCGAGTGCAGTCCATTTGGCTCCATTCCAGAATGCACCCTCGCCGTTAAGGGTGAATGTTCTGCAGAAGAGAATGAGGAAAGCCATAACCACACGTGCCATTTACAACTCACTGGTCAAAGTCATCGTAATAAGTTGAAGTCAAGCGGAATGCATCCTGCATGCTTCATCTATATGAATATCTCGCGGAGTGTTGTTGATTCTCTTACAAAATCATCATTGTCGTCGCAGTAGTAGTACTTCTGATCCTTCCGGAAGTAGAACTCCAGCAGATCGCGCGGTATGCGACCGTGTACTATTGCGTGTTTCAATCGTTCAGCTCTATGGGAAATCAGATACCGACAGATGCTAACACAGAACATATCGCACACTGGTTTGAATTCTTCTTTAAGCAAGAGTAGGAGGGTTCCAAGCTGCTGGACTGCGGCCGTAAGATACGTGCGCGCGTCACCATCTACCATAACAAAAACATTAAATGAGTCTTCATAATGAGTACGAATTACATACCATGTAGACCCTCATGTGCATGCCCGAGCGCTTTCGCACTTTGCACAACGCCATCTTCGTTGTTTTCTTCCAGCAAAGCCGTACGTGCGTCATTGGTGCGAGTGTCCAACACATCTAGCTCCAAAAGCAACTCGTCGATGGGAACTTGTGGATGTGTGCTCAAGCATTCGCCCCCCACAATAGAGCTGCGGAAGATAATCATTCATTATCTGATGAACGGAGTGCTTAGATACGCCATACCGTAAGCAGGCGAGCAAAACCGGACTAAAATCACTGAAAACCAGTTTTGGTTTATCTACATACCGATACATCAATGGCAGCTATCTAACACCTAAGGACGCACCTTTATCTGTCCTCCGCCGAACATTTAGGTAGAAACAATTAGGCTCTCGGGTGGCCACACGGGGAGTCTCTTCGATGTATTCGTAGGATTTCCAGCAATCCTGAAGCCAGTCCCTAGAAAAAATCAATAAAGATCACCTAGTTACTTTGACTAGAGAGTGTGAACCATTGCTGCCAACGTCGAAGGAAGCCATTCTCTTGTTTCTCGGTTATGCCGGACTTGCATTCTTTAAGCGTGACAGAACTTGACGCAGGGCTGACTGGAAGCGGTATTAGTGCTTCTTTGATTACAGGTGGAGACATGTCCACAGCAAGAGGTGGGGAAGCTGTCGACGTTTCGGGACATGCCGACTCGGGAAAGGCCTCTCTAATCGGTAGTGGGGACTCGGTGGTTTCGGCAGAGGGGACTCGGATAGCTTGCACGAGTGGTTCCTGTATGTTAGACTTTTCGGACATGTCAAAAAGAGAGGAAGTCGTCTATGCAATCGATCAAGGCGTCAATCCAAAAGATGCTTTCTGTCGCTTTATACTCTCATGTCAACGCCAACGGATTTGTCACTTTTGATGTTGTCGTGTGAACAGACAATTCAAACAGGCGATTTGCTGGGAAGGGTCGACCCTCACTTGTAAGCACAGGTTGAACCCTGGCAATGAAGCATTTGTACTGGAGCGAACAGCCGAAGATCCGTTCGAGATGTCAAATCCTGGGGAAAGAAGGTCGAAAATGGCGATACAAACTCAATTGCACAGGAACGCTTCATTTGCCAAGGAACATTTCATTCTACCGCTGGGTAGTCGTAGGTATGTCTGTGGAGCCACAAAAATGTTATCAAGCGCTCAGGGACCACGACTAAGGCCTGGGGCTTACATTTTGAGCTGATGACGCTGGCCAGGACAGCCTTGTTTCACGCGAGAAAGCGGATGAGACAGGGATGTGAAGTTGAGTGAAAGTCCGATGACACGCTCCAAAACATCATGGGCAAGCTCCAGCTTCGTCTTTACTGCTCAGACTTCTGTGGGGTCCGAGAGGCCCATGCGGTTGGCAATTACTATTAGACTCAGGGACTCCGAGTCCGCCTCGGTTCGGATGCGGGATGTGCGGGCCCTCTCTCGGCTAGCGCGCTGCTGACTGACCAGCAAACTGTATATTTGAAGTGTTTAAGCATGCACATTGCATATATATAGCACTAGCGCACAGCTGTGGTGGTAACCCTGGCATCTCATAAAAAAAGGAAAGACAACGAAGAACTCGGCAGGTTTAACTACCGTTTAAGCGAGCGTGTACGTGGTGGAAGAGAGAACGCCACAGAAAAAAAAATTGCGTGCGCTCAGCTGGACGTGTGTTGCCGGTAGTACTTACCGTTCCTTCTGAGCACATTGGCAGGAACCGGGACCCGCGTAAGTATCCCATGCTCAGGTCCAAGAGCATGCCAGTCGTCATCCGAGTCCGCGTCAAAGACTAGCTGGAACATTCTGTGCATGGCACGTGACCGCGGCGTGCACGAAGATCAAGGAATGGAGTGATATAACTTGCCAAAGAGCACAAAGGTGTGACGAACTTCAGGTCTGGTGGCGCTGATCAGCAATGATTGCGTAGAGAAAACAATATCATTAGGGGCATATTCAACATTAACCCTATTACAATACAATATGAAACTGAGGTCCATCATTGAATCTTCCGTCTCTGGGCTTCATCCAACACACTCTTCGGTCCGCGCTTCGCCATCGCCCAAAGAAAGACGACAACAACGATAGCAAACTGAAGCCACAACCACACCTCCAAGATGAACGATACGAACCCTCGCTGCTGAGGCTTCTGTTCCTGACGAAGGGAGATGGGCGAAGCAGATCCTGTCGTTGGCTCGTCGTCTGTGATATTGCGGGAAACGGCATGAGTCCGATGGCGGCTTATGCTATCCACGAACTCGTTCACGAGTCTCTGGGGAACCGGAGTGGAAGGACGGGCGAGATCAGCAGAGCTCTCCCTCCGCGGGGCAGAAAGAAGTGTCGCTTCGAAGCGACCTTCATTCCAGTGGTTTGTGCGCATGCGAATGGTATGTGATTTGCGACGCTTCCTGTCTGCAATTGTTTCCATGTGCGCGTTGGGCGGACTATACGTCACGGACTCAGAGTCGTGAATACCTTGCCATGTACCTGGTTGCAAGCTAACATGCTCCGCAAACGAGCTGGAAGATGTGGAAGGAACTGAGATATAACTAGAAGGAGGGACAAAGGACAGGATATCTTCCGCGGAAGGGGTTCCGGGTGCCGGAACGCCGACGGCGTTGCCAGCGGATAAAGAAGGTGAAAGCGATGTAAGGTCAATTAAACTTGGTGTTCGGAAGTGGTCATTCCCAGGACAGTTGCCCCATGCAAGTCCTAGCTCATTGTCTAGCGTCTGGCGGCCTGTGAATTCTGTGATAGGCAATGCCGCAGCCAGAGGTGATGATAAGTCCAATTCTTCGGGGGTCACGGCTTCCGTGCTGGGCTGAGGAACAAAAGGGACGGGTGGCAGGCCGGGAATAATCAGTGACTGTACAGATGGTGGATTACTGACATCAGATACAGTCGGGGGATCAAATAATCCAACAACAGATCGACGGGCGCGATGATGTGCAGGTAGAGGAAAGAGTTCTGGAAGTATTGGGTGTCGCATACTGCTCTGTCTGTCTGGTTCGATGCCGCTATCAAAATCAACCGAGGAATCCACGAGCATAGACCGACGGAGACTGGCAAAACGGATCGTCTCGTCTTCCTCGTCATGTTCACTTTCCTCGTGGACACCGGGATTCTCGATGCTGTCATCCCCATCCAACCAGTCAATGGTATCGGCATCGCCAAGGCTCTCATAGATGAGCCGGATGCTCGCAGCATCTCTTTGGACCGACTGCAGCGACGCCGTCGTTCTAGCTTGTTGCACAGTTATTTGTGCATTAATCTGCTCAAGTTCGTGGATCTTTTGAAGGAGTTGGGACACGAGTGCATATTCGGGCGTTGCCGGGGCTGGCGCCTGAGCAGGAGGAGGAAACTGGAACTGCGGGAATGATCGAGAGAGACCGTCGTACATGGACATCTTTCGAGATCGCTCAGTAAGCTTGTGATCGACAGGAGCCGAACGAAAGATGGCTTCCGAAGCATGCCGGCGTAGACCCTGCGACGAAAACTTGTGTTTCTCTAACTTGCCTAGCCCGGTAGGTCTTTTTGAGTTCCCTCGAGAAGCAAGTGTTCCCCCTGGCGCAAAGTCTCGTACTTCTCCGTCACTTGTATCACTCTCGCTTTTACCCCGTAGGGCGCGGACTCGTTCCTCTCTCTCGTGTCGCCTCTTCGACGCTTCTTCAGACTCGAGACTGAGACTAGCAAGTTTTGCCTTTTCCTCAAGCTCGTCGCTCCTGGCGCGAGTTTTATCAAGCTCCTCTCGGAGCCCTTGAATCTCTTTCTCCAAACCGCGCAATTTTCGCCGTCCCGCTTGATCTGTATGAGCAGATTCAGATTCAAGCTTTTCTAGCTTGGCAAGGAGCTCAGCGTTCTGATCTGAAAGTAAAGCAAGGTCCGCAGGAGAGACAGAGACACGTCTCTGCGAACGGCGAGAGCGATGTGCACTGGTGCTCGCACGGGAGGAAGAAATATTGGTATAGTAATGAGGGGAGTGTGGAAGAGGTGTTCCGGGATTCGTTGGAGAGGATAACGAGGATCCGGATGGAGAGGATGCTGATGAAGCAGGCAAGCGGGCGATAAGCGCCTTGTGCTTGTCCTGGAGCTCTAAATTATTTTCGTACAATGATTTACAGACGGCTGTGGTGACGCTGAGTTCTACAAGGGGATAAAGATTTCAGCTCGTCTCTCTAAAATAAAGCATTGAACGACAAACCATTTTCTCGGTCTTTGATGAGTTCATCGGCTTTCAGCAGTAAATCAGAAAGCTCCTCGCGGGACCTCCCATTCCAAACATGAGGATTGTTAGGGATGTCGTCCCACGCAGTGATTGCAGATGCGCCGTTGAAAGACTCTCGTTTCAGATCCAGCGGATCATGAAGAAGTGATCTAGCAGCGTATGGAGGAGGCGGAGAAGTTTTGACGTGGGTAGAAATTCTCCGTGCCCGACCTGGCGGCCGTGGCCGAGGAGTGGTGTTTACTGCCCCAGAAAGCATATGAGATAACTTAGAAGGGAGATTTAGACAACAGAGATGATGGTGGCCAACTTGAAACGAAGGATGATGATAACTGTCAGTCAATGTTCAGGTCCAATCGTTAACTGCTGCTTAGCACTGGGGAAGCGAAAAGAGAAAAGGAGATTTAGTGATGCGTTCTGCGGCGTTTTGTGTCCCATGCATATGAGACTTGAACGAGACAGCAGAAGTTCGGCTTAAAATCATCCTTCACATTCAGACTGTAATACGTATCACCGGTCGCTGCTTGTCATAACGACCACAAATCAAAGCACATCAACAAGGCCGCCTGGCGAAATGGCATCGCGTCTGACTACGATTGCGTTATCAGGAGATTGCAGGTTCGACCCCTGCGGTGGTCATTATTTTTTCATGATTTATTTCATGGGACAAACAACTTTTTTTTTACATCCGCGCAGTGTTGGAAAAACGACTGGATGGGATGATTGTCCTGGGATCCGTGTAGCCCAGATTAAAGTTACGTCGTCTTACATGGCAAACTTTGAAGTCTATCTCACACTCGACGATACTTTTAGATTGTCATTACCAACGCACGAACTCACTTTGGCAGCCAACGACTAATATTATATCATTGCAGCAAGATAAGAATATTGACAATACACCTCTGCTGTGTCTGAATTGAAACCATCAAACCATGGGTGACAGCGGCACTCCGTGTTATTCGACGCATCGCATATTTTACACACCAGGGTCCAACTCGCCCAATAACATAGTGCCGTCCTTGCTGCCAGTAAGAACTGTAGATATGTCAGTAAAAATCAGCCGGACAGAAAGTAATCCTTACTGATAGGCTCTTTCGGGTGGAAGTCTACACAAGTGACAGTCCCCCTGTGCCCCGGAAGCTAAAAAAAATGGTAAGCCACACGCAAGAAGCGCCAATAGGAGAACACGAACCTTGTACAATACACGCCCAGTGTCAACGTCCCAAACACATACCATCCGATCCGCACCACCAACTGCGACCCGTTGTCCCCCATCGTCCTTGCTCCATGCACCCTTTAAAAGCGTGTTCTCAAAACCAGCCGGAGCACCTTGCAACACACGGTGTATCCTCGATGGCGAGGGCGAAAATGGGCGTACATCGTGAATGATAGTATGCGATGAGAACGAAGGCGAGAGGAGGTAGGCGCCGTTAGGTGATAATGCAAGCGATGTCGGCGTGTCCGTGTGGCCAGTCAGCGCATAAACCTGCTCGCCCTTGCGCAGGTCATAAACATGAATCTCGTTGTCTAGCGCGCCAATATAGAGGTTCTGCCCATCCGCGCTCCACGCGACACTCGTCGCTGGGCATCCAAGTTCAAATACTGCAACACTATTCTTTGAACCATCTTCTCCACCCTCCCACACGCGTACTGTTCCATCGTCTGAGGCGGTGGCAATGAGCTCGATACCAGCTCCGCCTGCCATAGTCCGGTCCAGCGCGTTGATAATCCCGCGGTGAGCACGGATTTTTCGTGTCCGCTGGCCGGTAGTGACATCTGCAAATGATAGCATTTGGTCTGCAGATACAGTATAGAGGAGCGGTGAGAAGAGGGACCATTGAAGGTCAAGGATGGGTGCTTTATGGTGGCTAGAGAGGAGGCCGTAGTTGGTATTTGGTGGATAAGTTCTCCACAAAGCTATATTTTACTCGTGAAGAGTTCGTATAAAGCACATAGAGATGTCACGTACAGACACTTCGGTCCGCTGAGCAAGCAGCAATGTTTTGCCCAGTAGGGTCAAATCTACAGCTCAGAATTTCCGCCTTTGAACTCATTATCAATATACCATCCTGCGGACAAGGTGTCTACAGTTTTCTCACCGAATGAGACCCACTCAAGCTAATGATGGGTGCCTCTAGGTTGCTTGTGCGCTTAACGCTTCGTATGAGACCTTTGTGTCGCTCATCGTTGCCGGACGAGATGGCAATTTGGTTTCGAGCAGGGGAGTTCGAACGCGCTCTTTTGATGAGGGTACCTTCTGCATATGGGGGTGGAGAGGCGCCTCGTTTTGACATGGTGACCAAGTGCAGACCAAAAGATTTTGAGCGAGTTGTATTAGACGTCAATGGATTGCCGGTGAATGTCCGCAATAACTGAAGTGGTCACGTGATACCTTGTTTTTTTTGGCGGTTGCATTCAAGGATCAACAATTGGATAAGATGTTGATAAGATATTGTCATTGTCGAAATATCGTGGACTGAAAACTTGCTAACATAGGTGGCATACATCAGGAATGCTCCAGGTCACCCCAAAGAACACAGGTATAACGATACTTCTAGTGTGTATGGCTGCGCTGCTCAGCTGCCCACCTCACGGCATCCCTACGTCCCTTCGTGACATCAACTCCAAACCAAATTACCAGCGAGGCAGCCGTGCACATCGCAAAGAGAAACGGGAATCCCTGCCAGTTATTCCCCGTCTTGTCGATGATGACCTGGATGACGTTTGGCCCTACCATGGAAGAAACGCGGTTCGACAGACCGAAAAGACCGAAGAACTAGTCAATCAATGTAAGCGAATGGGACAGGAACTATGTGCGAGATACGCGCCATGTTGTCAAAACCGGGTGGACTGAGCTCAGCCATCATTGTGAGAGAGTACACGTAATAGGGCGCCTGGAAGAGGCCAAACAACACATTGTACGCCCTGATGAGAATATAAAAAACACAACAAGAAAAATGCAGAATCTTCACAAACCAGAACTCCCAGACGTTGTGGAACCTAATGTACCCTTAGAGGGGGCATGAAAGAAATTGTAAGAGACCGACCCAAGTTTTTCTGTCCATATTCCAATCATACCCCACAGCGGCATTAAAATCGTGACAACGTTCGTGACCACAAACTATGCCATTGACAGTCAAATAAGAAACCACGGCAAAGCAGCGATACACACCATCTTCTTTGTGTTAATCTTCCAATATTTCTGGATGTACCAGAAGGCGAGAGTGCCGATTGTCGAAGTAATCGCCTGAGACAAGCCCAAGTATGTATTTTGCAGGAACGAGAAGCTAAACTTGTCATTCTGACATATACCAATGAGGGTTCCGGTAGTATTAAGCCCCTGTCCAAGAAGGTGTCAGGTGCAGCCTGAGATTCAGGTAACCAAAATAACAGTACGTCTGCAAGAAGGAAGTAGGAGAATAGATACACGAATGTGTAAGGAAGGTACTTGTATGTCTTCAGCGCAGCCCAGATCTAATGTTCTCGTGAGTTTATTTCTCAAGGATATTTTGTAAAATACTCACCTGCTTCCATCCAACCGTCAGGTAATGTTCGCCTTTAGGCAATTTGGGGCCTGGCCTATGTTCCTGGAAGACAACTGGAGAGTTCTCAGCAGGAAGCCTGGAAAAGACCAGCCGATGCATACTCACACCACCAGATACCCAATACCACCCAATACGTGTTGACACTGCACACTAATCAATACGACCACTCAAACTCGCAAACATTATGTAAAAACTCACACTACGATGACATAATTGTCCACCTTGGGGTTGTTCATCATCGGGAGCAAAAGCGTCAAGTTCAGCAATAACGTGGTTATAAATCCGACATTACTATGAACCTGTATGAAAGATAGTCACGATCAGCTTCTGACGCCAACACGAAGCCCTGTGACGCACAGTAAAGATGTTGGTAATCCTATTCTTCTCCAACGATTCCTCTTTCTCGTAAACTTCAAGAGGAATCTCGCCACTTTCATACTTCTCTCTCAACTGGCGGGCATGCGGGGTATTGCGTGCGAGGCGAGGGAATACAGCGGCATAGAAAACTAGAGTAACACTGTATGAGACGAAACCGATGATGTACAGAACCATCGCTAGGATCCATCGGTTCGGCGCTGGGCAAAACGGTCAGACGTCAGGGAAACGTAGAACACCCGGAAACGTACTGGTAAGCGCCATACAAGCATACTGTGCAGCCCAGCACACCACTGTGACAGCGAACAGCAACCACCGTCCGAACGTGCCGTAGTCAGCAGCAGAACCGATAGTTGTTAATATGACTGTCATGATAGCAAAACTAATGCCATTTGTGGTCAGCACCACGCTGGAGACTGACTTGGTGCCGCTACCCCAAGGAACGACACATTGGCCAGAAGCAGTATCTGCGAGGCATGATGAGCCAGGGCCTGCAACTGGATCATATCCCGCTGCTGTGGCAAGTCCCTGGAACAGGGTTCCTGTATAGTTTAAACCAACACCCTGGTTGTATTACGCGTGAATAACTAGAGGAAATATGTCATGAATACCCGACAGACTCACATTGCCACCGTTTGAGTAAACTGGAATTTGGCTTGGTCAAGCAATAGCATGAGGAAGTACATGTGCTGGTACGCACGGTAATAGCTCCACAACTCCCTTCTGGTCATGAGCGGTTCATTCTTGCTGATGGACGATATAGCAATTTGGTTCGCGTCCTGGTCAGACTTGTTGTCTGACTTGATGTCCACAACACGTTTCACATCAGTGTGGAAGGCACTGGGCACTACGTTTTCCGATGGAGGTGACGTGGACATGGTGGTCGAGAACGAGGACGAGATAGCGAACAAAGACGCAGCCGGCAAACGTGATTGAGGTCCATGTGCAACTCTGTCTTCTGCATTTAATGGCTATCAGCGTACCTTATGGGGCTTAGCACAACTTGAAGTAATACTGATGTTCATCAACGCTCACTTCTGAGTTAAGAAGTTTGTTTCCTTATCATTCGTAATGTTTTTGGGAAGAGATATAGAAACTGGACTGATACTTGTAGCCCCAGGTTATCAGGCCAGTTTGAGAACATCGTTGGCAGTGAGTCGTGACAAGACTTCGAAATGTTTCTGCCAGATGATCCGAACAGAAGGGTTGCGGGTGGCTGTGCCCTAATTCGGGACTTTGTTCATCAGTGGACTGACCACCAGTGAGCGCTAAATGCTGTCAGCCAAACGATCGGACTGCCTTTGAAGTGACTCGAACTGTGATGTATTTGACAGTATTTGACCTGCATCTCTGGCAACGTTGTCCTGACATGATGACATGAATCAGAAATGTCCGAGGTCACTTCAAAAAGCAACATATATAACGACCGTTCTAGTGAGCATGCCTGCGCTGCTCAGCTGCCCACCTCACAGCATCCCTCCGCCCCTTCGTGACATCAACTCCAAACCAAATTACCAGCGAGGCAGCCGTGCACATCGCAAAGAGGAACGGGAACCCTTGCCAGTTGTTCCCCGTGTTGTTGATTATAACTTGGATGACATTGGGTCCTACCATAGAAGAAGCACGGTTTGACAGACCGAAGAGACCGAAGAACTAGTCGATGAAAGTCAAACGCAATGAGATGGGAACTATGATGAAGCCAAAATACACACCATGTTATCAAAACCGGGCGGACTCAGCTCGGCCATCATTGTCTGAGAGAACGCGTAGTAAGGCGCCTGGAAAAGGCCAAATACGATGTTGTATGCCCTGAGAAGAACATAAAATCACCGCAGAAAAAAAAGCGGATCCTTGACGAACCAGAACTCCCAGACATTGTGGAACCTGATGCACATGTTAGAGGGATGATGACTGCAAGAAACAAGTCAAACGGCACTGACCCAAATTTCTCTGTCCATATTCCAATCATACCCCACAGCGGAATCAGAATAGTGACAACATTGGTCGCCACAAACTGTACCGTCGATCAGATAAATGACTGCGTGAAAGACTAGCGCTACACACCATCTTCTTCGTGCTAATCTTCCAATATCTCTGGATATACCAGAAAGCGAGAGTGCTGATTGTCGAGGTGATTGCCTGTGACAAGCCCAAATATGTATTTTGCAGGAATGAGAAACTGAACTTGTTGTTCTGGCATATGGAAACTAGGGTTCCGGTAGTGTTCAGCCCCTGTGCAAGAAGATGTCAGGCGTGGCTCAAGATTACAATCGATCAAACAGTACATCTGCAAGAAGGAAGAAGGAGAACAGGTACACGAAAGTGTAGGGAAGATGCTTGTATGTCTTCAGCGCAGCCCAGATCTTGTTTTCGTGAGTCGATTTCTCAATGATATTTTGTAAGATACTCACCTGCTTCCATCCAATCGTCAGGTACCGTTCACCTTTAGGCAATTTTGGGCCTGGCCTAGGTTCCTGGAGGACAACTGGAGGGTTCTCAGCAACACTGTTTGAGACAAGCTACAATATGCTTACACCACCAGATACCCAGTACCACCCAATACGTAGTGACACTACACGTCAATCAATACAACAACTCAAAAACTCAAGCGATAGAAACTTACAGCATGAGGACATAATTGTCCACCTTGGGGTTGTTCGTCATCGGCAGCAAAAGCGCCAAGTTCAACAACAAAGTGATAATATATCCGATATTACTATGAACCTGTGTCAAAAGACCATTAGCTTCCGACGACAAAACGCAGCCCCTACAACGCACGGTAGAGATATTACTGATCCTATTCTTTTCCAGGGACTCTTCTTGCTCGTAAACTTCAGGAGGAATCTCGCCACTTTCGTACTTTTCTCTCAACTGGCGTGCATGCGGGGTATTGCGTGCGAGGCGAGGGAATACAGCGGCATAAAAAACAAGCGTCGCACCGTATGAGACGAAACCGATGATGTACAAAACCATCGCAAGGACCCATCGATTGGGAGCTGCGCAAAACGGTCAGACGTCAAAAAAACGTAGGACGGCCGGAAACGCACTAGTAAGCGCCATACAGGCATACTGTGCAGCCCAGCACACCACTGTGACAGCGAGCAGCAACCACCGTCCGAACGTGCCGTAGTCAGCAGCAGAACCGACGGTAGTGAATATAGCTGTCATAATAGCGAAACTGATACCATTCGCAATCAGCACCACGCTGGAAACTGACTTGGTGCCGCTACCCCAGGGAACTACGCATTGGCCAGAAGCAGTTGTTGCAAGGCACGACGAGCCAGGGCCTGCAATGGGATCATATCCCGCTGCTGTGGCAAGCCCCTGGAACAGGGTTTGTGTATAGCCCAGAGGACCGACGCCCTGGTTGTGTGAAGCGTGAATGAAAAGAGCGAGCCCAATAATACTCGACCAACTCACATTGTCACCATTATAGTATACTGACATGTAGTTTTGTCAGAAAATGGCATAGGGGATGACATGTATTGGAGCGCACAGTAATAACTCCACAACTCCCTCCTGGTCACGAGCGGTTCGTCCTTGCTGATGGATGAAATAGCAATGTGGTTCGCGTCTTGGTCAGACGAATTATCTGACTTGATGTCCACAACCTGTTTTGCATCAGCGTGGAAGGCACTGGGCACTAGGTTTTCCGATTGAAGTGACTTGGACATGGCCAAACCCGATATACCAGGTCAGGTAGAGAACAAGCGCTGAAACTGGAAGGACGTTAGTATCACGACTGGGTGGGTGAATTATCCATTTCACCTTTAATATGAATACCGGTGGGAGGGTGGTGACAGGTGAAAGGAAGGTGATTTCGTGTTACTAGGTCTGTTCGAGTAATTTTCAACACCTCCGACGGTAAGCCATTCTTGAGCCACTCCGACCCCGATATTGTCCAGCGATAACCGTCATTTATATTCGGATTTACACTTGAGCCAACGAGGTATGTATTGCCATACCCGAGGTAGCGGCGATGTGGCCTGAGCTGTAGTAATAATTACATAGGACAAGCCGTGAGTGAGACCGTTTGGGCTCTCCATCGTTATGCACATGTGCATGCCCAAATTTTGGTTAGGCGTACCTTATCATATGGGAGCTTATCACGAATTTAATGGTCACAAGGACCTCCCGTTTGCAGCTGCATCTCAGCGCTCACTTCTGAATTGAGCTTTGTTCCCTTATTCGAAGGGCTTCCTATCGTGTTATCTTTTGGGGAAGAGATAAAAATCAGGTAGAAAAGTTACAAACCCATACGTACATAGTGTATGTTTTAGCCCAGACCGTCAGCTTAGCTAGGAGCCCCAGCTGCAGACAGGCTTAGGCAGAGAACATCTGAGTTCAAGAATGGCAGTCGCAGGTGGCTGTGCACATGCTCACTTGTTTGCTGGACCACACCACCACGACCGCTGCTGAAATTATCGAGGACGTTGGATTGCCTTTGCAGCGACTCGAACGTTTGGCGGATCTAACGCTGAAAAGATGCACCTTGTTCTATTTGCATCTTGGGCAACGGTGTTTCCGTGGTAGATGGAAGTCAAGTCATGATGGTGCGTCCTGAGTCCCGACATCCACACCCCTTAGTTCCTGCGCAAAGACGAATAAAGCACTCCCGACAGCCTGAGGTTACTCGTAGTGCTGTGTTTCTGTCTCAGCAGCAGTAACCGCCAGCGTGTAGCCCTTACAAAGGCTGGATGACGGTTGTAATTTGCAATCGGAGCGCCCAATATTACGTAGTATTATGCTTTTTGCCATCCCTAGCCAACTAACAGTACTAACAATTTACATTGTTCTTTTCTAGGTACGATTCAACAAATGATACCTGCCCGACACTCTACGAGCCTTTCTCTCGACAACCTCCACGCACCCCTTGTACTATGTTTCTCTGCGCTAGGGTGTCAAGCTCCAGCTCCCCATCGATTCTTGATAACATCCATAACCGTGCTTGGCGTCCGCCAGCAACTGCTCTAGGAGCTGCCGCTCCTCATCCTCCAAGTTCGCTACGAGTTCTTTATCTGGCGTAAAAGATTTGATCTTCTCTTTACTCAACACCTGTTTTGCCACGTGTTCCCTCCACGCTTCCCAAACTCTCGTATCGTTTGGAATCATGCACTCCAAGATCTTCTTCGGCTTGAAGTTTGCAGATGATTTTTTTGACATATCGACGCCTGCATACAGGACGAAGCATGCACACGCCGCTTGTGACCCTCTGTTGGGGAGCGCAAATTTCGTGATTGGTGGTTCACCGAGCGATTTCCACAGCAGATCTGTCTGGATCTTTTCTTTCTCCAGTGACGACAGGAATGAATTGTATGCCCAAGACACTGCAAGTGACGATAGGAACATAATCTGGCCGAACAGTGTTGCTCGAGAAATGAAGAGAAGTTGAACTAGAAACTGTAACAGGAGTAGGAGGGAGCAGAACCCGACGATGTTGAATTCTTCATCGCTGCCCATATCCAGCACGAGTTTGGCCTTGGTTATCGACGTGACCTCTTTCTCTGCGCCCTTCAAGATGACAATGTCATTGCGCATCAAAAGAAATCCATCTCCCCGCGGCGCATATGATGAAGGTTCGACAAGCTTGAAATATAGCTTCCCCGAACCGATGACGAAGCAAGATAGGCCACTGGAGACCATGCCCAGGATGATCAGCCCAAATGCGCGCCAATCACCAACAAATGCGCAAACAAGGCATGTTGCCACGCTGCTGGCGATGGGTATAGCAGCGAACAGGGAATGATAAACCTTTCTCCTCGGTACCTGGCCTCCTTGCCGCAATTTTACGTCGCTGACATCTATAATGCTCACTGACCCCGGTGCGGTTACTCTTCCTCTGAGCTGGATCTTGTCCTTGGTCTCCTTGGTCTCATTTGCCTTTTTGGCTGAGAGGTATGCGAGGTGACCTGTAGTCGTCATATCCGTGCCCGAGAAGACTCCGATGAAACGTGGGCCCTCATTCCCATCCAACCCAAACATTTCTTCAGGCGTTGGGTTGGGTCCGGGAAAGATGCCATCCCAAAATCGTGATTTCGCCAACTGCCCGAATTTCTTGGCAACAGTGTAGCTTCCGGGAGAGTTGTACCACCCAAGCCAACGCCTGCCTCGGTAGAGATGGACAGTGGCCATTGCGGAGATCGCTTCTTCCCCGCCGAAGAACCCCATGACACCAGAGGTGTCAAGGGTGAAGGACGTATCACCGAGTGGCGAGTTGATGGACATCCTGGAATGTCTGGGTGCTGCTCCACCTTGAAATTCTCCAGCCTTATATACACATCATGAGGCATTGCGTAGTTCCTGTGGATACTTTTTAAAATGACCGCGCCTCCTCGCGATGAAACAGCGCAAATTTGATTGGGATTTGTCTGCTATGAATTTGGATCACCACAGCAAGATCCAAGAGAAAGCAAGGACATGAATCAGTAGTTCCGATGCCCATGTTCGCTTGCCGTGTTCAGAATTTCCTTTCCCGGCCTGAATATTCGAGAGAGACGCCCTGACCGCTTTTCTGATGCACCGCGCTCAGTAGCCTTGGGAAGAAAGCTGTGACGCGAACACTGACGAAGGCCTCAGTTTGTAATCCACTTCTCATTGGCTTGAAACTTCTGATCTGCTACCGCCGCCTCGAGAGTTGACCGACCGTGCTGAACGCGACGTCACTTAGCGGACTAGATGGCACCTCCGAGTTTTGCATTCATCCCCCGAAATATTCACAAGGATAGGAAACAGCAAGGCACTTCCGCTCACGTACCATCACCACTTGAACCGACACCTGCCATCGAAAGAGGAGAACCAGCATACCCAGGACCGTCCGTGATCGACAAAGGCAAAGGGAAAGCGCCTGAACCTTCGGCGAAACCAGTCTACAACGAGACAGACATTTCCATCCTTGTTGTTCTCGCGTTTTCGGACTATGCTCTTTGGCTTGACTCAGATCTGAGGAGGAAAACCGAAGAATCACTTCAGAACGAGAGCCATGATGCTGGATGTATGTTTTCATTTTTTTTTCGTATGCGTACCCGACGGGATTTATGTATCTACGCAGTTTTACCTCTCAGCTACCTGATGCGTCGCGCTTTTGGCAGAGAGAACTTGGGTCAAGAATATATGCCGACTGAAGCGAACGTGGTGAAGGCAATTCGGACCTACGCAGGCGACGTGCTGGAGGTTAGAATGCTTGTATCAGCCCCATCTGCATCTGCGTGGTACCCTTCCTGGAAACCGGAGAGGGACTCGCTTGGTTGTTATGAAGTACGGAGGAAGGATTGGTCAACACTATTGGATAACGCGACTCGTGAATTCAGTCGGGGTCAATGGGACGATCGTACTATTTACATGGTAGGTACGTCTCTCTGACAGAGGACCACAATCTGACGATCTTAGGAAAATATACCTGCTCAATATCACACAATACCTGGTATCATCCGATTTGCGCAAGGGTTGCTGTCTCAATGCTGTAGATCATCATCGGACCCGGTTCCAATCCAAAATATTACACTTCCCCCGCATCACTTGGATAAAACCGAGGACCGTCCAAAATGCAAAGGCTTTGCACTCGTCACACTATGTAACGCAGAGTTGTGTCAGATTTTTCTTGAATCGTGGCCTTGGACGCAGCCATTCCAACCCTCCAAATCAGATGACTTGGGTCTCGCTGAAGACGACCTGGAGACAAAGGAAGCCTCGAAGTTCGGGTTTCGCACTCTACCAAAAGCGCGCTGGGATAAATTGAACGAGCAGTATCTTGCTTACCGCCAGAAATTGATTAACGAGCTAGCGGATGCCAACGAACCCCCAGATATCTCACCCGACTTCGATGTACGACTGGTCGCTTATGAGGTTTTGGAAGACATCCCTGTCCCACCTAGGAATGTGACAACTATGTCCTCACCGTACCCCCTCGGCTGTCTCGTCTTTGCCCGAAATCTTCATCTCGAAACAAACAAGACTACACTTCGAGCGCTATTCACTAATGCATTCAAGTCGTCCTCGCTAGATCCCGGTGGAATCGACTACGTCGATTTCAATAAAGGGATGGATTCTGTAAGTCCTTTGGTTTTCCTTGAGTATGCATTCTCAAAGCGTCGTCAGTGCTATCTTCGGCTTGCCTCGCCTGAGCATGGACGTGTTTTGACCGACTACTTTTCTAGTCAGCCCATCGTACAGTCTCACGGTCTTGATGACATGGGCAAGACTCCAGGAGCGTCCCAGAAAGCCATCACGACGGAGATCATCGAGGGTAAAAAGGAGGAAGTCTATTGGGAGAAAGTTCCAGAGAAAGTCAGACGACAGGCTGTGGAGAAAGCAGTGAAGGCTCTGAATGGCAAACAGCCATCGGCTCCCGCACACAGTGCGCAAGAACATTCCGAGGAAAGCAGGCCGCGGAAAAAGAGGAAACGCGGCTGATAACAGACCCTACAACATCCCCAGCCCACACTGCAATAATGGAAGTATTTACAATAAATAGACTGGTAAGCAAAAAAAGCGCATTGCGCCCCCATAGTACAACCCATCGTTGTACTGCGGAAGTACAAATTACACGCCCGACAGTTTGCTGTTTCATTAAAACGATTATACGCCTACAGGCTACCAGAGACAAAATCCATAAACTTGACATCATAAGCAATCCGCGATCTCTTTCATGGTGAGTCTATCATGCATGTTCATGCACCAGCACTTCTCCAACAGTGCCCAAAGTGCGTCATCCAAGCCTCGTTCTGCAACGACTGGGTCTGTGGGTCGAGGTGGAGTCTCGCCCTGACAGACCTTAAGGATGACTTGAGTTGCGAGGCGCACTGACTTCCAAGGTTCTTCGTGGGTCATAAGCTGTGAAGACGTTTCAAAAAACTGGCTCATTAAGTAAACATGGTGGAAGTACCTCGAGGACTGTCATACTAAAGGCGTAAACGTCGGACGCCATTGTACGTTTCCCTCCGCTCTTGCACAGCTCAGCAGGGCACCACCTCAAAGACTCTTGATTGAGGGTGCTGCCACTGCTGACATCGAAGTAGCTCATGATCTCCTCCTCGAGCTATATTAATTTGATAAGTCAAAACGCAATGATCGCCATGAGTGGACACATTACCCTTGTAAAACCGAAGTTGGAAAGCAGTGGTCTGCCGTCCGGGCTGACGGAGATGTTGATCTACAGCGAGGTAAAGATCCTGCTTATCGGTCATTGTCGTCATGACTCACGCTTTGATGTCACCGTGAACAACAGACATGCTGTGCAATAATTTAATGCCCTCGACAATGCCTTTCAACTACAAAATCGGATCAAAATGTTGCTTTCCTTGACGAAAGCAAGGAATGTACCATATATCGGTGGTCAACCTCGGGGTATTCATAGATGTAGTCTTGCAAGGTCCCATTAGACATCCAGGGGCTTACGGTGTAACTGTTACATCGTCAGGAACAGCATACGGATTCCTAAGGAAGCAAACACTCACGGATAATCCCCGTCGCTCTGGCAAAACCCGTATATTGTGAGGATGTGCTCTCCCTTGTCCGCTTCGAAGATTGTTCTCCATATCTCCGCCTCTGTCTTGAACCTCTGCAAATTAATAAATTAAATCCTCATGTCGACAGCGACAACAATATCAGGATAATGTACCTTAAGCGTTTTAGGTGTAACATAGACTGCGCGCAGGACTCTGATAGCAACCTTCTCGTTATTAAGGTAGCATCCTTCCCAGACGTCGGTCCGGCTCGTTCCATTCACAGCATAATTGCTGGTACGCCTCACTTCCCCGCGTTTCAAATTCATGTTCGGAAGTAAAGTCCTGGAAGTCTGGAGAAGATTGTACAAATTACTTTCCAGACCGCGTTCAGCGGTTGTAGAGACGTGTCCCGGAAGGTTCTGTCGATGAGAATGAGATCAAGGGTTCAAGACTAGGGAATGTGGTACCAACCTCTTGCATCACTGTCAAGATCTGGTGCACGACTGTGGTCTGTTGCAGTTGTGCGTCCATGAGAATCTCTTGCGTGTTTTTGAGGTCTCCGAGATATTGCACCATGTGTTCGCTGTCAATCCTTTGGTTCTCTTCGAAGGCAGACTGCCACTTGTGGATCTCGAGGTGGGAATTTATCTGGTCCAATGAGCGAATGAAGTTAGGGCTGAGGAACAAACTCCTCGTACCTGTAACATGTTTAAACAATCAGATATCTGAAGGTGGCATTGTTGGATGACGCCAGCGAGTTCATCCTGTTTGACGAATAGTTTGACTCGAGACATCAAGCACCATGGAGTCATTCTGTCCAGGATGCCTTGCAGGGCGCTGACTTGGTTATCAGCTGCTTTCCAGACAATACCATCTGTGCGCTACCAACCTTTGTGCGCTCGAGGATAGCCTGATTTTCTCATCTGCTGCCATGATTTCGCCTTCGCTCTTGATGACAGTAAGGAAACCGAGGCAGCGTTCCTCGAGTTGTCGCATGCCATTCCTATCATAGTAGTCATTACGGTCAGTGGGAAGAACAGAGGCAGTGTGGAGAAATGATAAGTACCTGTTGGACTCTGCCTTAGCCAGCAGGTTAATGAGGATGGTTAGAACACTAAATGCTGGAGCCAGCCATGTCAATGGGGTAGCCTGTGTTGCCTGAGACAGTGGTGAAGCGGCATTGATGTGAAAGGAGGACGCAAAAGTGGCCATAATGAGCCGTAAGCTGCCTGAGATACTTGGTCAACAAAATACTTGAAGGTCGTTCGTTTATAAGAGGGCGCGTCAGAAGCTGGGTGTCGCATTATGATGCTGCTCAAGCTCCTTTATATCATTTGCTTGCTGTAAGCTAGAGATATTACGGTACCAGGACTGGTTCACGCACCAGCATAGGATGACACTGCAATCAGTTGTTGTTTTAGAGGAACTTCAAGTTATCTATAGAACTTGTCTATTGAAGGAACGTTGGTCCGAATGACACACGGTCACGGCAGCTTTTATTGTGTCACCTAGGGGAGTCTTATCGTGCAAGCTGAAGCTGTTCGCTATGACTAACTTATTAGTGGCTACCGCGCTCAACAATTGTGATGGAAAGAAGTAACCCAACTTGAAGTACAACAAACAGCAAGCGTAAACACATGTCATGGTAACATTACGTCGTGATATAAGTAGTGATCAGTACAAGGCGGAAGGACTGAATATTTTTACGAGTGATCTGGAATAACAATAATTTATCCGAAATGAATTTCAGGTTTGTATGGAAAGTGGTTCACCAATTAATTCCTGGTCTTCTTCGAGGACGAAGTAACGTATACAGGCTCATCATTGTTCAAGGCCGTTGAGAAAGTCTGACTGGTATCTGAACTTCAATGAAAGTTCCCAATGATGGCGGACGTCTATCAGGAGCAAGATAAGCATCTTCAAACACATGCAGTAGTAATCTCTATTCCAACGAAATGGTTCTGAGGTGAGTGGCCGCTTAGCGAGTGCGAGAAGCAGCAGTACTTGTTTGTTGAGTGCGCGAAAGACACGGGAAGCACCTTGCTAGAAGCACAAAGCAGCTAATGTCTGGAACATATTCAACATCCATCGGGGAACGAGGTCTGTTCGTTGCAGCAGAAACACTGGTTCTTCCAGTCTGCAAGGTTGCTGGGATAGTTCCGTCGGTCACATCGGATGTGCCCACTGGGGTAACGCTGCTGTTTAAAGCACCAGCATTCGCTACATTAGTATTGGAAGTGTGGGCTGGTTGGGGAGGGGGACGTGGTCGCTGCACCACATGCCTTTTCCCGCTGATGGCATTAGCGGTGCGCTTCGAGGATGTCGTCAAAACGTGTTCGTGGATGTCCACAGCTCAGAAAACTTACATATTTACCTCGGGTTGCGAAGACATCCACAACGGGGATTTCCCTGGGGAGGGGAGTATCACCCTCAAGAACGGAGGAGCGAGAAAAGAGACGGTTCATCAAGTTCTTCATTCGTGAGTCTTCGGCATGGCGCGTGGTTGTAGTAGCGCAGTTGTTGCGTCCAGGCGGGGAATGCGTATCAAACTGCAGAAGGATGGTGAGATGTGCATTGAAACTAGTGTATCATACGGACTATTACTAACTTGATCGAAGAACCTAGGCGGGATTCCAGCGCGTTGTAGGCGAGGCTCTGGGCCTGAGATGGTCTTCTGCAGGACTGAAGTTAAGGATACTACAAAACGACGAGCATGAACACGTACTTTAAGAAATTCCTGTCCGGACTGAATGGCATGTCAGCAGGAAGCCTGGCGTGATGATATAATTTGCTCACCTGCTGGGACTCCTTCTCTGACTCGTTTTGAGGAACTGTCCATGTGCGAACGAGTTTGTCGTCACAGCCAGTGGCGATGAGCTGGCTGTCCTCGGAAAAGGCCACACAACGGACGGTAGAGAAAAATGTCCAACATAGGGTCTACGACCCCAAAGGACTCAATCTGATGCAAAAAAAAAAAAAAAAAAAACGGACGGTAGAAGGGTGCTCGAGTGGCTCGCCGATCGGTTCGAATGTGGTCAGGTCAAAGAACCGCGAGGTAGCGTGTGACGTGGTTGTGAATTTGGTACCATTGGAAGCAATGACTAGCGAGAGAAAAAATTGGGCATGCACGCCGAACTGTTTAATGATGTCTCCAGTGGCAGCATCTGATATTCGTATGTCATTGCTGTTTCCACTGACGAGACGGTGGCCATCTGGGGTGAATGCGACTTTGAATGCCGGCTGTTCTATTTTCAGTAGCTCTTCTCCGGTTGCTGAATTCCAAACGATGATGTATTCATCCGTGCCCGCTGCTAGTTTTCTTCCATCGGGGGAGAATGCGACTGAGAATGCATTACCAGTGCCCACATGGAGTGGCCCGAGGACAATTTCGCCCGTCTTCCTCTTCCACACACACACTGTTTTGTCCCATGATGCACTTGCAAATGTCTCGTTGTCCGGCGCAAATACGACACCCCAAACATACCTAGTATGCCCCTTGAACGAGACCCGCACTCTCTTTTTCGTCTCAACTTCCCAGACCAGGATACATCCGTTCGTCGCTCCACTCACAACCCAACGCCCATCGAAGGATGCTGCAACCGTTTGGACTCCATCATCGTGACCCAACAAAGGCTCCCCCACTTGTTTCCCCGTGTCCAAATCCCACACCCGAAGACTTTTGTCGCAAGAGCAAGTGACGAGGAGACGTGTGCCTGGGATGAAAGCTACGCCGGTTACCCCGTCTTCATGACCCTTGAGCGTCATTTCGACATGGGGTGGTTCTTCCCGAGTTGAAGATGCTCCATGAGTGGTAGCTGCCATTGGATCTTGTTAAGCAACTCTGTCAGCAAGAGCATCGAGGAGGGAGTAGTCAGCTGTCACTTACATCCGCTATGGTGAGTGGTCTCTAAGCTGCTTTATCTACAGGATACTTACTATCGCTGAATCCCCATGTCGGCATTGCTGTAGACACGTCTTGTCCCGCATACAGGTTCTACGTTCAGCGCTTCTTTCAGTAGCTTTCTTGGGAGAAAACAGATGTACCTATTGTTGGATTACTTATCTGAACTACAGAGAGTAGTGAAAAGAATATTCGAGTATCGTGGTTTGAGCGCAAGTCCAAAGGGGTTTTCAGCCCCAAACCATCGGCCCACATCAGTGCATAAATCGAAGATGAGCCGTGATTCCAAATTGACCAAAGTGGTCCCAAGCGATGCGTCTGGCGAAGTCTAGACACTGTAGAATGGTACATACCATTGAAAGCTTGACGATCGGAAGTCGGACGGGTACTCGGTGTGACTAGTGACAACGCGCTACGTCACGCCGGGCATAAACGCGTCGCGTCCGCTTGGATGTTTAATCCACAACTGTGAACACCTCCCACGAAATGCCAGCACAGAAACGTAAATCAGACGCCGGGGAAGCGTCATCTTCAAAGAAATCTCGCGCGTCTCACGCCTCTGCAAAAGCCCTCATCAAAGCCATTCTTGCCAACCCTGATTCGTATCCGATCCCAGATGACGAGGACGATATCCGTCAGTCCCTGGTTGATTTGGCTCAGTACGTGAGAGAGCTTGAGCAGGATGCTCAGCAAGGAGGGGCTGGTTCTGCGCCCAAGGCTATGAGCGCTGATCAACTTGCTGCGGCTGCCGAAAAGATCAGAAAGGCTGCTAACAGCGGTATCAAGAAGCAAATGACCGTAGGTTTCCTCGGCCATCCTCACCGTCAACCTGTTTCAAACTCTCATTACAGTGGAAACCGTCGTGCAAGGCTGGTTCTGCCAAGTGGTGCTACGATGGCGTTTGCGCGGATCCCGTTGTCTTCGGTACCATGCTGGGCCTTGGCGGTCCACCAACATGGAAAACGCACAAGATGCCCATTGACGACTTTGAAAATCGCATTGGTCGCCTCGACGCGTCTGCCAGGTCTGTCTCGTTGATTTCTTTTTAAACGCGACTTGTTCTTACTGGGAAGCAGGTATTCGAACCTCTACATCAAAGGTCAGCACGTAAACATCCGCTGGAGCGATAGTGGAGAGTTCAAGTTTAGTGGAACGTATGGCGCATAACTTATTCCCCGTCTTTCCTCCCAAATGTTTTGAAGAGTATACAACTGCTTCTTTCTTGTCACTAATCGATCCCATAGGTACCTACTTGCCCTTTAATTTACCCTACACTTCTGTTGCTCCTGTGAATGGTATACAACATTTTCGAATTCATTGACATCCTTGATTCTGAGAGAGAGAGATAAACCGGGAAGAACTTCTTCGCATGAGATGTGCCTGATCACGTGATGATAAAGCTGACCTTGGATGTGCGCGTGTTCCTTGGTTTGTCACAGCTATGTCTACGCCAGCTCAAGCTCAAGCTGGGCCTCCCGCTGAGCAGGATGAAAGTACAGTACGGAAATTGTTTTCGGTGGCTCAGGTTCGCACAAATGTCCTGAATTTCACGCACTACCGCTGCTAACTCAACCCGCAGCAAGTGTTCTTGATGTGGGCGTTCTCTCAGCTTGGTGCGTAACCAAGTATTTGTTTAGCAATTCAAAGACTCACCGGAGACTGTCTAGCTATGAAGTTATTTGCACCGGCAAAGCCTCCAACTACCCCTTCTGTAACGACACCTGGTAGTGGCTCTACACAGTCGGGTGAGGCCAATCCATTCCTTTTACCCCCAGTGCAGGCATATACCGCTTGGAAACTTGGACAACCTTTATCCATGCATGTATACTTTTCGACCTCGCCGAATGGCGATGTGTTTTCCCGTCAATGGACGTCAGCATGGCGGGAAGACCAGGACGCCGGTCTTCCTAACTTCATCTGGGAGAACATCACATTCGGAGACTGGAAGGAGACAAGGGTTGTCAGTTATGATATCAACCTGCCCCTGGTGAGCTGCTCAATTTAATTCCTCTGATGCCCATATGGAAACTTGTACAGGCCGTGCAAAAGAATGGATCCTTATGGGCGGATGTTTTCCTTGTCAAAGATGGCGCAAGTCCGGACCCTTCAAATCCCTCTTTTGATCCTCAATCAGTGCATCATGTTCGGAAACGTGAGACTAGAACCTGCCGGCTTTCAGTCCGACATTGACTCGTGTTTTGTTTTAGTTTTGACGCGGTACATGCCCAAAGCGAAGGCACGCAAAGAGAAAAACTTGCTTTCCAATCCAGATGACAATGAAGAGGGGGAACAGGTTCGTCACGGTATTATTTTTATTCCTACCGTTTTCGACGGGTAGGATGATCTAGGAGCTGCAAGATGATGTCATAGTGTCGCATTGGCACAAGGTAGGTCCTAATTTGCATGAACCTTTTCAGAGATAAACCCTTAAACAGAATCTTACTTTGGCCCTCGTTTCCGATGAGACGGTCATAGCAGTCGACAAGCTGCCCCCAGTCCTGGTTGAGCGTATGTTTGTCTAAGAGGGATTAGGACATGTGATTCACTATGAATTTAGATGTGCATCTCATTCCAGGTGCCCGGGATGACACTGGCACTAAAGGATTCTACAAGCCCATAATCTTCCCCAATGACTTCTGGTTACTTCGTTCCCATCTGGTCGAAATTAACACAACGACCCCGACGCTGCCGCTTGAAATAATTTTCCAACCCATGTCATACTTCAAATTCCAGATATTCGCGTCGATGAGTCATGGCTTCGACGAAGCCCTCAAGCAACAAGGTGGTGGCGCAGGAGCGGAACTTGACGAGGTCAAGCGAATGCTTACCGAGACTAATCCGTGGTTCCTGGGTCTGACTGGATTGGTTAGCATGCTGCACGTTGTGTAAGTGCTTCGCAGCGATTGTCGGATATCTTATTGATGGTGGCGTATGAAGCTTTGAGATGCTTGCCTTCAAGTCAGATGTTTCACATTGGCGCCAGCGGAAGGAGCTGGTGGGCGTCTCAGTCAGGTAAGATATTACGTGGTACAAGTGTCATTGGCCGTCATAATGGCTCCTTGTTCTCCTTCACAGAACGGTATGTTCCCTTTTCGGGAGACGCCCCAGTCACAAATTGATCGGCGTATTGGATCATTTTCTAGATAATAACGAACGTGTTCGTCCAGACCGTGGTGCTTTTGTACCTCATTGACAACAACGAAAACACGAGCTGGATGATCCTCATGGGGTCTGGGATGGGTGTCGTTATCGAAGCCTGGAAGGTGCACGGGGAACATTTCCACAAAATTGAGTTGGGCTGATTCTATTCGTAGATCACGAAGGCTGTGGATATCAGCATCATCGCTGCTCCGTCTGGCTCCCAACTGCCCTATACGCTTAGTATCAAAGGTACAGTTTGTTGCACGTGTTTTCGTGAGCTAACATATCACCACATCAGATAAGCACGTCCTCAGTGATGATGAGAAGAAAACACAAGAGTGAGTTCATGTGGTCGCTACGGCTCCAGGACAACAAATATTGACATAAGTATTTGGTCAGGTATGACAAGCTTGCATTCCGCATCGTGTCATACTTTACTATTCCATTACTCGCCGCTTATACGATCTACTCGTTGATTTATGAGAGCCATAGAGGATGGTACAGTTTCGTGATCTCGACGCTGACTTCATTCGTGTATATGTTTGGTTTTGTAAGTCCACTTGCATGCTGCTGCTCGGTTGCCTGACATCGATGGATTGTGACAGGCACAATTGATACCTCAACTTATTATCAACTATAAGCTCAAGGTTCGTCTTGCCCATACAGGGAGTACATCCTACTAAGACTTGTGGCATTCTTTCAGAGCGTGGCGCATATGCCCATGAAGGCAATGATATATAAGACGTTATCGACAGTTGTCGACGATCTTTTTGCGTAAGAATTTACGATAAATCAGTGTTCATGCTCACAGGACCTTTCGCGGGAATGCAGGTTCTGCATCAAGATGCCGGTGCTGCACCGGCTAGCATGTTTCCGGGATGATGTTGTGTTTTTAGTTTTCCTGTATCAGGTGGGTCCACGAGCTATTTCTCCACATGATAATCTGGACTCAAGCCTCGTGTTCGTTTAGCGCTGGATCTACCGCATTGATCCTAAACGAGTGAACGAGTATGGTCAGGTGATGGCGGAGGATGTCGTCAAAGCTGACGGTAGCGGTGAGACGAAGAAGGACAAGTAGACCTCCAGGGACCTCGCCTGGTCTACCCAACGTCTCGGGATGCTCAGTCTAAAGGAATGTTCTTCTGCGTGTTAACTCCTGTGGGGCCTGCGTAAATGCGATTGACTCACCCTAGAATGTCTTTGACGTACTTACTAGATCAGATTGAGTGTATTATCTGGAGCACCTATTGATTACTGTGATCAAGAGTCATCCTGTAATATCCCAATGGATCTTATGCGCGAAATTCTGTGAACTTGCTGTGAACTCTGAGGCTTTCGCCGTCGTTGGAACAATTTGGACTTTTGCGGTGATATTGGATAAAATTAGACAGAAACACGCGAATTTTACCGCACTCGTCGGACCGTGGAAAGGATTTCTTAATAGGGATAACTATGACACTGGATTCATATCCGCATCTCTGACTCTCCCGCCAACGCTCGTGTTGTAATCTCCTTGCTTTTCATCTTGCCAGGTCATCGTCAACCATGGCGAATGTCCGCCAGGATGGTATAACCAGGGCCTGCAAATGTCTCAATATTCGAATACAATCCAGCCACTCGCCACCGCAGAGCACTCCTCCAGATTTTCTCAAGGACAGTGCAACAGATTCTGACTATACACTGATTTATGCTGGTCAAGACGGTCTCAGCGTTGTAAGTTGCATCTTTTGCATGCTACAATTTTTTTCGCCGTGAATTCTGATTTTTATCTTATAGGCCCATCCTCAAGTGACGATGAGAACACGCAAAATGGGTCTCCCTCTGGGCGATACTAATCGATGCATCCGGTATACGACATTGACATGTTTATTGTGTCAGACCCTCGCATATCGTGTACAGCAGTTGGTCCCATTGGATGTGGAGGGTCAAGAGGGACCCTTGCTTCCGACTTTTGACTGGGTTGAGCAGGACATACTGATGAGCAGTTGCGGCTGGATTGAGGTACACACGGAGTGCCTGGTGAGTCGATTTTCCCCGTTGTTAATGAGGGAGGCCAGTTCTCTAGTCTCTAGCACAATTCCCTCAATCCTTCGTGCAGTTTCCGGGGATATGTCACGACCGGCATTTCCTTGCTGGCATGACGTCTATGACGTGATGTCATGATACATGATTCCATCCAGGGTTTGCTGACCGGGAACTTTCTTTAGGATCCTGATGCCGTCCTCAGGCTCTTATCCTCAACGACATATTCCCCGATTTTCAACGTTGCTGTGCCGCCAGATGCTTCCAAGCCCCCTGCGCAGCCCTCTTACATCGCCTCCACTGACGTGTCGCGCTCTCGAGTACCTTCCGACCCCATACTGTCAAATTTGCGTCCCTTGTTTCCACCCGCACCCTTTATACCTTCACATCCCGTTTTTGCTCACCTGTCGTCCATAGCTACATCCAAGTCACAGGCTCTAAGATCGTCCGCCGAGGAACAGTTCACCGCTCTTATACGAGATAAAGTCGCTGAAATTGAGAAGGCCGAAGAGGATCTGAAAAAAGTCGTAGAGAGTCTGTGGAAAAGATTTCTCGAGAGCTTAGGTCAGACGGAGAAGGATTGGGGCGCTTCCGATGGCGCTAAACGGAGGGATCCCGCAAGAAAGTCCAATATTAACAATGCAGGAGGGTCTGCCGTTGGTTCGGTTTCCGTACGGGACTTCGTGCCTGTGGTCAGCCCCGGCAGAATGGTATCCCCTTCGTCATCGGTACCAAGAGTATCTTCGCTTTCCGCGTCTCTTGCAACTTCGGCATTTCATCATCCTCGTGCCCTTCGGGAACGAAATACTCATTCCGGAGAGACAAGGGATATTCCACGGTCGCCGCCGCCTTATTCTTCCCATCCGTCATCTGTCGGCTCAACTGACAGTCGGTCACCACTGTCATCTACTTCATCGGGAGAATTATTGCCGCTGGCAACGGGCGAAAGTCTCATTCAGCCGTTCAAACGCAGCATGGACGAGGCTCGGGACACGGCTGCGAGTTTCCGATATTTTATTGATATGGAAGCTGAGATGGAAATGATGCGCGGACGTCAGCGACTCTCCGCAACCGGAACGATCCAGGAGGAGACGCTTAAGGCGACCGAAGGTCCGCAACCGAGTAACGCTTCCACTTCTGCCAAGTCCCCGGGTGACGAAGAGAACAAGTTGAAGGGAGCGAAAGAAGGCCGATTGCAGAAGCCTGATCACGGCAGGAACGGCGATGAGTCGAGGGGAAAGCGCAAGGTAACATTTGACATTAAACCAGACGCGCTAATAGCCGACGGGCCGAATTCGGAGAAAAATGGAAGTAGTCAAGGACGTGATATGCAAGGTACCTAACGATGACGATTTTTATGCGATTTTCTGACGGTACTTTTGATCTAGACATGATATTTGATTTGGATGGTGAAAGCAGTGATCGGGATTCCTCAGATGCAGCCCCTGTCCTTCCATTCAAAGAGATTCCGCACATTCCCCGACGCCGTGTGCGCCCTCGCAACGGTACGAGCCACGTTGGCCTACCAACATCACTATCGACATTGAGGCCGACCTCCTTACCTGCCTATGCCTCACTTCAAGTCCAACTTTCTAAAGAGGAATCGACAGGTAGAACACAAGCCCCAATATCTGAGCAGTTGCACACACAACATATCCGACGCACCGTCGGAGCTGAGACTTCTGATCCACAAGAACAAGAAATTTTGAAGTTGGTTGCCGCTGATACCCCAAGTCACAGAGGTGCTTGGAGGCCCAATAGCAGAGCATGGCAGTTGTTTGTCAGTAGACAAGATGGCAAGAACGGCGTGGCTGGGGCGTTCATACCGGAGGAGTTTGAAGTTGGCGCCACTGTCAGCGACACTGATGAGAGTGACGATATAACTCCGGGTCAGTTTCTTCTTCCCTTTCATCAAATCACCATGTTAAAGACTCGTATAGGTACACGCCATCATCCCCCAGGAATCCCGGGGTCGTTACCTATCAGTATTGGGCCGTTATCACGCAAACGAGAGCCTCTGTCATTGGCGTCATATCAGCCAAAGACATCCCTTTCTGACCGTGCTAGTGCCATGGTACCCCCTTTGCCAAATATGGTTAATAGGCATTCTGCTTCTGCTTTGCGAAAAGCTTCGTACGCCGCTCGTGATCGTGACCGTTCTATGGACCCCGGAACGCTGGATTTTGTCTCGCAGGATGATGAGGGTGATGAGGATGACGAGAGTGATGACGAACTTTCTCAAATGGACCCTCCCGATGAAGCACGGGGCAGACAGCGGGCACTCAAGATTCTCGAAGCTCGAAGTAAAGTTCCAGCGGCTGGGATGTGGAGAAGCCTGGCATAAGCGCGCCAAGTTGATGATCTACATTATTCTTTCAATAATAACCGTGCTTCATCTACTTTGCACCTTGATAGCCTACTTGTATCAATACTGTTGTACATGGTATGGATGTTTTGGTTTGCATTGAAATTCATCATAGTTTTTCTATTCTCTCTTTCCTGTGATCCCGGATCAATTGTTGGATGAGGAGTACATGCGTAATTTGAACCCTTGACTTTAAGTTTTGACATACTGTGTGGCGTCGAATGTCACGATAGAGTGCCATCGCGGAGCCCCAATGAGGTACGTTTGCGCCAGGTTGTCAAAGTATATTGCCCTGACGGGGCTCGTAGTACACCATCTTGTTCCTGCAGATCTTGTTAGACGCTTCGCTTATTTCCGAGTCCACCATGGCACCTCATGGTAGTTCGGAGCATGATGTCGCAAATAGAATCCGAGATCTGACGACTTCATGGGTACATGGAGGAATTCCAAGGGCGCATGGATTGTTGCCACTGTTACCCTTCACCCAAGCTCGTGATTGAATATAATCAGGGTGGGTTTGGGGTGGGTGGAGAAAAGTCGGAAACGTCAAGATCAGGGAGGCCGGTCGGATGACGTGAGGAACCTGATCAGCGAGTCTGTGGCTGTGTGATAAGATAACGTTGAAGTTCCTGGATTCCGTGAGTAACAGTGCCAACGATCAGCGCTCAGCATCAGTCATCCTTGGACATTAATCATGAGCGCAATTAAAGTTGGCGTTATCACAGGTCAGGGTTGTTATTGATTTCAGAGAGGTTCAAACTGAGCCAAAAATGTGTTAGTTAGCGATACAGCGTCGGTGGATGCAGCTGCAGACAGATCGGGTCCAACAATCCAGGAAATCGTTCGGCAACGGGGGCATGGTTGCGTACGCTCCACTATTCTTCCAGATGACGAACAAAAAATCAGCGAGACAGTGAGAAACTGGTGCAATGACAACGCTGTTGACTGGATCATCTCCACGGGGGGAACGGGATTCGGCGTGCGCGATCGGACACCTGAAGTACTAGATGCCTCTTACTACTACTTTCGCAGGCACTAATTTCCTCCTTCTCAGGCGATCGGTCCCTTATTGGAGCGCACAGCACCAGGAATCGTTCATCTACTGCTAGCAGAGTCGTTAAAGCGCACTCCACTGGCAGCACTATCTCGACCTGTCGCAGGCACAGTAGGAAATACACTTGTCATCACGCTTCCTGGCAGTGTGAAGGCCGTCAAAGAAAACCTGGAAGCTCTTTTTGCAAATGGGTTCATTGAACATGCCATCGATCTCATCAGAGGGGGAACTGGCAAGCAGGTGCATGCTGCTATGGGTTCGGGACATGGTGGAGATCCGCACCACCATCACCACCATCATCATGATCACCCCGTGCCGCAACCTCGGTCAATTTTATCTCATGATCCTTCATTGCCTGGTAAGTCTTCATCCGACATTTTGGCCCGTATCAAAGCATCATGCGATCATCAACAGTTTATGCTCGCCATCGCGTCTCACCATATCCGCAAATATCCCTCGAGGACGCTCTCAAGATGATCGTGCATGAAATTCACCCACTGGGTGTGGTATCTCTTCCTGTCAGTCAAAGCTAGTATGCATCAATTATGTGCTGAGTATTAACAGGTAACACCTGCGCTGGCTGGCCACATCCTCGACGAAGATGTATATGCTCCGCAGAATGTTCCCTCATCCAAGACCACTAGCGTAGATGGCTATGCGCTTCGCTGTTAGCGTTTGCATCTGTCGCATATTGACGGGTTATGCTAATCCAGCCATTAGCGTCTGACCTTCCTGGAACGTACAAGGTTCTGACGTCCAGAACTCACGCCTTGGCCGACGTTCTCCCTGAGGGATCAATTTTTCGAATTAACACAGGAGGGCCTCTCCCAGCAGGAACTGATACAGTGATCATGGTCGAAGACACTGAGCTATTATCAACCGCCAAGAACGCCGATGGACAAGATGCAGAAGAAAAAGAGGTGAAGACCCTCGCGCAGGTTCCGCCAGGCGACAACATTCGAGAACCGGGCTCTGATGTACACAAGGGAGACCTTGTGCTTCAGAAAGGCGAGGTCTTGACAAGTCTCGGAGGCGAAGTCGGGACCCTAACGTTTGTCGGGCGGAAAGAGGTATGTCGACAAATAGGCATGTGTCAGTGTAGAGATGAACTAGTATCAGGTCAAAGTGCATCGCAAACCCGTTGTCGCTATCCTGAGTACGGGAAACGAGCTTCTGGACCTCCAATCCCCTAACCCACTTCCCTCTGATGGTTGGGGAGGCATTTGGGATACAAACCGGCCATCACTGCGGGCAGCCCTCGAAGGAATGGGATATAACGTTGTTGACCTCGGAATTGTTGCCGACGAGTAAGAGGACTAATTTCTTTGTACAAACATCATCTAAGACGGCTCTAGCATCGACGCGCATGTGATAGCAATAAAACAAGGTCTCGAAAGTGCCGACCTTTTACTCACGACGGGCGGGACGTCCATGGGAGCGAGCGACCTTCTGAAGCCCGTAGTCGAACGTCAATTCGGGGGTACGATCCATTTCGGACGTGTGTCAATGAAACCCGGAAAGCCAACTACGTTTGCAAGTATCCCGACAACGCAAGGAGAACATGAGAGGAAATTCATGTTTGCTCTTCCCGGTAACCCTGCCTCTGCCCTGGTCACATTCTACGTCTTTGTCATACCAGCGTTGCGGAAGCTTGGCGGATGGCATGGCGAAAGATGCCACCTGCCCCGTGTGCGTGTGAAGGTACGTGTACTCGCGCCTTCAATTAGTTCTTTCTTGACCATGATACGGTAGCTGGGAGATGCCATGCGACTGGACTCTCGCGTTGAATTCCATCGCGTGATTGTGAAAGCTGGGGAGGGAGGTTTACGAGCAACGAGTACAGGTGGCCAGAGGTCGAGTCGGGTTGAAAGCCTGAGTGGAGCGAACGGCCTTGTGCAACTGCCAACAAAAAGGGAAGGTGGGCCAGATAGATTAGAAGCTGGGAGCTATGCAGATGCTGTCATTATTGGAGAGTTGCAGATGCGAGATCCTAAACTAACATAGTCGCTAGCAACATTCGCAATGAAATCAAGTCCTGTGAGAGATTCCAAAATTTTGGTTTCATCGTCAAATCGATCGCTGACGCTGCTTTGTGGGTATCTCTTCACTTTTATTTGAGTTGGTGCCGTCTTGCGCACGCGGACGAAATTGTATGTCCCGTTTTCAAAAAGTTATTGGGATTCATACACCTTGTAATGATTCATCGGAGAACTGGTGTGCGTCCACCGTCTATGATATCTACCAAGTCTGATACCTGCCTCTTCGCAGCAGTCATATGGCAAGGGCGCGTTTTGGCGGATCAAATGTTGACGACATCTCGTGATACATGGCTGGTTCAAACTTCCGTTTGGTCTCGTATCGACGGCCTCGATTAGAAGGAACGACTATATTCGTTCGATTGGTCTGAGTGTAGGGGAGACTAGGCCTCGATGGACGTTCGCGTCGAAGGAACCGGCAATGACGTACTGACATAGATTTTCTGATCAACAAGTACAAACACATCCTCAGGCTGGCTAGCGAATTTCGTTCTCTGAGCTCTCTCATCATTTTATGCTCGCCGGAACTTAGACGTTGAGCTTCCACACTACTCTGGAAGTTTCAGGTCTAAGTGCCGAAAGCAATGTAACAGCCTGGCTTGTGAAACAATACAACCCCCCGCAAAACTTCTACTGTAAGATCTCCTGATCCTCGTGTCCATCCAAATCCACGAATGGTAGGCTATTCGCGCAGAAGGTCTATCCCTCTTCATGCCGGTGTTATTTTCTGACTAATGGAGAGAGGCGCTCTTGAGGGTGCTTACCAGGTCGAGACATCGTTGTCTGGCCTAGCTTGCGTTCGCGATACCAGACTCTGCGACTGAGTCCACACGATATTAATTCGTGGCAGAGAATGCGGTCTGATGTAGGGCGATGGACCATGGTGCAGCGTCCAAGTCCTCATGATATGGTCATTATCTGAGACATCCTGGTAGGTCACAAATTCTTTGCTTAGTCCGGGTGTTGAAAGTCCATCATCTGGAACAGTCCCCACTTCCGCTCTCTGTTAATTCTCGCTGTCAACTGTGCAGTTTCTCAGCCTTACAATGACGTGCGTGATGAGCGCTATTTCGAACAAGCTCTCTTTTTTCCCTCCACATCCGTCCTCTTCCTGTCGCTGCCGCAAATTTTGGAATCTCAGGCCGGACATCCCTAAATCGTTCATTGACCCTACATCATGCACTTGTATGTTTGTCGATGAGTTCAATTACGTCCTTCTCAACATCCTGCCAGGAGATTACGGTAAGCTGAATCTCATCCCCTCAATAGAATCGTACTCCAACGAAGGAGGAAAAACGCGGCAGATATAGCTTACTTCTCTTAAAATTTGTAAGGCCCAAACTAATGCCGTACTCAGCCCATGAAGAATGTTTTATCATTGTTGTGGATGTGATATGATACAGTGAGCTCAAGTCCATATCTTTATAATGACAAGTGTCCCTAGCGTGAATTTAAGGTGTCACGTAGTGTACATGTTACAAGATGATATGCCAACAGCCAAGAAAATCTACGTTTGGACAGGTTCAAAATTTTTGCTAAGAGCCTATGACTGACGTGCGACGTTGCGCTGCAACGTAGTGCTGACGCTTTTCCAAATCTGAATAAAATAAGATGGGAGTGTATGAGGGCAAAAGGTGAAGAAACATACCATGAGCCCACATTGCAGCTCCAATGCGATTTGATACTGTGAAAACAAGACCGATGATTGGTAGTCCCTCGAGTAGCGCCGCGACAAAACCGAACACTGGTCGTGATTTGAGCAAACACGCAAGCAATGAGATGTTGTGCATACTTCGGTAGTCCCATTTACGCTCCTCAACAAATACAGCTTCCTGATAGGCCGTCATCTTCTTTGTGGCGAAATACTTGCCATGGATGATAGGAGTCGGTATTGACGAAGAGAAGGTAAACCAGAGGGCTTACCGGCTTGTGCAAGTCCTGAGCGGTGCCCATGCCTTTAAAACCCGCAGCGATGAATGTGCCGACAAATGGATACAGTGAAAGGGGGAGTAAGATGACTGAAGTTATGACGCCTCAGGAAATAGCTCTGTGAATACAGTAAAACAAATGGTCACCTTTCTGTATGATCATCTTCCAGAACCACATCTTCAACATCCTGTCCACACGACCCTGGCGTTCATTGACAACGGGTGGGGAATCCCATTCTTCAACATATGGCTGCCAGAAGTCGGGCCCCTTGCCGCGCGAGGCAACTGTTTGGTCCCAGACGCGTTGGCGAGCGACGCGAATATTGCGAGCGACGAAAAAGCTGATGATTGCGGTGACTTGCGATCCTACCAAGAGTATCGCGACGTCTGGTAGGATATATAATCAGCGCAAAGTGTGATAACCCAATAATGAGGTGCACATGTGGATATACTTAAGGGCAACTTGAACCCTAGGAGCGTCTCGTGAGATAGGTCGTCTGCGGTTTCTGTGAATCGTGTTATGTAGCGCACGGAGAAAATGGAGGAAGGATTTGTGAGGATTGCTTTGATGATGCGGCGTTGGATGTTGTACGACGCGCATATCTGGCCGGAAGCTGTTGAGTATGTGTGCATAGAGCGTAGGGTAAATTTCGACTCACCCAAGCAAAACCACATATTAGCCCTCGTCGGGCGCCGTTGCGGCATTTATTCCACGCAGGGACATAGAGAGACTTGTCGGTGAAAAGCCGGTACGCACCGACAACCACATATGATGACGGGAAGTTGAGCCGCAGCATGGCTCTGTGCAGTTCTTGGGGAACCTCGTCATACTTAGACGAATGGCCCATAGGGTGTTCCGAGGCTGGCTCTACAGGCATATGAGTTGAATGAGCGTTGGAAGGTGAGGTGGACACTGGAGGTCACGGCCGGTCGCTTCAAGTTATCGTGTGAATACTATAGTAACGCGTCTAGCTACTCATCCTCATGATTCAAATCTACACACGGCTGCTCAGTGAAGCTTTGACGGAACGGCTAGCTTGATTATTCGACTAAGGCCTAGTACGGCTGTGTTTTTGTGTCTCCGTGACAAGATGAATGTGAGTCGATAAGTACCACCTATTCCACATCATAATTGGTGGTCGTGAAGAAGTAAGTAGTACCGGTCGTGTTGTGTCGGGAATTTCATTCCGAAGAGTGCGTACAGTGCTGAGTGCGAGTGCGGCACTGCAACAATATATCCACCAACTTGTAGGGGAGTGGGAGAGTTAATAGACCTGCCTTGGCCCGGGGAAAGCCAGTACTAGTACATGCAACTACAGTATTACGGTACAATCAAAGTACGGGATAAGCCTACGTTGACTATACCTAAGGCCTAAGTAGCATAGCACACCAAGCCTCATGCTGTCTATCTATTCGATTGTACCGTAAACAGGTGATGATATGCAAGACAGTTCAAGGATCAATGAGATCTGGACAGCGCATACAATTCATTCTTGATCGCTCCGTCAGCTCCCTCTGTCGATGGCCGGTCCCAAGGATGAGTAGACCAACATTGCTCGACGAACAACCAGTAATCGTCAGGGAGCGAAGGATAACGAGTTCGGGAAGGCTTTTCCGACCTGGCGATGCATAGGACAATAGTGGCATCATTCGGCAGGTAATAATAAGGAATCTTGTTGGTGAGAACCTAAAGATAGAGCTGATGGTATCGCATCATTTAGAAGTTGAGATTCCCCAAGACGTACCTGCAACATGATACCGCCAAATGAATACATGTCGCTCTGCTCGCTCGGCCGTGTTGGAGATCCGTCCTCCTGCTCTGGTACAAGTAGCTCAGGAGCCATCCATCGCATGTTTCCTTTGAGCGTGGACGTCCAGGAAGCCTGCGAGGCGCTTATAACCTCCGAATACATTAAGGAGAGACCGAAGTCGGCAATACACGCAGTACCATCGCCATGGATGAGCACATTTGGCTGGAAAACACATCTCAATCAGGCTGAAACTAACGAGAATGTTCGAACTTACACCAGTGAAGTCGCCATGGATGACACTGTTGAGGTGAACTACGGGGAATAGTTGGGGCTCCTGGTCCAGGGTTAGACTAACTAGCACGTACGATATTGAAGACCAGCTATGATATCCCTGAGCTGAGATTCCCATTAGTCTATAGTCTTTATGAAATACAAGGGACGGCTTACGATCTCGAATCGTCTGAGGACAGTAAGAGTCGCACCTACACGCTCCAAATAGGCGGTCAGGTTCCCATTCTCTGCCCAAGGACTGACCAGCGCTATGAATGGGCCGAATCCATTAGTATAACCATAGACGGGGAGAATATTTTTGTGCTTGAGGTTGGCGCATATTTTGAGTTCACGCGTTATTCTCTAAGAAGTAGCGACATCTAGCGTAGGTGATATTAGATGTCATACACTTACCTTGATCTTTTTCGTTTTCGGTGGACCAAGTTGATCAGCAGCGTACACCTGCAATGCTTTCACTGCAACCTGTGCGATTATCAATTTTAGACAGAAGGACAGCCACAACATGACAAACGAACCTTGGTAGATCCCCGATCTATGGAATAGGTACATTTCCAAATCTCACCAAACCCACCACGAGCAACAGGATAGTCTCCGTCCTTGGTGATGTATGCCGTGAGGTTTTGGAGCATTGTGTCAGTGGTCTGCAAGCAAATGTCAGCGAATGTAAAACACATGTACGGGAATGACTGCGCACTCTAGGCACTTGGTGTGCAGGCTGAGTGCTAGCAAGGATCTCAGGTGGGGTTTTGCATACGTAGATATCGGTGTTGTGCCAGATCGTATAAGCCAGTTGGCGCGAGTCGGGTGAGAAGATAATGAAGCGAGGACTACGAGCGTGGAATGAGACAAGGAGCTGGCGGGACTCGAAGGCCCATAGTTTGATGGTAAGGTCATCAGAACAACTAGCGAGGAGAGCACAATCGAATGAAAGTGCTAGACCATCGATGGTATTGGTGTGCCCTTTAAAGGGAGCTCCGACCGACTGCAGTGTAGATGCGTCAAACTCGTGGATCGTGTTCGGGGAGTCAGTGCCTGCGAAATCGAATGCAGCTACAATGGTCTTGTCTTCAGTAGTCCAAAACACAGGAGATCGATGTATTAAGAAATGTGATTTCTCCCGCCAAACATCCGATTTCTGTGTTCGGATGTTCCACACTTCAAGACTTCCCACATTTGAGATGACTGCAATCTTCTTTTGCAATTGGGAGAATCGAACTGTGGCCACTTTTTCATCAACCTGGAATGGACCAGACACCAGTTTGCCAGTGTCCAAGCTCCATATCCGCACTGTCGACCCGCTTGACCCACTCGCAAGCAACGTGCTGTCCGCGGAGATGTCGATGCAGGTAATGCACTTTGAGTGTCCTTCAAATCTTTTCACAATCCCCGTCTCAACCTCACAAACTCTGAGCTCCCCAGTTTCGTAACCCATGGCAACCCATCGACCATCCCTTGATACAGCCAAGGCACCTACTTCCTGCTTACAAACATCCCGTGCTTCCTCAATCTCCTTCCCCACCTCAAGGTCCCATCGCCGAGTGGTCCCATCCCTTGACCCGCTGACCATTCGCTTGCCGTCCGAAACATAGGATATGGATGAAACGATCTTTGTGTGACCCTTCAAGGTCAACACGGGTGTCAAAATCGATCTCTTTGCTGCAGCAGCAGGCCGTCTCGATCCTGAAGCCATGACCAGTATCTCCACCAGCAAGTACTATTTGAGAGTATTCGGAGCACCGTCTTTGAGGTCTTGTCGTCTGCTGTGGCCTGACGTTGATAATGATTTTGATGGATACCCAACTACCGGCAGCTGGTTCAAATGTTTGCCTGCTGAAGCCGATCGCCAGTTCGTCAGCGGTGGAAGTTCAGACTGTCTTTGACGTTACCTAGAGGCCTAGTAGCAACTTTTGGGATGGGCGGGCGATTTTCCTGATTGCATGTACGTGTGTCTGGGAACCGCTTCATTTATATACTTCCTAACACCCCCTTCCTGTGTCAATTTGCACAGCATTTCGTTTTAACCACGCTTGCTTGTTGGCTCCCTGTCGTGGACATCAGCCTTTCATCAGTGAACTGCCGGAGACCTGAGAAGGGCATATATTCCATCACATCTACATATTGTAAGGACGGAGTGATTTCCAATATGGTGTCGACGCCATGTGCGCGCTCCAACTGTGCTGTTTTCGTACTGCCATGTGCGCGCTCCACCTGTGTGCTAAGGCCCGTTGGCCTTGGACGGACGCAAGCATCTTTCTGCGGATCACAAGGTCTCACGCTGCAACGCGCGGTTGTCGACGTACGGACTGATGCGGCTTTGCGCACGGTCAATTATACACGGCGCTGTCGAGAGTACGACATCGACGGCATATTCGGACGTTGTGGTCAGACCGTCAGAGGCAAATGAGGAGAGAGAGACTGCGAATGTTGTTTATGCTTCGTTACTATCGCAAAGTCCGTCCGTCCGCAGGCGAGCGGTTCGCTTGTAATCAATAATCACCAGCATCGCTGTATGTATATCGATGAGTTCAATCACGTCCTTCTCAACTCCTTGCCAGGAGATTGCGGTAAGCTGAACCTTGTCCCCTTTTCGCAAAATTGAATCGTACTTCAGCAAAGGACGGGAAAAAAACTCGGCAGGTGTAGCTTACTACTCTTAAAAATTGGAATGCCCAATAATGATGCCGTACTCAGCCCATCATGAAGAATGTTTTATTTTTGCTTTAAATCTGCCTTGGCCCGGGGGAAGCCAGTACTAGTATTACGGTACAAGAGAAGTACAGTCTGTACAGAGTGAGCCTACGTTTACTATACAGGTATCATACATTGCCCTACGCTGTCAATTTGGTTCTACCATAAATAGGAAGTTGTATGCAAAACACTTCAAGAATCAACGAGGTCTGGACAACGCATAACATTCATTCCTGATCATGCCGTCAGCTCTCTTCGCCGATGGACGGTCCCGAGGATCAGTAGACCAACATTCCTCGATAAACTCCCAGTATTTGTCAGGGATTACAGGATACCGAGATCGGGAAGGTGTTTGCGACTTGGCTATGCATACGATGATGGTCGCATCATTCGAGAGGTGATAATAGGGAATCTTGTTTGTGAGAACCTTCAAATGGAGCTCGTGATACCATCGAGATGTCGAAAAGACGTGGACGTACCTGCAACACATCAGCAAACTATGGGGTACCTGTACAATACTGTACAAGATTGTACAGTATTGTACAGACATTACACTTACACAAGGAAGTCCCCCCTTTACAATACTGTTACATACTCCTACAATCTGTACATCTCATCACAATGCAGACAGTCTGTACAGACTGTCTGCATTGTGATGAGACGGACACACGGTACACACGGTACAGACCGTCTGCGTTGTGACAGACTGTACAGCATGTCTCGAGAGGACAGTCTGTACAGTCTGGGACATGCTGTACAGTCTGTCCACTTGAGACATGCTGTACCAAGGATATATTTAATGACAGGGCTTCACACAGTAGACATGCTGGCATAAACTGTATGAATTGTGAAACAAAAACATGGTGCATTGATCTGAGCAGTACTACTAAAGAATTATGTTGACGTCCTCCGCGTCGCTGTCCGCCACACTCCCATCCGCATACTCGTCATAGTCACCCATGCCTATCCTAGCCCATTGCTCCAACATGTCTTCGAGCTCTTCGCGGCGCTCCGGAATGTCGAGCAGTTTGTCAACCGATTTCTGTAGATTGGCGAAGTGGGTCCTGCACTGTTCAGCGGTAAGATCAGGAACCTTGTCAGTACCGGTCTCCCGAAAGCCGGAGAGAACACCCTTCAACTGTTGTATAATCAGTGATGAAAGGGTAAATAAAATAAAATAACGAAAAACACACCACCGCTGCTACAAGCAGCATCGCGTTGATGGGTATTGTTCGTTGGAATTCATCCGTGTTCTTCAGCGCTTTCTTGCCGTTGCTGTAGTAAAATTCGAGACAAGCATCCTTGAGAGCCTGCGCCGAGAAATTCTCAAATTTTCCCTGCGAAAGTCAAATGTAAGTGACACTATTACCGGGAGTCGCAACTTACGCCAGACGAGTCAGGAAGCCGGAGGTAATCACCGCTCTTGAGGAGTTTATTAGCAGCAGCGGTGACCTTCTTTTGGGCCTCCTCCTTTCGCATTGTCGAGCCCTGTGGGAAGATGTCGTACACCCTTTTTGCGACAGACATGACGACCTTTTTGAGCTCTGTGCGGAACGTGAAGAGATCATCGCACAGCTCATCAACAGCGTCAACGAACATATTCGCCATCAAGAAACGAAGGACCTACCAGACGGCACATCCGTGAGTCGTACTCCGGAAAGTAACCTTGTAAACAGCTATGAGAACAGTAGACGGCGGCGTAGGGAGAATATACCTCTCTCGAGTTTAATCTTCTTCTCGTGGTATGTCCATAGCACGGTATCCAAGACTTCTCGTGCAAGGTTGAGGGCGTTCTGGGATTCTGGGATTGGGTGGGCTAGAACGGCCTGCAACCGCATCTCTAATTTCGCCGTCTGCAGGAATACTTGCCAAGTAGGTGGATAGAATCCTAGCTTCGAGGGGTTCTCCTGGTTTGTCTTCACCTTTTGTTTACCATTGCCAGATCGGCGACTAACTTCGGGTGAGCTACAAGAGTGTTCACGGCTCGCAGGCGGGATATGGTCAGATGGAGTGTATGATGGAGAGCATCCACGAGAGGTGGGCTTTGTGTGACTGCGACTTGAGGAAGTAGTTGGCCGAGATGGACCCCGAAGAGGAGACTGCATGCGTGAGGATGAAGTGCGTTCATATCTGACTTGCTGAGATGATTGTTGGCGTGGAGACTTTGAACGAGAGAAACGACGTGAGTGAAGTGCAGGTGAGTGTCTACGAACCGCTCGAACAGCAGTAGCTCCTCCAGATGATGGATATCGACGAGGGGACCTCGAGCGCCTGGTGTGTTGAGGAGAGCATGGGCGAGGAGATCTAGAATGAACATGTTGGGATGGGTGTTGTGGAGGGTATTCTGGGCAGTCGAGAGTATGTGCGCGCTCCTTTCCCTTTCCCTTTGACAAATGGGTTGGTGAAGGAGCTTTGCGCTGCCCATTCTTTGCATGATGACGCTCGAGAACATCGTAAGCCTTGAGTACAGATAATTAATGCAGGAATGGAGAGAGGAAAAATCAAATACCGGCTCCTTATTTGTGGGCTCGCCATCTAAATCTACTTCATCATCTCCTTGAGCTTCATTGTCAGGAAAAAGCGGATCAATATTGTCGTCCAGATCCATTGTGTTGCCCGTATCGTTCGTTCGCTGGTGCGTGTCCTGGTCGGCGCCTCTATCCCTGCAATGAGAACATAATATCAGGAAGAACACATGCAAAAGAAGAACACTTACATCTGCGTATAACTGTCAAAATAATCATCGCGGTCAACATCGACATCAGACTCATCACGTTCGTGACCACTATCACGTCCCGCAGACTCCCTCTCATGACCTGTGTCTCGCTGACCCACATTCTGTCCAACCGTTTTGCGACCACCGGACCGTGTTTCCTTCCGCATAGGCTGTCCCTCCCTGGACTTCTCGCGGCCATTGGACTTCTCGCGACCATTGGACTTCTCGCGACCATTGGAATGGGGTTCCTTGAATCCGAACCTTTCGGAAGAGCGAGCCACATGTATATCCAGACGGGTAGTAGGAGTTTGAGGATGTTGGTCGCTTCCCGTTATTCTGCGTTCGTTCTGATTTGTTTTTGGAGAGCTGCGAGGTTTTGCAGGAGGCTGAAAAAAAATTAGCTTGAACATAGTCACAAAAAAAAAAAAATACATTTCTCTTTCCTTGCTGAAGCTGCGAAGGAGCCATAGGGTTTTCTTCTGAGCTGCTGATTTGAAGATCGTCACCCTTTGGTCTTCTCCTTGCTGGGGCAGCAAGTGTTTCTCCAACTCTTTGCAGCTGCGCTGCATGGCCTCCAACACCACGATTAGATCTCGAGCTTCGCCGAGCAGTCACCCCTAAATCTGGAGAAGAACGTCTGAGCTTCTTCTTCGGAGGCATGTATCAGGTGGCTTGAATAACATGTACGAAGTTAGCTAGTTATGCGTACCAATGACTGACATAATCCATGTTACATAATCATGATTTGGTACATAGCGACGTCCGTGGTTGGCATTCTAAGCCTGAGGGAGGTAACATAGAAGAAAGAAGGAACTATAGGAAGACGCATAAGAAAGCTCAGATGAAGGATAGTAATAAGAGGCATCAGAATTGCGTTAGTCTCTGCCAGCATCGTTAGGTCCGGCCGCCTGCTTGAGCCGCAATGAACGACGGAGCGAAGACCCTGCTGTGGGTTGAACGATGGGGGGAGCTCCAGTACGATGAGTACTTGAGGCACTCGGGGGAGCTACTGGAGAGGGTAGTGGAGTTGGCAGTTCATCGCCAAGTTTCGTAATGAATGTAGCAAGCATTTGGAAGATGTGGTCATGAACAATGGCTCCTTCGAGATTAGACTCCATGCGATAAATTCGAGTGCGCCATTCGTCAACAATGGGCTTGAATTCGGAAAAGTAGTCTGATACCCTGTCTGTCAGGATATCACCCTCAGACATGGCTCCCTTCTTCGCCAAAAAGGTGGCAAGCAAGCCGCTTGTAGCGCCCAAATTCTCATAGGCATCCGCCCATGGCATACTCATCTTATCCCAGGTCGGAGCCAGTGTACCATGTGCACCCCCGTACTTGGAAACGAATTCGAAAAAAATATAGAACAGGGACTCGAGGTCATCACTGGAATTGTGCTCAACCAGTTCCGGCTGAGCGATGCTGTTGGTGTTGTCGTTCTTTTTTGCGTTGATCGTCTTTGCCTTCTTGAGGATGTCAACGTTCTTCGACATTTTTTTCAAAATGCGCATAGAGATATATGGCACAGTTCCCTGAAATAGCGTGGTCAATAGCGAGAATCTCGAACTTCATGTTCAAACTTACAGTACCAAACGAAACTGTAAATGTCTCGCCCTCCTTTATGATTGACGCGTGGTCAAAATCAATGAAATACCCAATACCTTCATGGATAATAAAATTGTTTGGGCTAAGGTCTCCGTGTAGAACTCGTCGTTGGATCATTGTTTCATGAGCTATAGATAGAGTGTTAGATGATACAACAAATCAAACACAAACTGAACTGACCAACCACGAAGTCGCGGAAGGCGCAAATCAGTTCCTTTCTGGAGCTGAAATCCCATAATGGATCTCCACAGGGGGTCAAGAGAAGGCGCCGGTGATACCTGTTAAAGAACCTCGTGTCTGGCCTGTTCTCGAGCAGGACACCATATCCATCCCGAATGCGGGCTGTGCAGTCAGGCTCCCCATTGGATAGGACATCCCAGTGGTCTACGAGTTGGACCACATTAGGGATGCCCTTGACCCTCCCAAGGACGTCCACTTCGTGGTATCTCTTCGCCTCAGTCACCCAACAATCTTTCATCGCATATTCCTTTCCATCTACAGGATCTCGAACACGGTAACAAACCGTTCCGCGACAAAATAGACCCTGGCTCTTCCACAAAACAGCCATGATCGAGTACTTTTTTTCAGCATTGTCGGTTACCCAACCGATCGCCCCCACTGCTAGGTCGGTGTGAGTACCCTGGCAAAAAGTGATGCACATATGCGTTGTGGGGTCGAGACCCAAGAGGCTGGGATCCGCTAATGAGAGAGTAGCTATCGCATCAGCGACACGAGCGGGTGACGATTGGATGGGAATTGGGAGAGTGATGATGAGGCCAGAGCGATCGCAATAATGGGCGTAAAGATGGTCGGCAGAGATGAAAAATGAGAGGACGAAGCGACGCCAGGGCTGTTCTCGCATGATGAGATATGCTTTAGTGGCGGACCCCCAGTACACTCCTAGGTCACGCCTCTTGTTGAAATCAGAAGTTGTATGCTCAACAAAGCTCAGGACGTCTGTCCACGTTTTCTCGCTAGTTTTACTCTTGTAATAAAACAGAGCAACATCAGGCTTTTGTGCGTTATAAGGGTCTGGTATTGGTGAGTCAGCAAACTCTGCAGACCAGTATCGTTCGATTTTCGATATCGGGAAGGGAATTTTGGCGCGAATTTGCTGTTTACGGCGCAGGGCATACTGAACAGTCTCGAAAAGACACTGCAAGTCTTTCTCAGTCGATGAAGGTTTACGTCCCCTCTTCGATCCTGGTTGTGCGGTCCCATCGTATTCATCGTGACTCCAGGTGCCATCTGAGACCATCCCTGAACCTTGAGAATCCAAGGCCTCGACATCTGTGTTAACGATATCTGTGCTAGCATCAGATTTATCATCCGAATCGCCAGAGTCGTTGTTCCGATTGTTCAATCTGGGCTTTTTGTGGCGATCGAAGTTCCATGCGCCCTGGAAATATATCGGTGGTCCATTATCCCGACCATAGTAATTGATTTGTGCGATATGCCTGGTCTCCAACGAGGATTTGGGAACGAGTTGGTGGAAAACACTAGCATTGTATTCGATCTTCAGGTCGGCTTCGATAATGACGTGGCCTTCGAGTTCTGATTTGAGTAGTTCTTTGACAAGATCGAAGGTGCGACCACCCTCAGGCTGGAAACCCGTCGAGCTGAGTGAAGGTCGACAAAGATAGAGGTCGAATGATGTGGTGGCGCATGTTGTTGGTGGAGTCTGGTCAGTGAGCGGGGTCGTCTGCCATGGCGTTCAGAGTCAAGACCGGTCAACGCTATGGAGTAATGAGTACTGCAGACCAATGTGTTCTACAACAACAACTTGCCTGTCTGTCTGAATAGTCGGCGAGTTTGTTGAGCACTCCCTCTGGTTACAGTGCAGTGGGCTGCGGGTTGCGGGCTGCGGCGTGGGCATAGATAGGCATACTAGATAACATCAAATTCAAATTCTGATACCACATTGAGTACTACACAAAAAAATCTGTCATGGTATCGTATCGTATCTATCCTTGCGATGCATAGTACAAGGTATCATAATTTGCTTGTCAAAGTACTTGTTCAAGTAAAACGAGGAATGATAGTGCGTGGAAGTAGACTTGGTCAACCGAGGATCTGCTGCAGCACCTAGTCTCGGGATGATATTGATGAACGCTCGAAGTTGTGTCAGGGGGAACTATATCTCCCACTAGAGTACCGTTGGCATGTTTTGTGCGTGTCAATGTGTGCATCTCGGTGACAGGATCAACCGCGCCAACCTTAAAGCTCCGCACATAACAAAGATATCGATCATGCCATGTAATACGTGAGCCTCGTCGTGGCATTGGACGCATGATGAGCTGCAGTTCAACAGACAGTGTGACCTTCAAAAGAGACGGAAGGTGTCAGGGACAATCAAAGTGTATGTGAGTACTAAAGAGCTCACCCGTTAACCCTGACTTGGGCCAATCATACGCGCTATTGACATTGAGAATGGCAACATCCTGTCGGCCTTTTGGCCACCCAGCGTGTGCAGGAGAGGCATGCAAAGTTTGTGCGGGTAAAACGATACTGGGATCATGGAGACAGACTTGCTGCAAGCGAACAGTATGCCATATTTGAAGGCGCTCGAAAGGTATATTCAAGGGCCGGTCGATCAGCGATCTTCTTGGCACCCCCACCCCAAAAACTACATCTCTGTTCCTCGCATCACGTTGAAGGAAGTCCGAGAGAGCATGCCGCAGATCTGGGATGTTAAATTGATCGGCGACCTCGTCAATTTTCAAGCCAGTGCGGGTGGGGTAACAGTTAAGATGAACGGCGGTACTGCCAGCAAGGAACGTACGAGGAGGATGAGCCTGAGGAATTTCATCGCGCCTTGCAGTCCCCAACGTTCTCAGTTTGTTGAAGTAGTTGGAAGTGGTGCGCGTGTGATTTAGTTCTTCTAAGAGTGCAGTTCGTGGATCCATCAGTTCGTCATTTTCTTCCTCATTCCCTTCCCCTTCCTCGTCCTCGTCCCTGTCCTCTTCATCCTCACGGAGATCGGGATCTGTGGGAAGACTCTTGAGAGTTGTAGCAATTGCAAAACGATGCAGTTTCTCTGCTCGATCTAAGTGACGACAGATCTGGGGATCGTAGTCGTTGTTGTTAGTACGCCGTGCTGGGTCCTTGATTTCAGAGACGTGCGCATGTTCAGTTGCGTCTTGCGGACCACTGGATGAGGGCACCGACTTGGCGCGAGCTAGTGGTGATGGCTCTGCATGAGCTCTAGCTTGGGTATGTGCCAATTATCGATGACTCTCTTCGCACCCATCCGAGCGCCTAGTGTCATGATGACATCTTTGTTGTCGTGAAAGATTGCAAGTGATCTGTCAATAGCCGCCAGTAAGTTGTCATCAGGTGCGGGATGACTGCGCTAAGTATCGGACATCCATTAAAGCGCGAATTGCGACCACAAATCGACGAGGGGCTGCACCAGCGATCAATCCAACAATATAGCGCTGTATATCGCGGTGGACTCTGCCTGTGACCTGCTTCAGTTTGGAGATTCCATTGGGGAAGTGGCGATAGCCAGTGACGGGTTGCAGTATTGAGATTCGGGAAATCGAATTCCTGCACTCCAAGAACTGCAAGACACCATTGCACGTCGTGGTCGTAGAACTGTTTGTGCCAGTGATGCAGAGCTTCAGGTGTAAGGAAGATCGCAGGATCGCTAAACCGCCATCCCTTCCAGAAAGGTGCAAAGACACCATTTAGCCGGAATTCCGCGCATGCGGCAAAATATCCTTCCAGGTCGTTGGGGTCAACATTGATGCTGGCGAGCTGCTCGAGCGTGATGGCACGTGTACGTGCAGGGTGACGAAAATTGTCCCCGAACTGGAGATAAGATGCCAGTGTAAATGGAGAAGTTTTGCCGCGCACGCATGCAAGCATGCACGCCTCGGGAGTATCGACGATGTATGCCGCAAGGGGGGTAAAGCAGTGGCGGATGTTTCCCACTGGGTCGGACATCATGATTCCAAGTTCGGCGGCTTTCATCAGGGGCTGTAAAATGATTGCAAGACATTCGTGGATGAGCGATCCTCGAGCATACCCCGCATTCGTTGAGTGGGTGTAAGTACTGCGGGGATAGGGAG